ACAGGAATAGTATAGGTGAATTTTCCCAGGAGAAAAATGGCTTGATTAAAGCGAAAATCTATGGAATACCTAATGCTACTATGATTGACTGTTTGTAATATATACTACTAGTGCATAATAATACTACTAGTATATAATTTATTTAATAAATTACATATTAGATATAGTAAAGTGACATAGGTAAATTATAGGTAGATACTAAATGTTACAATCTATACGAAATATACATTATATTGTAAGAAAATATAATGAAGATACAGAATAGCAGTTTACATTTAGTACAAATATAATTGCTACTAAATCCAATTTAGTACACAAGCAGACCATATCAAAGATTAACATAATTTGTATCAGTATATATTAAAATATATATTAAATTAGGTAAATGTAATACTAGCTTTTGTCCACTATTTTCTACGCGTGGACTTTATAAATAGGATAACCAATAAAATAGAACACATCTAGTGGGGTAAAAAAACATACTAGATTTTAATTAGACCTTCAGAACTCAACTATAAAAACCGCATTCAATTTCATGCAATAGTTTTTACATGATGACGGAACAAACATGCAGACAAACAGACAAAATTCCTTAAAAAATATTATTTTCACTTCTATTAGCCTTATATTATTAAACCCCTCATATCAATTTATTTATTTACTATATATATTAGTAAAGTTTTTCAACTCCACATTCAAAATGGTTTATGTAACTGACCATTTTTAATATAATCTCATTAAAATATTTATACATATAACTTATAAACTAACTATGAGTATAACTACATAGAGACATTGCATCTCTATGCATCTTTAATCGAATGGCTTATAGAGAATATTCTAAGAAATTATTCGGATTGATACCTGCTACTGAATGTCACCATTGTATAACCAACTACAAACTAAAATTCCATCCTAACCATCCGAATGAGTAGCGATCTACTACCGTGCGTTTTTGAAATCACTTTCTTTCATGCAAAACCACGCTTTGAAATGAACTTTTAGCAGCAGTATTTCTGAACCGACTTGACGTTGTAGCTAACCTTCAAGAAAAAAGCATATTTCTTTTTAAAAAACTAACAGCACACCTGCAACTTCTTCAATGTTGCGGGTGCTCATGATCGGCGGTAATCATGATGACGGCATCAGATGAGCCTGCTCCTTTGTCTCCTGTCTTTTTAAAAATAAATATAATTCTACAAGTAAATTTTATCGACTCTCCGATATAATATTAATATGTATCATCATATCAGCGGTTAATTGTTCACTGCTGAACATAGACCTCCCCCAAAAAGAGGAGTTTTCTTAGTGGTTTTCACGCTTGTCAGACGAGTTGGTAACCGCAGTTAAACTTCAGTGCTGTTTTAAGAGGGACGCTGCTACCCATACTTTGACCAATAAGTTCCCTTAGTCGCCTCTTAGGACACTCACGAGAAAGAAAGGGGTAATCCATTCTATGCCCGGATCACACGGCAATATAATATATAATAGCATATTAATATGTACATATGAGACGAAATACGCAAACAGGTAATTGCGAAAACAATAACGAAAAATAATTCAGAATTGGCAACAGAGGTGAAAGACTTTTATTCTATCGTTCTATCCAAATATAGGAAATGTTAATAAATAAATAACTCTACATAGTTCGCGACCTGCTATGTACAATCGCTGTTTTTATGATCATTTACTCCACAAGACCCGACTATAACAGCGTTACGGCTCACCTCCATTGTCCATTGTGCCATCAAAGAATTCATTCATTTGTGCGAAATGAAGACGATTCTATATATACATGTATATTATACGCTTATTGTTTGTTTGATGAAACATTAAATATAATACAATGTTGATTTTATATAAGTATCAAGCATTATCGAGATGGCAATATGAATTGTTTCACTGAAGATCTTCAATTCGTGACAGTGTGGCAACAAACTTGTCATTTAGAGACTTTATTACAAAGTCTACTAGAATGAGACTTTGTACAAAAGTCGTTTGTTGGGCACCTCTGTTCCATTCGTGTTTCAACCGTGAAGCAGTTACATCGCATTGTGTTTCGATTTGAAGGATGAGATATGATAGTGAATTTATAGGGTACAGAGGAATAACATCTGAGTCCCCAGGAATGGCAACGCATAGGGTGTATCATGGGCGAAACAGTATATTCTGTTATGTCCATAATACTGCTCATGTCTGTAAGCGATCACTTTCCATCTGATGGGCCGTCAGTTTGTTTGCCATTCTAAGTTGTTTAAAAAAATCTATAAAATCTATGTATATCTATCTATATCTATAAAATTTAAATTACTATAAAAGTTACTTTTTAGAATTATATTTTAGAATCGGTTTTTTTATAAAAAAATGTATATAGTGATTTTATCAAAGTCTAAATCAATCTGACAATTACACTCACGTCTCGTTGTCTCACGATCAAATGGTTGTTGAAAGTATTGCCCCTTAATGGGTTAGGTTTTAACATTTTTTCTATGGTTTTATTCACGTATTACAAACTGTACTATTACGCACGAAGTATAAAATATAATTATTGAAATGAAATTTTGTGTTGTACCTACTGACTTTCTCTTAACAATAATTCAATCATACTGAAACTAGTTGATTGAATTAATATAAACAAAATTAGGAGGGAGACCACACCTGATGGTGAGAGGCAACGAATACTACTCAGATTAATGTTAAAATTTTGTTTATGATCTTAAACGAGTAACTATTGAGGTTATTAAATAAACAGTAAAGGAGAAATAAAAAACATTTAGATGGAACATTGAGCGTTATCCGACCATTGACTGATGTATTTTTTTTTATTCTGCATGGAATTCTAAATATTTAATAATATAATAAATTTAAATAAATACAAGAATGGTTTATATAATAAATGACACTAATTATAAGATTAATATAATTTTATACCTTTCAAAATTTACGTCATTTCCAAAAAAATATTTTTATCGAAGCATTTCTTATAAAAGACTCCCTAGACGTTAATAATATAAATCAATATGTAAGTAGGTTTGTTTGTCAAACATGCTCCCATGTGGAAATAATTTTATTTTCGGGGACAAAAATCTATCCTCTAAAATCAAATTATTCCCACGGATAACAAAAAATCTTTATCTCTGTAACGGTATATCAGATCAACATGAAAAAACGGCTACCTTATAATCAATATTTATACACATATTGCAGTAATATTTATATACCAATACAATAACAATATTGTGCAAGCTATAGCCTAACAAATGGTACGTGACTAATAACAACCACGGCCTCTTTCAATTATGCATCAGATAACGTGATTAATCTTATCCTATAATTGAACTCGCAGTGGTTACTATGAGTGAAACTAACTACACACATTAGTTGCATAGATACACCACTTTCTGTTTTCTATAAATCAGCAGTAATAACTAGAATAACATAATAATAATAGAATAAAATTATTGATAGTAACGCTTAAAAATTCTCCTGTCATAATTTTCACAATAAATTATAAATATAAGTTAGATATTAATTTATTGGTTATTATTATTTTAATTGTATTATTTAAATGTAGTTGTGTTTAAGTAATACAATTCGTCTATATAATTGTAACTCCAATTTAATATGGGTAAAACTGAACCCAAAATCATAATTTTTAAAATATTTGTACCTATATAGTGTTTATTTGTTATCATGTCAAGTGAAACTGTAAATATTTACTTATCGTTAAAAGTAATGTCAGTAGGTTACCTATTCTTCTGTTTTGCACAAATACCCATATCTGATAGTGGTGACCGCGGGCACAAGGCCAGACCGGGTCAATTACTAATCAACTCAGAGACAACCGATCTTTCCAAGCGACTAATGACCAATTACTTCAATTAACTCATGACTATCTTGCTCACAAAATTTTTATTCGCCGGTATTGCAATTAATTATTTATAAAAACTTTAGTTAATTAAAAATATTGACAACAAAAAGATCCATTACTTGTTTCTTTGTATTCTTAATTAAAAAATATGTATTAATCTGAAATAGATTGCAATATGACAGCTCTTTGAAAGGAAAATAGTAATCATCATATTGATCATCAAGCATGATGAATTAAATATCACAGAAGACATTGTGACCTATAGTACTCCATTCGCAGTCCTATACTTGAGACTGATTTAATAATAACTTATTTAGGCTTAACATAAACTTTATTTTAAGTATTATTTCTTTCGCACTCGAGTATTATGCTTAGTACCTTAATCGCTTCTAGCAAGATTCTCTAGATGAAAACCAAAACACAGTAGATAGAAACCGGCCTAGAGCACATCAATGAATGTCATATCGGAGTATCATGATATAAGAAGGGTGGCTGTTTCCTGTTTGATTTACCTACTGTCAATGAAATCAATTCAACTACAAGCACGTAGAAACCAGCTAACCTTCTATTCATCCTTAGTGATAGCACAGAGTTTGTCTACAGCTATTTTTTATTTTTGTTTTTGTTATTTTGTCTTTTGAAGATACTCTCATATGAGTAGGCTTCTCGTAATACTATTTGAATTTAGAAATTCTATTTTGATTTCTAACTGCAATCGTACTTGAAAATTATTTTAAATTACTTTGTATTATGAAATTATTATTTAAACACTGCAGAGTCTCAGTAACTAACATGTGCATTGTTAGCAGTACTTATTATCACCTCTCTTTGAGTGCTCAACTCTGTATGTTGTGGCTTGGCCATTACGTGCCCCACATTGTTAAGTTCACTTTGTCCCTTGCAGTGCGAAATGTGTATTATTTAGGTTACCCACTATATTTCACTTCTCTCCATATTAAATATCATTAATACATAGTAAAAATAACTTATATAACAATAATAATTCATATAGGTACAACTAAGTACTCTAAACTTTTTAATCATCAATCACCACATCAGTTGCGAAGGAACCCGCACAAACCAAACCAGTCGTAATCGTCATAAACCTGAGCCCCACTATACTCTTTAGACAGCACGCGCCAGTCACCGTCAGAACGCCTCTGCATACGATCGTGCGACGCGCGCGCAACTCATCACCTTTCAAATTCGAACGAATTCAGTGACGTGACGTAAAGTGTTGTGACGAATCGGGACGGAATACTGATATCATTCATGTTACAAATTAATACACAATAACCTATCACGGTTACGTGCAGTGAAGTCATGTGAACACAGTGCGTTACTGGTGCGCTGCACGGCGTTTACCTTTTTATGGTAAGGTAGTAGTGGTACTACATTATTTTATGGGTTCTTCGACATTACATACAATAAAGCATACAAATGTTTTACGCAATTACTTTTTTTTATGTACTTATATTTCTCTACATATATTAAATAAGCTTTACAATCTTAATAGAATAAAGTTAAAGTAATCAATTATTATATACTGTTACTTCCGCAATTATATCTATATTCATAAAGTAACGAACGAAAACAGCACAAACGTTAAGCAAATATCGTTCCGTACGCAATGCATATTGATGCAGACCACATAACAGCTCCTTACAAAGCTAAGGCGTAACAATATGTTGCGACACTTCCTGTTACAAGAAACAACATCACTAAAATGCTTTCTAAGAATTATTTTCACGATTTTCCTCGGACAATACGATAAACACTTACAATGTACTTTGCTAATCTTTATCAAATCGATTTAATTATTGCATAGATCAATCCATCGTTATGATTCCACTTGGGATCAAATTAATATTCTTAGTTATGCATTGCGGTATTGCCTATAGAAACAAGGGCACATATGTTTTCAAGCAATTGTAATACGTCAAGTAAATATGTTATATGTGAGCCATGACCTTGTTGATTAACGTTTACTTTTGACATAATTCTCAGTGAAAAAAATATCTAGATACAACTGTTTAATTGTATCATTAAACATCTGTAAAATGCCAAGTTATATAAAATCAGTTTACGAATATACAAAATTACGTAGAAATTTTGGCAGACAACCTTTATTTCAGGATGTTTCTGCACAAATGATAGACTCTATTAACCCGAATATAGCTTACCAAAAAGATTACATACTCAGGAATCCAGTGAATCGTGAAGTGCAAGCTACATTGCCACAATCACAAAATGAGATAAATACAAAAACACTGGTAATTCGTGAGCAAGGTATAAATCATACAGAAGGTGGCTGGCCACGCGAAGTTCACCTGTATAATGAAGAACATTTGATTCGACACCGACGTCGAGTTATGCACGAAGATAACTATATACACGCGATTAAGAAACTTGCTCCGATGATGGAACACTACGTTGATCAAAATAATGCTATCAATATATATGAAACATACTTTGATGACATGCAATCACAAGTTGCTGTCGAAAAGTATAATGTTCGCGTCGCTAATGTGTTTCGAGATTCTTACAAGCGGCCTATTTCATGCTTATCTTGGACAAATGAAAAGATACCTAAACTAGCAGTATCTTATTCCGATAAAACATGTACCTTAAATTCAGAAATTTATAGGAATAATGACTGTTACTTATGGGATATTTGCAAACAAACTGAACCATTCTCTAAATTGCAACCAGATGGACCCTGTTGGCAATTGGCGTGTTCCCCTATTCATCCGGAATTACTTATAGGTGGTCTGGCAAATGGAGTCGTAAATGTATTTGATATTAGAGAAAGTGCTAATGCTATATCCAGAAGCACAATATATAACTCTCATCGGGGACCTATTACAGCATTACTTTTTACGCACTCTCGTACCAATACAGAATTTTTTACCGGATCCCCCGATGGTCAATGTTTATGGTGGGATTTTAGAAATCTATCAAAACCATTGGATCACTTACCAATGTCTGTTAAAATCCCAGTTGGACAAGAACCTAACTTGAGCAATGCTGAAGGTGTAAGTTCTTTAGAATTTGATCACGCCCTACCAACTAAATTTCTCTGTGGGACAGAATCAGGGCTAGTAATTAACGTCAATCGCATGGGTAGAAGTCACTCTGAAATCTTAACATCATATTGGAATACACATTCTGGTCCTGTCCGTGCAGTACATCGTAGTCCATGTACAATTAGAATGTTTTTAACTTGTGGTGATTGGACCGTGCGTGTATGGAGTGAAGAAGTTCGCACTGCACCGATAATTGTAACTAAACCATATAATAATCAAGTTACTGATGCTTCTTGGACACCCTTGAGGTTTTCGAGTTATATGGCTATTTGTGAAGGTGGCAATTTTTACTACTGGGATTTCCTTCGTAAGTATCGAGAGCCTGTGGCTACTCTTAAAGTCTCCAAGTATCAACTTACAAGACTTACCTGTCATAGTGAGGGTAAATCAGTAGCAATTGGAGATATAAATGGATCAGTATTCTTGGTACAGTTATCGGAAAATATGGTTATACCTGGTAATCACGATAAGCAACTTATGTCTCAGACATATGAACGTGAAACTCGACGCGAACATATTCTTGACGCGCGTTTAAAAGAAATTCGTTTAAAAATTCGCGCAGAAGAAGAAACTCCCACTACTATGACAATGCCCGATGAGAGTTCTAATGAAGAAAATTTAATACAAATTACAGAACAACAATATTTTAAAATTGTAAAAGATGAGCTACATCAATTGGTAACAAAAACAACACCAAGTAATGAATCTATTTCACAATTTTAGTTTCAACAATTCTATCTTATTATTTTAATTAATTAAAATTTATGCAAACATAGTGAAGTATTTATTATTAGGAATAACCAACTTCAAACTTCACAAAATTTGCATAAGCACAAAACATAAAATGTGTAACATACAAACTAAAAATGAATGAATTAATTAAATATATATAAATTTTTAAACTAAATAAGTACCTTTTGAACTCATATATTTCTAATCATTATACTGCCACTGACATTTTTGAGCACAAATAATATAATTCTATCTTAGGACCACTACAATGGTTAAAAATCTTTTAAATATTTTATTTTATTTTTATATTTAACTGAAGCACATCTGTCTTCCACATTTGTATCTACAATTATGAGTAAATAAGGATATACACTTCAATAATGTTAATCGTGTAAATTCACATTCATCACTTTATAGTAGGTTCAACTGTTCTAAACATTTGAAGGTACAAACCGGATGTTTTGTGTAGTCGAAACACCCGCATCTTTTCCCTAAGATCCGACTAGTCAGCAGGAGTCGTACCCGACGATTTATCTAACAAAACGACAAGTATATTGTGACCTCTCTTTTTAAACTTCATTACTTCTCTATAATATATTCGACGTACTTATAAGAAGGGCGAAGAGGGTCTTATTAGAGTGGCTACGTAAATTACTAGTGCCCATGAGTTGCGTGAATACAAAAGTGCGTCACTAGCAACTTTCACCGCGAGTTGCTACGACCAGAGTCGTGAGCGCATAGACCGTCATGCGACAGCCTCGTTTTCATTCCTGGTTTCAAATTACTATTTCCATGTACTTAAATACAAAGTAACACTTTGTTAATATGTACATAGAATACTTGCAACTTCGTCTACATAAACTTTGTAAATATCCCACGTTAACACACTAAGATAAACAGTACCTACTACATGTTAGTCCAAAATATTTTGCACAATGGGTATGCTGAATATTCAAATCACGTTCATCCTTTTTCCGTAATAGGTACCGATGTTAAATAATTTATAAAATAGATGTATAACTTTAGTTATGTATTTTATGCTATTGGTAGATCATGACAATAAAATCTAAAAGAAATAAGATCAATAGAGTCTGGAGCAACTCAATTTCCAAACTGAGTTGCATATGACACTTCTGATTTATTGGCAACGCAGGAGTACTACTTCTGACTAAAAACATCTTGGAGATTACACTAACGATTTATTCTTTATACAAAACTATAATCACATTATAAAAGTAAGAGTGCAGCTCTGTATAACTTATTTAGTAACTACTATTACTTGGACTGTGGTATAACTCTACCACTCTCTCCCCTTCTCCAGTACCGACTTACCCTTTCTTCGTAATTTAAACATAGGCGATCGAAAAAGGAATGCATTTCCACTTGCGCGCATAAAAATATCATCTATTTATATAATAATAGCTTTAGACAGTGTATAGTGTTTATTATAAATTATCCATTCATTCATCACAACCTATCCATTGTCCACTACGGAGTATAACTCTCTCTCATCATGCGCCACAAAGTAAGATACAACATAACTTGCATCCAGCAAATCTTTATAACACTCTTGAGATCATCACTCCATTTCGTTATGGTGTAATTAAACCAGACAGTAATATAAGAAGGCAACAAACCTATTACTAATATGAAATTGTACCTTAGAAACATAAACTGTGATGAAGAAGAACTGTGCATGTGAAAATCGATGACATTAATTAAAATTTATTTTGTTGTTTTAAATATCAATCACTGTAAAAATGAAAATAATAACATAATTACAACGTACATATGAAAATGAAAATAATTATCCTAATTAACTAGCATATGTACTTTGTACAATGAAATGCACTGATTAATTTGTAGAACGAAATTGTAGTAAGAATAATTCAAATACGTAAAACAATACAAAAAGATTCATCAAGGCAGAAAATTACGAGTAGATAGCCTAAAATTTCACTGAATTCTGCAGGTATAAGATTTTTAATGTATTTATTGAAATGTGATCGAAAATATAATACAAAGCACCTCAATTGTCTGTTAGTAAAATTTTCAATTATGAGTATATTATACTTAAGATAAAAATTATTAAAAATAATAAAATGTTATGTACCTAGGTATAATTTGCTTAATATCTTAATGTATAGCAAGTGACAATTGATGACCAAGTATCAAAATTACCAAAGATGAATATCACAATTAGTATTTTTATAGGCTTTTATTTTGTACCTACCTAGAAGAAAGAGAAAGTTGTAACTGTGTAACTGGTTCCTAACAGAGCGCCCGAGCCATACAGAACCCTATTCATAAATTATTTTATCAAATTTGGTATATATATATAAGAAATTATTTTGTTTTTTTTTTCATCCTAATGATATAAACAGGCTCTAGTGAAAGTACTACTATTTTCATAGTTATTTATCGTTCTTCACATTCTATTAATCGCTCATCCATTACTCATTTATAAAAATTTCATAGAAATTTTTAATGTTTATTTAATTATTTATTTTTTTAAATATGGCAAACATCTTTTCTGCGCTAAAATATAGAAAAATTTAAAGACTTTAGAGACTTATTATTTATGCTTTATAAGAAACGGGAATTAACGCCATCATTAGGTAAATTATGATAATTAACCTGAATTACCTCGTTTTGGCTAGGTTATGGCCGTCTCTTGTAAAACATAGAATATGCAGCGCGAAAGTTTAGGTTTATTATATGATTGCAAAATAACGCCTAAACCAATTCGAATATAATTTAATATGTATACGAGAAGAAGAACATAATATAGAATAATCCTAATTTATATTGACGAAGCCGCAGAATATAAATATAATATACATACTTTTAAATAGGTATCTCGGTTAACAACATTCATTATACTTTCTTTTTATCATAATTTAACTTTCAATGTCAATTACTATGATGAAATAATGTATATTTCTACATTTGCAATCAACAATAAAGTGCATACGATGTCCATATACAGTTATGCACTTATCATTCACATATTATCAGGTTAATGAGTTTACAAAGCAAACATATGAAACCAGAACGGTACGTGAGAAAAATTAACACACGTATTGGTACTTATCGTATAATTTTAGTTAGATAATTATAAATTGATTAAAAGATTTCATATTTGCCTTTACATAATAATACTAAATAATTTTTTTTCAAATATGGGCAAGATTGGTCTAGTTTTCTCAAATGTAATAATTTATCATAAACATTATTTAACGAATCTTCTGGGTAATTAAAATATATGTCAAATTTTCATTAAATAATAATTTATGTTTCATAAAAAAAATTCGATAGGTAATTTTTTTTCGTCTTCATCAGAAATTTATCCATTACACTTATTCAAATTAAAAAAATCTTGAAATCGAAAATATCGTGTAACATAGTTACACTAACCTCTATTTTTTTCTGTACCACCTCTGGTTTCAATATTTTTTAAATATAATACAGCCCATATTACAAACGAAAAAAACAAATCATTTTCTCTTTAATATACTTAATTAGTTTATAAAATTTTAACAGTAATTATCATGAAAATTGAATATCAATACAGTGTACATATATACACGTACATATATATATATATATATATATATATATATATATATATATATATATATATATATATATATATATATATATATACATACATACGTGAGAGTAGTTTTAACCTATTCATTTTAAGGTAAGTAGTTTATTTATACTATACTAATGGTAAAGTTATGATAATTTAATTTGACGTTCCGTATGTTAGAGAAGGTATTTGTGGCGCAGCAAGTATTCCGAACTTCACAAGTCACAAACTTTGTTCTTACAACCTCAGTTTTGCTACTACTTTATTCCCAAGCTTTCCAACACAATAACTTTAAAAAGACTACGATAACGTCCTGGGAAAAGTTAGAGTAGATGTTTAACACACGAATATGTCAAATAAGACTTAAGAGGACTTTCCTCCATGTCGTTTCAGAACGATCATTGTTTAAAAAATAAATATTTCGATATCTTATATACAGACCATGGGTACCTATCACAGAGTACTTTGTAAATTGCACAATACCGTTCATACTTATGGGCGACTGTTAACAGTTTTCATCAAGCCTTTAAGTTTTTTGCTATGCTTATTAACATAAAAAATCCGAAGCAAGAAACATCTGGGTATGTGATTAGTCAATTTCCCTATAAATAACTTAAATTTAAACTAACACAAAGGTACATACCTCAAGTAGATGTATTTTTATTAATTATAATTATACATTAATTATAATTATACCTTTTCAATATTTCATGATCGAACATTCGTCCCGATTAAAGATGAAACTCTCAACATGCAATTCATGTATCTACTTGATTTTTCAAATATCTGCTTTCCTAAGTATTATTAAATTCCTATATTTTTTATTCATACATGTAAGAACCTACTTACATGTATGAATTCAAAATAATCTCTTTATAGTTACTTCAGTTATTAGTTAATTATTTATTATTCAAAAATATAATAAACTTATTTTTTTTACAAAAAATATCAAATAATTTGTGCTTAGTACCTAATTTGTACTTGCCATAGAGTAATATATCGTATGTAACAAATTAATTACCATAAATTTACTAAAGCCGACATAAACTAATAAAATCATTCCTCATTAAAATGCCTGACATTAATTTCAGAATTACAACAACAGGTGTCACCATTTTATTAATAATCAATGAGTTGTTTTCTATATATAACTAAGCACCAAGTCATAGTCAGTCAGTATGTCACTCTAATTAAAAGAAACTCAAACACGAGCATTGTTCGTTCAACAAACATGCGTGTATATGTGGGTGTAAAAACCTCGGCGGTTATCGAATGCCAATGTCAACTAATTTGCAAACCCGTCAATACTGTTATGTCGGACTTGAGACCGCTGGACGAGACAATTTGACCCACATCAGCAGTAAACGTGTAAATTGTTCTGATAAAAGGTTTGCAATTTTAAAATTTAATAAACTGGCCTACCGCCCTGATTTCGTCTGGGTTTTTAACTATTGTCATGATAGTTAAGTTTAAAAGTACATAACTCCTTAAGGCATTAGAAAATCATTCTTTTTTAAACGCTTTGATGACAGAATGTTAACTTTTTTCTACTATTAATTTTATTCAAAAGTTTTTATAATAATAATAAAATCTGTATCAAAATTAATTGTATACAGTTTTTAAAAACTACCTACACGACAAACAGCCAGAACAACTTGGTTATAATCTGTCTAGTGATATGAATGCAAAACGAAAAAACAAAAGTTTCGCTTCGCTGATTTTGTGACGCAACTATGATGTTTATAATGTAGGTTATGGACGTAAACTAAAATTATAATTATTTTATTTCATATGTTGATAATCCCTAATTTGCATAGTTGCATATATTAATGTTTCTTCAGATTAATTTCTTGGTTATATTTTATTTTCGAAATAATACAGTAGCCGGTTTTCGCTACGCCATTCGTATATGCTTAAACACTGACTTCAGTCCTAATGAAATTAGTATAAATTTAAAATTAATAAAGAATATTCAAAAACAATTCTCAAACTAAAACAATTATAACAAATTAATTCGCATTGTGAAACTCTTTTTGAATTATTACCAGTAACTATTATAAAAACATAAAGTTCACTTAGAATGAGATACATATATATAATTATTACGTATTCGACTATCCAACACGATCTCAGTACATGTTTTTATTACATTTTATATTTAATGTTTAATTATTCATCTTGCACATTGAGTTATACGTCTGCCTACGTATGTTTACCATCAAACTATACTTTAACGGAACATATATTATTATAACTACTAAAGATTTATCTATATCATCATTCATATTATGTATTATATAATAACGATAGAAACAAAAATAAATTTTAATTGAAACTAGCTATCCGCCCCGACTTCGCACGAGTGTACTAAATTTTTAACTTTTCGATACAATTTTCCAAACATTTTCTTTCATTCCAACAATATCCTGACAATTACAAATACAACAAAAACAGAATTAGCCAATTAGACGCAGCTGTAATCAATAATCAGCAATCGTTTACATACGTAAACGTATTGCTTCAGAACAGGAGATAATAATAATCGATTTTTATTTTATATAGAGTAATTATAAATCTTTACTTATATTATATATAAAAATAAAAACTTCAATTTTAACATAATTAATATGTTCTATTGTATTACATCCTAAAAGAACAGTTTACAATTGGCGAAGTATATACAAAAGAGATAGAATCGTTAGACTCTATCTGTTACATGTCGATCGGATCGAAAACCCCTATGAAATATATTAATTACATACCTACTCGTGTGCATATTGCGTGTTTTATTAAGTGTTATTAAGTCACGGTATTTTGCTATCACTGCCTATCAATCGCTGTTTCTACCTTATAGTTAGCTGCTAGAAAATGCCATAAGGCATTGAACTCGCCAAATGTATACGTATTACAGTAGTTAAGCTATGTAATAGTAAAATAGAAGATTTTTATTAATATTATAAATGTGAAAGTGACTTTATTTGTTGGTTATCTCTTGGCGCCTTAACGATTCAACCAATTATTATGCAATTTATTATGCACACTATTGAGATAGAGATGCTCATAAGCCATTTTATTCCAGCCAGTCAATATATCTTTGTTACGTGAAAGTCGCGGATAAAAACTAGTAAATAAATGAAACATGAAAAACATATTCCAATAATTATTGAGTGATTGAAAAATTTCAAAGCAGGCAGAACTCGAACGTGCAAATTCTACACTAAGCTGGAGCAGTGCTCTTACCAGCTCAGCTACCTATTCATCGGATACCTAATTGATGATCAGCGCCTTACTATCCGACTTGGTCCAATGAAACTGCGAAAAGATGTTGCATCATAGGTTCTAAGGAATTGTCCGGATTAATACCTACTATTCAATTTCACTATTACACAACCAGCCAGCAAACTAAATTTCCATCCCAACCATCTGGATGAGTGGCGATCTTCCGCAGTGTATTTTTCAAAGCATTTTTTCACACATAACCACTCTTTAGAATCAATTTCCCGCAGCAGTATTTCCAAACTGATACGGCATCGTAACCTTCAACAAAAAAGTATATTCCTTTTTAAAAGACCAGCAGAACTCCTGCAATTCTTACAGTGTGCGGGTCATAGGCGATAGTAATCATATACCATCAGGTGAGCATGCGGCTCGTTTACTACTTATTATAAAAAAACCTGTCCGAAATCAATTCATAAGCAGTAAATAAGCGATAATTATTGGAAAATTATTTTCGTATTTCTGTATCAATTTGCAATTATGTAATAAAATGCCAAATATCTTATTATAAATAAAAATGTATAAATAAATAAATTTTTAAACAGTGACACAATGGGCACCACTGTGCGATGAGCCGCTTGCCATTGGTGACGCTCGCTCTGCTGGTGACAGCATGCACGGCGGCTGCGCAGCTCCGACCAGCCGACGCATCCACAGCTGATAACGACACACGTGAGTGAGTCCAGTGATCTTTATAACTTTTGCTTTTTTATGCTTACGATAATAGAAAGACAAACAAGATAACGTTCAGCTGGTGAAAAATGCTAATTGTCTTTTTTTTTACACGATTAAAATTGAAATATACACGACTCCGGCACTCCTCATTGGTACCCCACCAGCGAATACCAATAGCGAGATTACCATTTCATTATAATCTATTAAAAAAATCCGTTAGCACTACCTACAAATGCAAGCGGGGTATCAGTGTATGAATATGATAGATTAGGATACAGTCAGATCAGTTGGTATTATATATATTGCTAGCAAAGCAAACCCTTTTACTATTCCTTGCATGGAATGCAAGAATGTTAACCGTAACCTATATGGAGGAAAAGGGATTGTTAGTAATGGAGACTGAGAATCTCATTGTTAGCAATATACCCAACCAGGTCGACCTCCTTGTGGTTCTCCCTGGAAACTATCATGGTTAATTCCTGATGAATTCATCATGATGGGCTAACTGACCTGTTTTCATTCTCATCTATCACCCTTCACTGGTGCTCCGCCAGCGTATCCCGTTAGCGCAGGTCACCGTCACCTATAAACAACACTACCAATTCACAAAATATACTACGACGCTCATAGATTAACTTTGATTATTCCTGAGCACTAAAGTAATGACTCCGTATCCGTATTTCGTAATTTCACTTCACCTAGTAGAGACACTTGGCAACAGAGACATGTAAAAATTAGTTATTAGTCATAATATTTTATCTGGCAAAGTGTTCTGTAATGTAAGCTTTAATATGATTTTACGCCTCTTAAATTGCTTAGTTTTATTCCTAACAAATTACATTATTTACGGCCTCGACAGTAATGTACAATTATTGCCAAGTCTTACGATAGCTAAGAAAAACATATGTACTAGTATTAAAAGCGTTCATACTGTTAGTGTCTATATTTCGAAGTTTATTTCCACAAAAAGAAAATCAAATCCCTTTCAATTAATAGCTAAAGTTATCAAAATGAGTTCAAAATTAGCGAATATAATTATTATAAAGTAACATAGACACAAAAAATAAAAACGAATTAAAGACCTAATCTCTAACAAATTTTCGTGGAAAAGTTTCTCTAATTTATTTTTGTTTCTTCAAAAACTACTTAATTTTTATTATTTTATATGAAACATGTTATAATAATACTTCAATTAATTAATAACTATGTTTACTGTCAAACCAACTATCTCTTATTTCACATTTTTTACATTTCGAGTATAAGAGAGACAAAGTTAAAGAGGAGGCCTATATCTGAAGACGGACGCAATAAAGACTGCTATAAATAGATACGCGAATAATCTATTCACCAAAAGAAATACATTCAGAATTATTAAATATTTTAACTCAAAAATGTTATGTTATGTTAAACTGTTATGTTATAATTAAAATTATAAACAAAGATATTTCAATACTGTGTATTTATACACTACGTAAGTATAATGTTAAACAATCTGACGCCATTCTCACTCGATGCAGACTGCTGACCTATGCATAAATGTTCATGCCTCGTGATACTCATAAAGGTCAAATAATGAATACCATACCTACATAAATAATACTAAATATTATTTCGTAACTAGTAACAAATTAAGTAGACATTATAGATTAACTTACTTTCAAAAATAAAGCATAGCATTTTTTTGTACTATATAAGGCTCTAAGTATACAATACGTGTACATTGTTTAAATGTCTAAAATATAAAGTACACTATAGTCATGGTTTAAGCACATTGAAGCTATGTTGTTTAGAACTAGGTTATTTTATTATTGATTACTATTATTATTTCGTTTAAATATAAAATTCAAATAACCACATTGAGATTAAGCAAGTACCTACAAGTACATAGGTAAGTGCTGAGTTTTTTGTTTCTTCAGATTTATGAGCGACCATCTTAAAATGTTATAATATAGCTATCAGAACCTTGCAGTAACATTATTAGATCGTATATCATCTACCTGAAGATGACGTCAAGAGTCTCTATAACCAACGTTACATTTATTCATTAAAATGGACGAAACGCGGGAAATATCCAAGTGTGTAGGTTCACACAAAAGCGTATTTTAGGAGAAGGGAGGGGGATGGGCCATACCCGCCCCAGAATTTTCCAGGGGCCCATGTCTAAGACTACATATACGCCTTTTTTTAAAAGGTCTACGCCCCTCTCCCCCCCATCCTCCCTCTCTGGAAATTAATCTTAAATATGGCAACGTATAGTATGTACTTCATATGAAACCTCACATGATAATACATAAAATCTCTTATTTGCTATCGGACTAAGACCACGATTGACATTTCAAATACATATAATTTCATGTGTAAATATAGTAGATATGATATGCCACCTTTTTATAAAAGAATGTTTTGACTTATTCCAGTAATATAAAAACAATGATAAACTTTTGCTCAACAATTACACGATAAACAGGCCATTACTTATTAACGTATATTATCATCATAAAGCGAGTATTAGTTATAATGTTGCAATTAGTCCACAAAGTATACTGGTTTCATAATAACTGAACCATTTCTTACATTATATGTTTATGCAAGTGCCAACATTTACTATTATAATACGTACGTAAATTTACTACTTGCAAAGTGTCACAGATTTATTATGTAAATATATTTTTTTATTTAATACTAGCTATTTCCCGCGGCGATGCCCGCATGAATCAGTGTATAAAGTATCCTATGAGTTAAAATATAATATAACCTACCTTCATAAAGTTTCAGCCAATTCAACTGATCTGTTATTTTATAACATTCTATATGTGATTCTTTAGATTGGTATAACTTTTTTTATTTATGAACCAATTGAAATAAAACAAACACTGAATGTTAAGTGGAGCAAACCGCAAAGCATTAGTGAAAACCGCATTCATATGGGTTAAGTCGTTTTTAAGATTAGCGCGCACAAACGTACTAAGAAATGGTTTTACCAAAAATTCTAAAAATCTTTTGGGTTCTATTGCGTTCATAAAGCCCTCTTATAATATTTTTTCTTATATATCTTCCATGTACAGACAGCGACCAGTTACGGTTTTATTATATATATTGATTGATTGACTAGATACCATTTTTTTTTTAAATTCATATAACCAATATTTAGATGATGCTGAATAGCAAAAGTATATTTATTTAATTTAGAATAGTTTTAACTGTTTACAATTGTGTAATGTATTTTAAAAATAATTAATTTGACAAACCAAAATATTATTTACATTATAAGCAAGTAGAATTGATTACAGATGTTTTATTTTTAATTTTTAATAAATGATATAAAGATAAGAGGAGCGCCGACTATATACAATGATATAAATAAATACTCTTACTCCTATAATATTTAAGTATTCTGTCTCTATATAAATCTGTAGTTACCTTCAGTTTTGCATTCTATTAGTGGTAGCTATTTTTATTATATTAACAGATAATGTAATATTAAGTCATAAATAATATAAATTTTTTTATCAATATAAAATATCTATTAATAACTAATTAAAACAATAGGACACTATTTTTAATATATATCTAAAAATAAAAATCATCTTGTGTTATATATATATATATATATATATATATATATATATCGCGTAATATATAATAATATATATCTATATATAAATAATAATTATCTATGTTTTATATATATATATATATATATATATATATTCCAATACATATATAATATATATAATTTAATGTATGTAATAGTATTCCTAAAAAACTGACGGCATTACTTGGCCAAGACGCATAATTTTAACCACCTAAAGCATTCGCACGCTAGGCGCGGTGTAGCCTTTCCCTCTGCGAAGGTATAAGCAATTATCATAGCTAATTCTGCCCAATTGACTATGTATGAAGACCTGTGACGAATCATTTAATCATCATTTAAATAATCAAATCTATTTTTGTTGCAACCTTTTATATAACTTTATACAACTAATTCGTTTATCGATCCCAAACTTTAATTTTGTTCTTATTTCTCTCTCCGTCCGTCTTTCCAGCACAAAATAGTAGACTTATATTGCTTGTATTGCTACCATTTCTTTTGCGAAAGCTTAGATTCGTGAACCCATTTATATAAAGGCAATCGAGTTAATGTGAACAAAATACAGTGACCATTCAATCGTATAATCCCGTTAATTTAACTGCACCACTCTAATCGCATATTGCTCGCACTTTCCCTTTGAAAGTATCGAACAATACACTAAGTCAACAGCGAAGTTACAAATTATTTTAAAAGTCATCATAAACATAGCATTACAAAATATTTACCACACACACATATAGTATAATGGAAATGCAGGTTGTTGCTCAAGTAATATCGCTTCGCTACATGAAAGAACATAATTTTCAATTAAGAATATATAATCAAGCAATTTCTCTACTATTTTTAACGCTTATATGCGTAGGTGTCCTACACATATAACATCACCTCAATTAACTGATACTGGCTAAAACCGATCGAGTACCGAGAACTTTATTTATACGCATTTAGCTAAACTTATTTTAAGTTACATGAAACTCAATATAACACAGTTTAGTAGAATTACATTGATGCAATTTTATAAAAAAGACTGGAATTTCCCCAAACAAAATCAATATGATATTTTTACGTAATCTATGATGAAATCAGAGCGTGGGAGTAGTGAAATTTATCATTCACCATTTGCCACTTTTAAACTTTGTATACGAAATTCGAATAAACGTGCATCGCCATGCATATATTACGCCCAAACACAGAACATTAGCATAGAAATTCCAATACGGGTTTCGAGTTGGGTATTGAGGAATCCGAAACAATGAAATGATTTGAGTCAAATTTTGGACTTCACCATATCAAGCCAATTGTTTGTAACTTCAATATGTAATATTTATAATTATGATCATATATGAACTTAACCATAACCCTAATTTCCAACGTGGGAAGCTTGACCTGAAGAATTTCGTAATTATAATACAAATAAGAACCTAAAGCATTATCACTTTCACACTTCACTGTAGCAATAATTATTGTTATTATCACTTACGACAAATTACGCAGACGAAGAATAGTCCTAGTCCTAATAGCAGTAAATTTTAACCGTTAAAATAATCACCTTTTCTAAGTCTGTCGTTTGCGCTGGTCTATATAGGTATCAGATTTAGGAAGCGAAATATATAAATAACAAGTTATCTCTCATAAAACGTAAATTCTTTCGTAACTTTTTTCTCAAGGATTTTAGAAATTTCTATTTATTGTATAAAGAAAAACATCAAAGAATTTTTTTATTTGTATTTTCAGGATGTGGCACAGAATGTGTGAGATGTGCTGCGGACGGATGTGTAAAATGCGCCCGGCTGCTCATATGGCCGGGGGGTACTTGCACTCACGACTGCCCGTCAGGTACTCGCGAGTCCTGGGCACACGATGATCACCTCATGGGCCGTGTCTGTTATCCTTCACATACATATAACGAGGTCAGTAAATGTTTGTAAAGGTAGCACCTAACAGTATGACGATAGGTTTTATGTTTAATCTGATCGAAGGATATTGATTAATCTTTTTAAAAAATAGCCCATGTCCTTTTCCATCCCAAATACCTTTTACAACTATAAGTTGAGTTGTTATGGTGCCTAGAAGTAATAAATAAATAAACTTAACATCCTTATATAGATAAATATTTGTTGACTTTAAAGAACATTTTAAACAATTTCTTGAACTTTGGATGTGCGAATAAGATAAAGTCTTTATTTTTATTTTTGCACTATATGTATTATTATAAAAATGTAAAACGACATCCCATCATGTGTTTTTACAGTCTTGGAGTTCTCAAAAAACGTGTGAGAAACCAACTAATAAGTCGACATAGCGGGATCAAGCAGTGAGTTAGGTTCATCTAGCTATGGGTTGATCTTGTTCATGGATTGTCCATCAAATCTTGCTTCTGCAGACATTTATTATACCATAACATGTAAAGCTCTTATAAAAAAAAATGTCATGAACAACACGGGTTACAAAGTTTTATTTCGATCGCTAATTTAATGTGTTTAAAATTATCAAATATCTGTAAATCTGCACTTAAACCTATTGTCACATAGTTTGATTAACAGAATAAGTCGACTGTCAATAAAACCAATAATTTGGTAGCAAATCAGTCGACATTTAAAGATGACCAATTATTAATGTCAGAAAAAACACCTATCTATTTGATTATACAAGAAAAGTCTTTTATGTTTCCAAATTTAAATTTAATGATAGGCACACAAGTTTGTTAGCAGAACATCAACACCTGACTCAGTGAATGTGTTTTTAATAGCATTATAAGTATATAATGAAATGTTAATAACGCTTATAATGGTGAGGAAGAAGAGCCTTATATTATTTGTTGTACGGCATTGTTTGAAACCTTTCTCGCTAATGTGTTTTGCCCTATACCTACGTATCATATATCTTAGTTACAGGCATTCATTACAAAGCAAATTTTGCCAAGAGCTGCAGGAGCAGGCATGTACTAACATGTAATATTGAAGTTAAAAGTTTCGTTTTACCAAAAAAAAGACTTGTCGATTGTAAATCGTTTGCATCTGTACAGAAGTGCACTCTTTGCACATGAGTACAGGAGTGGGAACTCCTGTTTTCGCCGTGAAGCAATTGTGCTTGCATGGCTGTATGTGTATTTCAGTTTGAAGGAACCCATAACATACTAGTCCTTAAGAATGGCAATGTATGAGGGATACCATGGGCATAATAGTATATTCTAGCTGTGGTATCCATGGTGATTTTCAAGTCTACAAGCGACGGTTACCACTTTCTATCAGACGGGCCGTCAGCTTGTTCGCTATTCTAAGTAACATAAAAAAAAAACATATATTCAAGAGTTATTTATTGACCCTTATGTAAACTAAAATATTCTATACTTTCCAGTAACGTAACCGATCCGAGATATCAATTCTCTTATAAAATATTCCATTTCCTTAGTAATCAATGTTAGTGTATATATTATAACTTACGAGTATTAAGTAATAAAAATAGTAATGTATTATATAACTATAGTATCTAATCATTCTGTAGAATTCAGATGAAACTACTTACCATTCATACCAAGCCCTCGACGCTCGTGTAGGTGCTATACAAACTCTATACGCTCTATCTAAAATTAAATTTAGTGAAGCTTGTGCCACCTTACTACAGAGTAATTATAAAAACAGATATTCAAAGCTAGCAGTGGAGGTAGCACATCAAAGTTAAAACAAGCCGCTTTTTAGATTAAAAGCGCGACCAGGCGCGACCCTAATGCCTTTGTTACGCAACCCGATGCGGATGGAGCAACCCAGTAGTCATTAAAAATCAGTAATCTGTGCAACATATTAGATGATCAATTGAAGTGCATTTTATGAATTTAATCAATACAAGCTGTTGATCTATAACTGAATTTCAAATATTCTTGAGTCCTAATATAGTTGAATTCGAAATGACATATATTATAAAATCAGCAATCGTATTGCTGATTTTATAATATACCCCAAGAAACTACAAATAGTAGATTGGCAAACAATTTTTCAGCTCACTCTTTCTAAGATCAACAATATTAGATAATATAAATATTATATAAATAATAATAATAATATTTTTAAGGTAGATGTAAATTGCTTGTATTTGACCTATACAGACGAATGTATCGTTTAAGTAAGTGCCTATTACCAGTAATGAAATATTATTATGTATAAAAGTGTCGTCAGCGATTTCACTAAATATCATTTATAAATTACCTATATTTATCAAAATTTCTGATACAACATAAAAATACCATAATGTAACAGTTATTAGAAAAGATTTAAACAGAATTTACTTGAACACAAGTCTAACTTATTTTCATTGTTACATTCATGTATAATCATATGTGATTACATTTTTGTTTTGACATTTCAAAATATTGTATACCATATTAAATAATTAACTATATACTTAAATCTTTTCAATTATTATCTTCTTCTCTTGAAATTCTCTCAAATTAAGCGGCGGAAGTTAGTGACGACGTGTAATGTTTATTTGGTATTCAGGTGTTAGTTGGCGGTGCATGCGGCGCTGTGGTGTGCGTAGCACTGATAGCTGCGGGTGCCGCGTACGCACGCTGCAGGAACACCCGCTCTCACCCACGCCCTCTGCCGGCATCGCACCACGACGATGACACGCGGCTCAGGGAGTTTCACAAGCAACTCGACTGCTTGCGAGTAAGTAATTAGAATAGAGAAATCGGTTTCGAATCACTTTAGTCTGACAGTCTGAATAGCATAACCAGTAGGTAGAGTATCATGTGACTTAAGGTGACAATTAGCTCTATGGTACTAATCATAGACATACTGTAGGCGACAGTTGCATACATTTCAAATACCGCTATATAGAATTTCTTATATAAACTTGTAAATGAACATTCATTCATTTTTCAAATTTTAAAGCTCTTATAAAAATATACATCTACATATAATAAAAGAGCAAAGTTTTTAATATAAATGTATTTAGACGCTTTAAAATTTCCTTGCACATCCACGACACCGTTGCGGAAAATTAAAAGTGCCTCCATAATAAATTTTGTCAAAACACTGGTATTTTAAAGTCATCAACTTTTAATACTCATTCATCCACCTACTTATAAGTTAAATATTGTATAACTATATATAACAATTATAACAAACTCTGAAGATAGTTATTTTCTCTCCAATTATTAGGAATTTATACCGCGTGAAACATGCAAGATAATGGTTGCGTATTGTTTAGAGAGCAAGCTTACACGGTCGTGCCATAGTCTCACTTTCGAAACTCGTGCAATGCGAGCAGTGAGATTGATTTCTTGTACATGCACTGTCAATAATAACGCATAAATTAAACGCACGTTTGTAGAAATTTACGGTCTTACAAAGACGGTTAAAAACAATATTTGTTTTAAACAATATTAAACATAATTTAAAATACAACCTGTTATTTTGTTTTACAAAGTTAACTTCAGAACCGATTTTGATAAAATTAGTTTAATAAAACATATATTAGATAAAAAAAATCACTTTTTTAAATTAGTTTATGTTATAAGGTAAGAAACAAAAAAAATACCTAATTTCCTCCTTTAATGGTGTGATAATGTTTATTTTTGGTATTTTATATGCTAAATCGATATATTATCGTAATAAAATTTACTATTTTTAACATCTTTAATAAGACAGATTTTCTTTTGTTCAGACTAGAAGAGATATTAGACTCCCTTTTATAGTAAAGCTTCTAAATATGTATTTAACAACTATCACAATTTTATCTTTTATGTAGTAGGAACGAATATTTTTTCCCCCAATTTTAAACAGTAGCAACAAAGTTGATAGTAGATATATCCAATAAAAAGTGATATCGTATATATATATATATATATATATATATATATATATATATATATATATATATATATATATCTAAATGATCGCGTAAATTTCCGTAACTTTATATATATATATATATATAGTTAAAATAAATCATTATAAATATCACAGAAATATATCCAACTACCTACATTTCGATACAGTGCCTCCATTGAGTACTGAAATATTATCTTTTGTTAGAAATCGTATTGTGGTTATCTTATAGCCTGCAGACTATGAACTTCATACGTATTTTCTGTCCTTTATAATAGAACACATCGTATTGCATATATGTCCGTGAAAATACCACTGTGTTTTCACAGATCCTCACACAAAAAAAGAGTGTTAATTTCTGTGAACAAAATTCTCTCATTTGTACAAGCCTTATAAATTGTATCACATATACGAGCAACTAAAACACTATAACCTCTCTGTAATATAAAAATTACACCAAATGCACGCCAAGAATTCTTGATACCCCTCATGTCCTTGTCTATAAATATAACAAACTCAGATATCGCTGTTTCACCGTACAATTAAGTAAAACAATTAATACTGTGATTAATAAGAATGGGCTCTGTTGTTGTTGTTGTAAAATCTTTAATGTATATAATTAACATTAGATACATAAAAATGATTTAATAAACAACGGACGGACTTATTGCGTAGAGGGATCTCTTACAATTAACCTTTGAGAAGCTAAAAAAACTACAGAGTTATATTTGTTATAGTCAACTTCTTAGCAAAATCATATTAGATTTTTATTAAAAAAATACATATTACATAAATTGTTAATGTTTATTTTCCAGCCTCATGCCTACACATTGCTGGCTATACTGAACCATACGCGTAACCAAGTGCGCGAACTTTACCAGTTAGGCAATAACGATGCTGCGATGGCTTACAGGTATTTTACTATAATACATTGATTATTAAATATTAATTAGTATTAACATCATCTTCCTCTAAATGGTTTTCATAAACAATAGCATCAATTAACAAAGATCTCTACATTTTACTGATTCTACGTAACTTCATACATCGGAGAAGTCAAGCTACAGACTTTTATTGATTCGTCCGTGCAATTCTGATAAAACACGCCAAGCTTTGTACTTTATCCAATATCCCACCTCATCTTGACAATAATTTGGGACATAGATGGACCAAATCTAAGATTTAAATTTATTTTACTCAAACCAAAATTCCATCTATGAACGTAAAGCAATATTCTGTTACTACTTATATAATGCGCCCCGAGAGTTTGCCATATATGGTGGCTTTAAATGTTCTTTTTTATCATTTTATTTCTACGAATCTGTTCTAACTTACTTTTCATCGATGTATCATGTATGTAACTTAGAGATATTTGGCACTTGATATTCTCTACCTATCCCACAAAATACTTGGTGCAAAGTTACACAGTTATACAGAACAAATAAGTGTGAAGAAACCATAACTAAGCTCTTTATAGCTAAACAACTGCATCAACGTTCAAAGCGTCAATATAGACATTGCAAGCGGCTGTTTGTTAGTATAATCGTTTAACTACTAACGTCTAATAATAGTTTCCGTTGCAGCTGCGTTCTAAGCGACCTGGCCAAGCTACTGATTCTACTGAACAAGCAACAGGTACCCGTGGTGCCGGATGAGTGGCCACGTCTCGCCAGTTGGGCTGAACGGTAACACACACACAAACTATTTGAACTTTCCATTAGTGTGATAAAATATAACAATGTTTATTTAAAGCCGAGATTGACTTCTGTGTATTTTAAAGCTTTTTTTATCCAGTCATATGTTGAAAAAAATAGTACCTAATTGTAAATAAATAACCAACGACTTCAATGAACGACGTTTACGTTTAGATTTTAAAAATTGAAACGTTTATTTATAAATAGATTATATTTCATAACAAGCCGAGACAAAACTAAACCAAGACAGAAATGTGCCCTATCGAATGCAAAAAAATCACCTATCAAAATTAATTCCTAATAGGCGACATAATCGTGAAGCATGTTTACAAAAAAATCCAGACGAATAAAGAAGTTCCTCCTTCTGAAAATAACTTAAAAATATTAGTTATTTAAGGTGACGAACTCTTAAAATACGGTCAAAAATAAATGAAATAGGTAATACATAGTTATATCCAGCTAGTTTAAAACCCAGGATAGTCTGTACTAAATAAAAACCTGTCAATGAACTACTAAACTTCTACGCGCACAGAATTGACCTAAATGAATCACAATAGGCGATCAACCTGCTTATATTATAGACCCATTACTTTAATCGGATAAAACTACTTACTAGCTTCTTGAAGGTCTGTTTATTTGGAACAATTTTTTCTACTTACAATGAATATATTAAATTATTACGCGATATTTTGATCAATTATGCACCGATTTCAATTTTGATTATTTTGCAATCGACAATGTTTCTCCTAACATATGTTATTCCGATACTCATTTTGTCAAGACCTTTTTAAGTAACAATAATTAAAATCAATTACAGAGTTTAATTTGTGTACTACCGTCTTATCTATAACGCATTGTTGGTGGTATCACGAACAGTACCTCTATTCTGTGATGTATTTCTAAATATGATATTGATCATCTATATAAGCGAAACTGTCCAATTCTATTATATAACGTATCAGATTGTTATCGCTTTCAATTACTATAATTTCAACTTATACATCAATCACTAATTAAAATAGGATTGAATGGGTTATATTATCTATAGCGAAATATTATGGCCATATGTCGCGGCAGAGTGTACTCTGTTATCTGAACTATAATCCATCAACTCTGCAATACTATTAAAAAAAAAATTTTTTTTTTTTCAGAATCCTGAAACGGTACAGCCGTATCGATTTAGGTCAGCCACAACAGGAAGGACAATTGGTGAATTTCCTCACAGCGCCGCCGAGTCAAGCCTCCGACTCCGAAGGTACACAGCAATCGTTCTCTACATTCAAACCTCCATCGTACTCGCCTACATCATACCACAGCAACATTGATAAAGAAACGGATAGTCAGTGTGAGTGGAGCGATGTGGGACGACCGCCAAGCTATACCCAGATTGAGAGAGAAAGAGAAGCGATAGTCCTCTCTGACCCCTGGGAGAGGCGACCGATTGTCAGAAGAGAGAGTATATGGCTAGAAGACGAGCTATTCGAAATGACGAGGCGACCTCAAGATGAACTTACTACCGAATTATAAGGTATTCATTCCTCAAATAACAAGTACAAAGACTTTCTAGATATTAAGTTTTCTTTTATTACCAACCTACCTAGCCAAGACGCAAATAAATTCTTTGGTATAATTTTCCGACAGTGTTACACATGAAAAGAACACAAAGCCAGATGTTGCTATTTCGTTCTTTGTCATATACGCGGTAGCAATAACGTGTCTATCGATATATTATTTTGTTACTTGTCTAGGAGGGCAAATGGTCTTTTTTTATAAAATCTTGTAGCTATATGTGTCATCAAGTTCAATTAATTAATATTAAAACCTCTTACTTATTCTATTGTACCTATATATTTATAAATTTGAGTGTATACATATAACGACTGAAATAAAAACAGTAGAACGCCAATTTAATTTTAACACAAGATGTAGTGTTCATAATTGTTATAAGCTAAGGCTGTTGTAAAAATATATGATAATGATAAAAACGATTTAAAAAATCGGAGTCTACTCGTTGAGTGTGAAGAGTCGATTGTGTTTTTTTTTTTTAAGTACAATTATTTGCTTCTGGCTAGGATATATATCGTAGTCAAAATATTTCAGTGCACCAAAAATAGCGATATAGTAAGAATATAGCTAATTCACCAGATAATCTATATTCATTTTAACTTTACAACTTGGGATCTTGTTGTCATACACCTGCATACTACGAGTATGACTGACATTAATGGTGCTATTACACAATATTAAAATGAAATATCTTCTTAATTGTAATTTGATAACTGTAATATACATTACGCAATTCGATTTAAAGTGATTCGAATTATTTTAATTATACCATTCCGTACCTGTAACAATAATATACAACTTTATGTAGATAATATTTAATAAAATTTTATTTAGTTAACGTCAATATTATAACAATGCTGTTTATAAATAACATATCTATATTAACAGATGATATTATATACCTATACTCATGGACTTCAATTCCCATTATCTTACTACTTTATTTTTACATAATTTCTGATTATTGGATTATTATTCATAATTTCAATTAACGTCGATTTAAAGACATTGGAGAAAATGGGAATTGTCTTCAGAAAATTAAACCAAAGTAGAAATTAAGTTAGATGTCTAGTCCTGTTTGTATAGTGATTAGTACCTACCTACCTGTTTTGTTTCAATTCAATATTGTTTTGTAACAACATGTTCTAAAAATAATAGGTACTTATATTTTAGAAATTTATGTATCTCAAATTACACTTATTTATTTATAAACTAGCTTTTATCCGCTACTTAGTCCGCGCTACTTAGTCTGAATATATCTATTGGTCAGGATAAAAAGCACCCTAAGTCCTTCACCCTATATAAACCGTGTATACCAAAATTGATTAACTAACAAACTCACTTTCATATTTATATATACCTATTATTAATTGTAAAGATAAGCTGCCAGATTTTTTTATGCAACTTAGAACTTTTAATTTTACATAATAAAACAAATCTGGGCAAAAGCTAAAACCAGTCTTAAATAAAATGTTTGCATCTTTATTTCTATAAAGATACCAACTCAGCCTACTAATATTTTCATATTATTATATAAAGACCGATCAGTCAAAAATAATTTTTCTACCAGAACTGTTTTTTTTTTTTTAAATTGTGTACCATATTTCATATAATATCCATTTCTATATTAAAATAACCTAAGACCTAATATTAGATATAATGTAAATGTCAAATATTCTTCACATTTAATTTTGTACAACGAAACGTATATAAATATTTATGTAAATGTTACTTACTAAAATATCTTTATTTATATGTAGGCAGTTAGGATAATTTATTTGTTAATTAAATACTTATTATTTTGTAAGTAATTAAAATGTATTGAATAAAGATGTTTATATAGTTTGTTTTATGAATATTTTATTAATTAGAAATTACCTGAATTCACAAATTTTTATACGCGACTTGGTACTGTTCTGATCCTTCTCCATACTAAAAACTACATGTTATTTTTAATTTCATAAAACTGACTAACAAACAAACTCCCTTTCACATATTATATCATATATAAGTCAGGATCAACATATCATTTCAATTGAGCATCCATTATATCAAAGAATTCATGTTTTATTAAATGTTTCATTAAAAATTATCAAGGGGAGGTCCGGTAGGCCTTACCCACCCCAAAATTAACTGACCTACTACTAACTACTAGACAAAACAGTCTTAATTACGCCATTGCTTAAAATAAAAAGATAACACTTAATTTTAGAGTTACTTCTATATGACAAAAATCAACGCAAATATTATATGCCTTAGAACATGTGCAGAGATATAGTAGTGAAATTACAGAATTCAGAGATATAATACCTTTGTCATCAAGAATAACAGTACCTCATGTGAATCACCAACATACCTTAGACGACGATTATTACTTTTCATCAGGTGTTATACTACTATTGCCTACTTATACAGCAATTACAGACTTAATCTAAGTGTGTCATCACGACTGGCCCCACGAATTAAATTGCATTTTAGGCATTTCATGTCTTTGAACTCCTTTATGAGGAGGCCTATGTTTACAAGTGGACAGTTAACGGCTAATGTGATGATGATATGATATGTCGTTGAAATTTACAACTGATTTCATGTTTTAAATACTTATTTTAAATTCATGATCTTAACGCGACGCGATTGCAGGTAATAGTACGTAACTACTTCACTTTTATGACCAAAGTTTTTAAATATAAAATGTGTAGATAACACGAATGTATAATTAATATTGTGTTCCACAAAAAAAGCCTTGAATTGTTACAAAATCAATTTCAATTCAATAAACTAAACTACTGAACTGATTTTAATAAATTTTTGGGGTCAATCTGTAAATATATCTTTTCAGATAACAAAATCCAAATCGGTTTATAACTGACGAAATTTTGAGATAACAAACTTAAAATTATAATAATAATAATAGAACGTCTGTCAATCATATAACCATCTCGGAGATATGTACTTTCGGATGGTTCAGATCTTACCAATACTGAGTACTTGCACAAACCAGGTAGCCAAAATACTCTATCAAGAGTTAGCTCTCAATTACGGCCTTGTGAATGAAAGGTCCGTATTATAAGTACGAGCCCCAGCCGGTCCTCAAAAGTGACAGCGACAAGCTATACTCCTATACCGACGACCTATATAGACGATACCGATCCATCACAGATAGGACAGTTCCTGCAAAGAAACCTGATATCGTGATGATGGATTAAACAGTCTCGAAGGTGTTTTGATGAATGCCACCATAACAAAAACCTCGTAAAAGCAGAAACAGAGAAAAAGAGCAAATATCTCGACTGTGCTTGTAAGTGACCTACGGGGTGACCGCTATATGGGGGGTGACATCCACCGAAATCATTCCAATCGTTCTATCTATGAACAGTCTTATCCCAACTAGTCTGGAACATCACCTCAAATAGTTGAGATACTGTGGCAGCTCGTTTCCGGGAAATATATATATACGTCATGATTTTTTTCTCGAATTAGGGCCAATTCAGATGTGTCATTCCTCTAAACCTTAGATTATACACCTATCCCCCGATTTACACGGTACTTGTTTTACACGTTTTCGCTTTTACACGGTTTTCCAAATAAGTTTTTTTTTGTTTTTATCGCACTCTACTAAATGCTACTGTGTTTGAACACGTGCGCTGTGTACACATCTCACGGGGAATCCCGAGCTTATGTGCTGACTTGTTGCACATGCACACTGTGTCTATATTTCTTCGCATAAAATTAAAGTTTTATCTACGGAAAATTGTATTTGAGTGAAAGTTTCACAGTGTCAGAAAGATTTAATTTTTCATATTCGTAAATTACAAGTGAGTGCATTATTAAGATTTTTATAAATTAACATAAATAAAAAAAAAATTATAAGCTTATAATGTCGAAAGAAGTTATTTCTTTAGAAAATAAAATCGAAATTTTGGATCGCTTTGGATCGTTTAATGTATTGTAATTAAATAAAAAAACAGTGTTTCCGTAATATATTACATATTTTAACCTGTCAATGCATTTATTTTTATTTCTGTGTACACCTAAAAATATTGAAAAAAATCACAACTGTTAAATAGCAAAATTATGCATTTTCTGCAAGCTTTTCGATTTACACGGTTTTGACTTGAAAATTTTTAATTTTCGATTTACACGTTTTTCTCAGGAACGTATCTACCGTGTAAATCGGGGGATAGGTGTACTCTTAATATATATTTTAATTTGATAATTTCGCAAAATCACTGTTTTATTAATTATTACATGCTAAAGTTACAATAATTTTGACATAAATCTATTAAAAAATGAGTTCATATTGGTTTTTACACTGAAAATTTCGCAATGATATATTAAATAAATTTAATTTTTAATTATACAAATTAAATTTTAATTTTAGAGATACATTTAGAACTTAGATTATACTAAGATTTTAGGGAAATTGACTCCGTTGTTTATCCTATATTTTTAATCTATTCTGTCAGTCAAATACATACCGTATCTGTCAGTCCAGTATAATATTTAGGTGTCAATCGGCAGTGGGTAATGTCATTTTGATTGACATTATTCTTAAATTCTTAATCGAATCCTCTAAGAATAAGCACAAATTAGCAAATTTATAATATTTATTTACTAATCCAGATTACATACGTTTCATATAAAGCCAGAATTTTATTATGGTGTTTAAATAGCTATTATGTAAATATTCAATTACAATTAATTATAAGTAGTGCAATATCAAATAAATTTCATAACTTCAGAAATCGCTTTTCCACATTAATTAAATCGTATATAGCGGTAAATTAGAAAACCTTTAGTTAAATTTCATTTATTTTAGTTTTTTAGACGCATTGTAATTATAATTGTACGTTGGGATAGCCATCAATAAATAGATTTACATACAATTGATTGAACTTTGTAACAACTGTTCATACAGATTTAATTTTAAAGACATTGTGTTATTTCTTTTATCTGTCAACATTTATGAAAATAATGTATATACATTATTAAATTGAAAGAGTGTTGTTAAGTATGCCCAATGGTGAGTACCTATATTTAAAAATCAAAATAGCTTATATAAATTTTTATATATATACAATTAAAGTAGAGTATTGGTGATGATATTGGGGTCAATTCTAAAGTACTAGACCCTAAACTTTCTCCAAAATAAAAATTTTGATTTGATAATTTCAGATAGTTGATAGATACCTGGTGATCCATAACAAAACTATCAATTCTTAGTAGAACTAAATTAAAAGTAGTTCTGACTTAAATCTATTATAAATTTAGTTGCTTCAAATACTAATTTTGTTGTGATAGCACAACAAAATTAGTATTTGATATCATAAATTTTAGATGTAGACATAGATGATGGTGTCAGCAGTAATCTGGCTTAATGGAGAAGTTGCTCTATGTCAATATTATTTAGCATTACCTACTGACCTACATGTCACATCACCGATTATCCTGTTACAACCATTACTTTTACAGTCTTTAAAATATATATGGTCCTGACATAGAATGGGCCAATCCTTTTTTCCGGTGTGTGTCATAAGAGGTGACTAAGGGAATTTAAACAGTAGAGGGATGGGCAGCTATGTTCCTATTAAAACATCATCAAATCCTAACTGTGGTTGCCAATCCACCTTTCAAGTGTGGCAACAACTAAATGCCCCCAATAGGAAGAAGCCTGTGCTCAGAAGAACAGTTAATTGCTAGTATAATGATAATGATCATAGAAATTAGGGAAAATTTTGAAAAAAAATAACTTGAAAAAGAAATATTAAGAGAATCATCAAAATCACATTGTATATGAATATAAAGATGAAAATATTACATTATAATATACAAAACATATTAATTCATTGGAGGACTTTTTGAAATTTATTAAAAACAATTATATTCCTCCATGAATTATCATATTGTATTTATACATTATATTGACCTGACTGGTGTCACCTTTAAAACATTATCTAAAGTTATTTGTAAATACATGTAAGAAGCAGCAAAGTAATAGTACCTAATTGTTTTTATACTTATTATAGATATAAAATGTGACTACATTACATAGTTTATTTTAAATAATATTATCAACAAATTGTCTATCTCGTTAAGAAGTGTTGCTATTGTTTTGCATTTATATATATATACTTAATATTTGCAGATTTATTCTACAGCAAAATATTAACTACAAAAAAATCAATTTCAGCTATATAAAATGAAGCAATTGGCTGCATGGTAAGTGTATAATCCAATTTGTAATAAACCTTACTGAATTTAAATATATATTCTTGCACATTTACATGGAAATTAAATATAAAATAATATAAATTGTAATTACAATATCAGAACATAGAATGCATAGGAAACTTTCATTATTAAAATCATGTTTTTATGCATTCCTTGTTCCTATATATATGTATAAGGGGAAGTCCATGTTGAGCAATGGTTAACGGTTGATATGATGATGTACATCCATACATTCATATAGAATAGAATAGAATAGAATAGAATAGAAATCATTTATTCAAATAAACTTACATTGAAGCACTTTTGAAAAGTCATTACATTTTTTTTAATTTACCGCTCGTTCGGAAAGCTATCTCATCACAAGAAGAACGAGCAAGAAACTTGTGTGATGCTCTTTTAAATAATTTTATTATTATTTTACATTTTTAAGTTTAATTGTGTGAATACAAACCACCAATTAGCACTAATTCAATTAAATACTCAAAAAGAAAAAAAAATTGAATACATAACCAACTGGTTAAACAATTAATAAGAGGAAATCAGTCATAGTGATTAGAGCAGACCAGTCCCTACAAGCAGCACCCGTTCACGAGTATGACGGATGAGCCAGCCATCACTGCGCTCGACCATATTTTAGGGAGCCCAATGACCCGGCCCACCACGCCGCCACAAGTCTGGACATTTTAGTGAGCATGACTACTCAAAACACTAGACCACGTCAAAGCTACTCACATTCATATAATATCAACATTATTATAAAATGTCTGCACTTGGACTATTGAATTTTAATAAAAACAATGATTTGACAGACAAAAAAATTTATGATAATACAATTGACTTTCTGATAAATGTTTTTATTCACTTAATAACAAAATGATAAGGTCCAAATTCAAGGCCCCACGGTTGCATATAGACATACTTCTAATGTAATAAACTGTATTAAAAAAAATAAGTTATCATTTTATTAATTCATTTAAACAAATTCTATTGAATTTGTTTATTATTTAGACTTACTATTGTAAGTCTTATAACGTTTGTATTATTACATCATAAAATTGTACTGACAGGTATCAGAAAAAGATTAGTTCCTATGATAAAGAAGAATGGGAAACCATGGTAGAACAACTGTTGATGCGTGGTACATACCGTCGCCGAATAGTGGACTTCTCTAGTCATGCCCGCTCATACCTCATTGACGTCGACTTGGTTAGAGGTCAGTATTATAATAAAAAAATTATATTAGAAAAATATTTTTTTATTTAGAAATAGAAACATGTACATTTCATAAAAATCTATCTTCATTATTCAACATTATATTTCGCATGCATTCTATGCTAATGTAACAAACTTACATGAGTTAAGTGCTGCATTTGTTCATTGAAAAGGTAGCAGACAATTAATTGTTCCATTTGGAATTGTAATATTGAGCACTTATAAAACACTAAAATATATATGTTTACAGGTTCGTCGTTTCCAAAAGCAAAGCCGACGCTGGGCATGCGCCGCGTTGTATGGTTCGCACTTGTACGACTAGTATTTCTTCCAATGTTGTACCAGTGGTGGGCGCAGCAGACTTCAGCCACTTGCGCCAAATTCCTTCTTTCTTTGTGGATCATGCAACTCCTCAACATATCTTTGTACCTTTTAACTCCGCTAGACATAGATGTGAGTATATTATAAATCTACTATATGAGTAATTGACGTATTTAAGATTCCTTTAAGACCTGGCCTCTACGAGGTCTGTCCGGAAAGTTCGTATAAAAGTGTTCTGGAATGCGAGAAAGAGGAGTGGGGAGGCCAGGTAAGCGCAGGACCCATTCCTTATGTCCCTAACAATGCTTCAGTTCTGGTCTGACCGCCGTGCGGTGCCTGGCTTGTCACGCCATCTGTGAAGTTACAACGAAACCCCGTCGGCATGGAGCCCGCTTCCGTTGAAGAGCAGCGCGTCGTAATCAAGTTTCTCTCGAAACTCGGCAAGAATGGCCGTGAAATTTTTGCCGATCTCAGAACAGTTTATGGGGATGATGCTGTGAAGGAACCAACCGTCCACAAGTGGCCGAGAAAGAGTTCAGAGAGGGCCGAGAAAGCGTTCAAGATGACCCACGTTCAGGACGTCCTTCCACTTCACCAGTTCCAGACAGTTGATGGAAAATTCTACGTCGATGTGCTCAGACGCCTCAAAGCTCGTGTGGCACGAGTTCGTCCAGAATTGGCGCGAGAGGGGCGTTGGATTCTTCACCACGACAATGCCCCTGCCCACACCTCTCTTGTTGTCCGTGAGTTTTTGAGTAAAAATTCCATTACGGTGAACGAAAAACCCCCCTATTCGCCGGATTTGGCCCCGTGTGACTTCTTCTTGTTCCCAAAAACCAAATACTTCAGGGGCGGCATTTGGGGGACATAAATGAGATAAAAAAAAGCTACGACGGGGCAGCTGAGAAACCTACAACCAGAGGACTTTCAAGGAGCCTTCTCACAGTGGAAACGGCGTTGGCACAAGTGCATTATGTCACAGGGGGAGTACTTTGAAGGGGATAAAATTGATTTACCTGAATAATTGTAAAATAAAATTTTTAAAAAACTTTTATACGTACTTTCCGGACAAACCTCGTATATATACCTGGCCTTTGATATAAAAATGACACCAATATACTCTCAACTACACTGAGACAAGTCTTTGTGAAGCTTTACTCACATTGTGGAGTGTGCACCAGCCAACACAGTGTCTGTCACACACCCCTCCCCCCACAACAGATAAATTCTTAAATTATGTTTTTTTATAAAATAGCTATTACTATAACATTATTTTATTCTTTTGTAGGCCAATTGTTGGTTAGTGCCAATGGGCTTAATGTTAGTTCTAAGTGTTGTTCATTCACAAATTGTGAGCACCACCGAAATGGAACTAGCTAGAGTCCGCCCTCGTTCAACATACCATCGGAAATTGCCCCGGTATTTCAGGTAAATATATATTTTTTTATTTGAAAATTCTTACCTACTCATAAATATTTCTAAAAAAATATAATGTTAATAATTAATTTTTAATTAATAATGTTCTAAATAAATTATATACTATTTTATAATTTGTATTTTATTTTTGTAGAAATAACAAGCAAACCCATAGACATGACCTACAGTGTAAATTTATGATACATTATATTTCTTATATTTTCACATTCAATATCATAGACGTATAAGGGCAATATCCATTAAATAACTATAAATTATATCTTTGATAATAACGTTAATCCAGACGGCCGCGGTCAGACTGTGAAGGCGGCAGTGGTGGTGGATCAGCAGAAAGTGGCGCCACATCCAGTCAAAGCAAAACACCTTCGTCCAAACCAGCTAAGTTCAGACGAAGACTTTCTCGCTCCGAAATCTCAGATAATGGTCTAAGGTAGCTAAGTCAATTAACTCACACTTGTTTTACTTTCACCTTTATAGGATCAAAACAGTAAACAATATACTTAGGTCATGATAATTAAATATAACTGGACAACGAAAATTTAATGGAGTTACTCTGTTTGTCATCTTTGACAATTGTATCGACTTCATCCGGAAGTCTTCATCAGGGTGAGTATGGTGCTTACATCGCAACGTCTCTCCAAGCATTGCATACGTGTTGACAAGGCCCAAGTCTCAGCCAATTGCTTTGATCGGGCCATTAAATGCAATGAATAACGTGCGTTTTTTTTTTTTCAGAAAACGCAAAAAGGACCTTACAAAAGATAATCTGATAAAAAATTTGGATCCAGCAATAAAAACTAAATCGTTAATTAAAATCAAGATAAAAGACTCAGATGATGAGGAATACATGATGTGGAAGAAGCCTGACATAACGACACCTATTGTAACATTCACTCCGCCACCGGACGATGCCACAGCCAGCGTAGAAATAAAAAAATTAACAAAGAAACAACTAGAAACATTCAACGTACGACAAACCCAGCAGATAAACGTCGGAAGAGCAATCCTCCCTGATGGGGACGATGGGTTTGAAAGTCTTAATGGATATATTTCCAATGGAAGCGATGGTGATAATAGAAATAAATACATTGACTTGCAAAATCAAGGAAGGAAAGAAGATAATACAAACACTCCGGTAACAGAACCAGTAGTCAAGTCAAATGTGAATAAACTTAATGATATAGTTGATAATGCTGAAAATGAATTATTTAGAAGCACAGGAGATTTGAAAAAGGAAGATGATGACAAGTCTCTTGAACCCGACTCTGATTGTGGTATTCCAACAAGTAGTCCTAGTGTAAGAAAAAGAATTAGATTTAGAGGTTCCTGGCTCCAGGATGATAGAAGAGAATCTAGTGATGATGATTTTACTTCCGTTAAAAAAAAACATAAGGTAAGAGTGTTGTTCAACTTTTTTATTAGTTGCATACTTATAACATTTAAAATATATTGCTACTTGCTTTCATATCCAAGCAAAATCACTGTAGTTTGTTCTTTATTATAACGAGTAAGCCTTATGTGGTTTGATGTGGGTGTATGATGAAATAAAAGGAGAATGATATAGATAGATAGATAGATAATTTATTTACCAATAAATAAGGGAAATAAGACCAAAAATAGACAGTTAATTCAATTACCTACATATCGATACAGTACCACTTGTATGAGTATTATCGTTAGAGAATTTTGTATAACTAATAAATATTAATAATATATTTGAACAAATATGAAGACAAATTTTAAATGGCAAATGATAATGAAAAAAATAATTATTCAAATTATTTTATTAAAATATAACTTATTTAAGGTAACTTACTTTACTCGCATGAAATCCAGACGCTATTTCTGTAACTAAATAATAATAGTAATACTTTAACATCAATAAAACAAATAAATGAAAATTTTCTACTACTATGTTATTGTGATGTGATAAATATATAATTTAGCTACCAATCTTATATATTCTACGCACGTATTACCATTTATGTATGTGGCATACCTCGTAATATATCTGACATTTTCATTACTTGTAACTAAAATTTAATGTTAAAATTCTGTGTATTGACAAGCATGATATATTTTAAAGTTCAGATTTAATATACTGTTTTATATGAACAGTTACTACATTAAAATATACACTTATTAACCGTTTAATTTTTATAATATTAGGTGATAGGTGGAAGGAATTTTCATCACGCAAATACAGGTAGCTATTTGAAAGGTTTTCCGAAAAGCATGCTAGGCTTTCCAGTGAATAATAGATCGCATCACCGTACATATCTAATTGTTTCATTCTTCATTTCTATAGAATATAGAAAATTACCAGAGTTCATCGTCGGATGGAGAATGCTCCGCTTCGGCACCTTCCATCGCCCTTCCTTCTCATCATACCATGTCTGACTGGGTTGGGCAAACTACTAACAGTAAGACCACTCATAGTAACATTAAATTTATTAAAAATTCTAAACAAAATTTTATACGTAAGCTATACGAAATTCAATAGAATTCAACGCCAAAATTCGTACAACAGTATCTTCCTATATATTTGTTACCAAAAGGTATAGGTATACCAAATTTCAGCTCATTCGGATTGTAACAAATGTTCGAAGAATGGATTACAAATTTTGAACCAAAAAGATACTTACAAACAAAACAAGCTAAAAAAAGGTTATGAAACCATTACAAAAGAGAGCAGTACACGTACAGTAGCGGACAACAGTTTGCTGGAATGTTTATAAAAATATTTCGCGTGTGTTTATTATTTATTTACTATTCATAAATTGGAAGCACTTAAAATTATCACTTGCAATAAAATTATAATTGCATGCAGCATTATTATTAGAACTCTTCTCGCCTAAATGTAGTTATAATTCTTCTATACAACTGCATATTATTTGTTATCTATGGCTGTCTGTAAATGGATTATAACACTTTTACTTAATTCATATTTACATGTGTCATTTACCCTTAAAGTAAGAGAGCCAATGCAATCTCTAACACAAGAAACGTAACACCTAAGAAAAAAACGTCGTAATTTTGTTCTGTCGTTGATGTTTATCATACCCAAAGCGATAATGATAAGAGGGAGTTGTATTTTTCCAATTTTATTATTATAAAATTAAAAGATATTTCCAATATAATCCTTACTAATATTATAAATGTAAAAGTATGTTTCTTTGTTTGTCTGTTACCTCTTAGCGCCTTAACAGCTGAATCACTATAAAATTGAACATATCCAAGTCTACTATTAATTTAATAGATACTTTACTAACTTCATAATTTTGCGCACAGGCGAAGAGAGCAGTTATGGCTCCCAATCAGAAGGTGGACACTCTGACGTTAGCTTCCACTACGCAGCGGATAGCTCTTGGGATCCTTTCGCTTTACTAGACCCTTCTAGTGACACTGGTAACAAAAATCATTCATGTAATTTTTTATATTTAAATTGCGATTTCGACGATGCCAAATTTTCTTTTTTTTTTTTTTATTTGCGGAGTTAATTTTATAATTTTGACGCCACACTTTTTAAATATAGAATCCGTCAGACTATAAGCAGAGATTTTTTTTTACAACACAGGGGGCAAACAAGTATGCGGCTCACCTGATGGTAAGTGACTACCGCCGCCCATGGTGCCCCACAACACTTACGGCATTGTAGGTGTGCTGCCGGCCTTTTAAAAAGGAATATGCTCTTTTCTTGAAGGTTATGTTGTCGTATCATCATGTTGTTTACAGTGATGTCATTTACCTGTGTAGCAAATCTAGATCCACTCTAGATCTAAATCTGTATTAATTGCTAAGTCATACGAATTTTGTGCAAAAATGCAATGGGGTATCAATGTGTCTGAATACGAACTTATCTATCAATTTTCAAACCCACTTGAATTAATTTTAATTTTTTCCTGATTATTTTACGTGTACTATAATGTCGAACTATGAAACATGTACCATGTCTTACGAGTTCACAACTAATCTAACACAAAGCTACGAATACTTCGCTACTACAAATACCATTTCATTATATAGGTATGCATGTGAACTTTTCAACGTCCATCCATGGTATTACGCAAGTCAAAATTCGAGCTTAAGCAATATGTCAACAAACTGATCCATAACAATTGTTCACCCTAAACACAGTGAAGTGTACAATGTGGGAAAGGGGATCAACGCTCCGCGCCGAGTTGTCGGCTGTGGACATCAGCTGGTACGTGGTGGCGCGGGCAGAACGGGCAATGGCGGCAGACGGCGGCCTATGGACTGGTCTCGCCATGGCCGCAGCGGTCGCACTATTCGCTCCAGCCACCAGGCTCGTCCAGGTCGGACCCTATTTCACTATCGTATTATTGTTTTTTTTATATACCACGAAGGTGGAAAACAAGCATACGCCCCACTTGACTTTAATTGTTTACATAAGTGTTAGCTTTTAGTAAAATCACATATTATTTTTTTCTTTTATCAAAAATAATAAAATCTTTTTTTTTTTTTATCTGGTTCATAGGTAGCAATAGAACAAGACAACAGAAGTGAAGAAGAATTACAGTCAATATCGCTCATAACGTACATACCGTCGCTAGTAGTGAACTACAGTCAGGGATCCATCTTTTCTGTAATCAGCGGTGCTCTCGGAGACAATATATGGTTAGTTTTTCATTGACACCTTGAATATTAATAGCGATAATATCAAAATATATTTTGATAACAAACCTTACTTCTTAACGGCCAAGAAGTAATACGAACACTAACTTCTACATTTATAATATAGTTAAGATTTGCTAATATTAATATGAATGTGGTGTCACTTTCTATTCTTTTTCAAGATGTGGGAAGAGATAACTAGAGAACTTCAATATGCTAGTGCAAAAAAAGGGTAACTGGAAATAAACCCATGCGGCCTGGCCATCCTTGGCAACAAAAAAATTTTTATTCCTTTATGCAACTGAATGGCAAACAAGCTGACGGCCCTCCTGATGGAAAGTAGTAACCGTCGCCTATAGACATGAGCAGTACCATAGACATAACAGAGAATACTGTTTCACCCATGATACCTCCCATGCATTGCCTTTCTCAGGTGTTATTCCTCTGCACCCTGTAAATTCACTGCCATATCCCACCCTTCAAACCGAAACACAGCCATACAAATACAACTGCTTCACGGTAGAAACACGAATGGTACAGAGGTGTCCAAGCAAACAACTTTTGTACAGTCTCCCTCTGGTATTATTAATTATCGTATAATTATCGTTGACTAATTATAATTCTCTAATAGAGAGGGCTCAATGCCTAGTAGTGGGACATAATAGGTTGTTAATGATGATTATAACTGGAGAATAATGAAAAATCTACGCCACTTGGAACTGTATATTTGAATTGACAAAGAAAAAGGTGTCAATAATAACATATATTATTTAAATATTTATTTAAATTTCTGTCTTGCAAAAACTTCCTATGAATTTAAAAAAATAAGTCCGCCTATAATAAACTTATTGTTGTTACTGTATGTTTTTGTGCAATAAAGAATATATATATATATATATCAAAAAGAATTTAAAAAAAAAATATAATAAATGCTTGCTGGCCAAGTTAACAACAACAATGACGATGTTAATGATGATGTTATCGCAAAACGAGACATAACTAGATATAATTAATTTAATAACACTCGTATATAATTTTTTTTTTAGGGAAATATCAACGAACATATTATCGTGCTTGCTCCGGTTCGCACTAAGTGAACTGGTGTTTTTTCTTCTGGCGGTAGCGGAGCGGGCATTCAAGCAACGGTTCTTGTACGCGAAACTGTTCTCACACCTGACGTCGGCCCGTCGCGCGCGCAAGTCTGAACTACCTCACTTCAGGCTTAATACCGTCAGAAATATTAAGACGTGGCTGTCAACGCGGTCTTACCTTCGAGTAAGTATTTTTACAGGATCTATCGATATAGGCTGGTCAGGCATCAGTGAGGGGATGATAGGTGAGGATGAAAGGATACGGATCTATCCCCGTTAGTCCATACTGACGGATTCCATAAGAATTGATTACGATGGCTTCCAGGGGGAGCCGCGTGGAGACGAATCTAACAGGATATATTGCTTACAATGAAGACGTTACACACCATTTTCCAAATCCGGCAATAGATTCATAAAAAAGTTATAATTTAAAAGTGTTTGTAAAGAAGTATATAAAAATTATTTTAATTCCTAACAACCTGAAATAAAGCATGAAATAAATCCAAATGAAGGTTGTCACAGGTGTCTCAATATACTCTGTGATCTTCATGGTGCTGATCATATTTATAGGCAACGATTTCCACTATCCATCAGGTACGCCGACAGTTAGTTTACGCCATTCGAAGTTGCTGTTCCTAAGGTTCCATTTAAGGCTCCATTTTTTAAAATAAAGTAATAGTTTGCCATTTGTTTATGTATAATCAAGTATACGTACATTTGCTGATTTTTACATAGTGCAGGAATCCATAGGAATTTCTGCTTTAATAAAAATTAATAGGAAATATATAGATAATCAATTGTTTTCCAGCGGCGTGGTCCGCAGCGGTCAGTCGACGTGATCGTCTCGGCCGCTTTCATGCTTACCATTATATTGCTGGCGTGTGTCAGTGCTCAATTACTGCGGGTGAGTTCATTCACTGATATCAACATCTATTTTGGGAGTAAAATTAAAATCCTTAACGTAATCTAATCATGTAATCGAAATAGGCAATGCCCCAGTGATATAAAATCCCAAAGTTACGTTACAGATAATGCTCCGTCATCGTAATTGATGCTGACGTTATTCAGTTATGTTTATTATATTAAAAGGTATAATGTCTCACAGAGATTTAAACTTGGGGGCCCATTCTGAAATATTTCCCAAAATTTAACTCTTAACCTAATATTTTAATATGATAGTTTCGCAAATTTATTGTTTTATTGACCATCATAAACTAAAATTATAATAATTTTTACTTTAGTCTATTAGAAAATTAGTTCATATCGGTCCTTACAATAAAGATTTCGCTGTCATATCAAATTGAAATTTTTAGAGATGGGTTTAGATTTATCTAATGATAACGCCTCAAATTGACATCATTCTGCTTAAAAAAACACAATAAATCCAAGATCATTTGATTACAACTATTGACTAATTAGTTGCCATTGATGTCATCACATGTACCAACGATAATTAAATTCTATAGCAAAAACTGTTATCATACCGCAAAACATACAAAATCTCAATTTAATGAAAATCGTGTATATATTTATTTTTATTTGCTTATTACGTTGCACCGTCAATTATATTTTCTGTAGTTCCTGTCTACGATTGACTAATAGATAACAGTATATGATGTTTAATCCAGCTTTTACTTTGTTTAAAATAAATAAATATATCATGCAGGAATCGGTAACACTTGAGCGAGGATGGCTATTGGAGGCCATGGTGTGGAGCATTTGCCTCGGTATTTATCTACTACGCTTCGTGACGCTGGGCAGCAACGTGAACCGCAAGTACCGCGGATGCCTCTCGGCCATACTCACCGAACAGATCAACCTGCACCTCGCTATAGAACAGCGGCCCGAAAGCAAGGAACAACTCACGGTCGCGAACAACGTGCTCAAATTGGCAGCTGATCTACTCAAAGTAAGTAACCGTATATCTTCTCGACAATTCCTTGCTGGGTAAGCAAATTGAACCAAGTGTAGAATAAATTGAACAAGATGCTGCTGAAGACACGGCCTACTTGGCTTCCTTCTTAAATACTTATACTATGTACATAAGAAGGAAGCCAGACACATACATAGACATGTCTGACAGACTTTGTACGAAAGTCGATTGCTTGGGTACCTCTGTCCCATTCATGTTTCAACCGTGAAGCAGTTGTGTTTGCATGGCTGTGTTTCAGCTTAAAGGGTGGGATATGGCGTGAATTTACAGGGTACAGAGGAATAACATCTGAGTCCTCAGGAATGGCAACGCATGGGGGTATCATGGGCGAAACCATATACTCTATTATATCCATGGTACTGCTCATGTCTATAGGTGACGGTTACCACTTTCCATCAGGTGGGCCGTCAGCTTGTTTGCCATTCTAAGTTGTATAAAAAAAAAGAATAATTAGTTCTATTTCCTTGACGTTTCGATGTATTTTTGAAGCAATGGCAAGTGTACATGTTCAAATATTCTTTTGTCTAAACAAAACATGAACCTTTTTAGAGACTATTTTATGTAAGGTATTATATGTTCGGCGAGTGAGTTCAACTCACACTTTGCCGGTTTTTTTAATGACGTGCAATAATTATTGAAAGGAATTTTACTATTTTCTAGGAACTGGATGCTCCCTTCAAGATATCAGGGATATGTGCTAACCATTATCTATATACAATAACAAAAGTAGTTATATTGTCAGCACTCTCCGGAGTACTCTCGGAAATGTTGGGTTTCAAATTGAAACTGCACAAAATAAAAATAAAATAAAATTATAATGAACGTTTGTATCCAATTTATTCACAAACAATACCAATATTATGAAAATATAATATGAAAAAAAAAATATTTGTTCTGTAAATATTGTTTCTGTACTGAAAGTGGGATCTTATAAAAATTAAGTATCTACTTATTTTTGCTTTATTAAAAAGAAATTTACTTTCTTTAATTTATTGAAGTAATAAAAATGTTACAGATGTATAAGATGAAATGCTGTTTCAAAATACTTATAGTATATGAAATATTTATAAAAGTTATGTTACTTCTTATTTTTTTTATTTATGAAATAACGCAAAAGTATACTTTATGAGTAATATGGCGTTCTGCACTAGTAGAGGGTACATAGAAAAATATAGAATACAGAAAGATCCAAAATAATGTAATTTAAGTAATAAGAAAATTTTATTTACAAAATGGTTGTTCTATATTCATCCTATGATATATCATTGTCAAACTTATCTTTATCAAACTATATCTATTCCTCACTCAACCGATTATAATTATTTTTATTAAATCAATTTATTATTTTATTTAATTACCACTTGCCAACCTGTATATGCAATTGGTAGAGTTAGTAATACTAGGAATAATAGAATAAAACTTAAATCGTAAATGGGTAGCTGCCAGACTAATAACAAAAGACTTAAGAAATAATATCGTATTTTTCGGTTGTTGTGCCTAGAAAGTTGTCTGTATATTGTGATAAGGCCGCCCATTGTTGCCTCTTTACCTTTGTTCTTGTAATTAAAATTTATTTTTGTATACATATTGTTAACTATGTAATCTGTATCATTCTTAGAGGGAAACATTAAAGAGTTTTGATTCATTCGTTCAGTCTCTAGACGTATTTAAGGCGGGAAGGGGGCAGATGGGCCGTGCTTACTCCAAAATTATCTGGTACCCACTTTAAGATCAGTAACGAAGTTTTCAAATATGAGCAAGGATGCACCAAGAATAAAATATGATAATAAATAATGCACCTTTTTAAGAAGCCTCGAATATAATTTTACATACACCTATTATTATAATAAACAAATATGAATTTATCAGTGACGACATGCATTTTATTGTGATCCTAATATTTATAAAATTAAACTAGTCTAAAAAATAATAACAGTAAATTTAAATTAATTTATATTATTTAAATTTTAAATGAAACATATAATTTTATAAATAATAGAATGACAATAACCTCTATACCTATATAGAGGATAGGAACCTCTTAATTGGTATTTGTTTTTTTTTTTTGTATGTTTATAAATCTGTTGTTTAAATTGTTTCTAACTTGCCTATGACCTACCTATATGTAACATAGAGAAATCATTTATACATCAATATATTGAGAACTGATTGAGTCAGTATAAAGTTGTAAAATATTATGTAAAGTTACTTGTATATGTTACTAATACTCTATTGAGAAAGACTTCTCGTTTTTGTTTTGTATTTATGATCTTACGTAGATGTTATATTGTAATTTATAAACAGATTTTTATAAGATGTACTGATCAAATTATCTGTAAAAGTTCAAGAAAGTCTCATAAGAATATTTTTCTATAACTTCTGCCCCGTTACAAAACTATATTTGAATAAGTCCCAATAATAGCCTTTCATATAATATTCTGTTTCGGTTTAAAGGATGAAATAAAGCAGTTAAACTACAGGGTACAAAATCACATTAGTCCACAAGAATCACATTAGGAGTATTAGGATATTTGTGAAGTTCATTGTGTAGTTATTGTAACGTTTATCACTTATCTAAAGATGAAACATCATTTTGTTTGCCATTCCAAGTTGCATAATAAAAAAATATATTAAACTCACGTTAGTTGTACTCGTATTTGGACGTTCACATATTACAAAAAATAGTGGTTTTATGCAAACGCAGACATACCTACATATGCATATTCAGTGAATTATGGATACCCAGATAGTATGGTAACTTATGCGACTTTATGAAATATCACTATTTAGTCACTTTAGAGTAACGTTTTACAGTCGCAGACAACAAATACATATTAATTATATAATTAATTATAATATTTAGCATTAATTGTAATAAAATCAAGATCTTCAAATAAACCTACTCATGTTCATTAGTAATGATTTATTATATACATTCATACTTTTGATCTCATATTACTACTAGGCGATTAGATTAACAGATTTCTAATAACTGAATTCCTATGAAAATTTCATAATTTTGTATTAGATGAATGAATTCGACTCATTATTTCTATAGTACATTCCGTTAAGAATGCAATAACAAATTTAAACAGACTGCAACTGTCTTTTGGAACTATGTGATTGCAAAATCATCTGAATCTGAGGAAACAATATTTTCCTTTTTACCCGTAGTGTACCCCAAGTGACGTCTATTTAGTACCTATAGCATTAAATTGACGCTTGCCCGTCTATCCTATTTACCTCTTGTTACATCACAACACCAACTTTTTTCTTGATCTGTCTCCGGTACCTATGCCTTGGTCTCCCTCTTCCCCTCCTTCCTTCTATCTTACCTTTTAATATAATGTTCATAAGTTCATCGTGTCGTATCAAGTATCCTATACATATATATAATTTTATCTGTTCTCACAGACGCATTTTGGACCTACATTTTTACGCTGTTTGTCTTATTCTTTTTTTAATTATCATTTACGTATACACAGAATTTTTTGCTGAAAATTTTTAATTATTTATCATCAATCTTCTTTTGTCAACGGTGCCTGTAGCTTTGCTAGAATTAAACGGCTAATATTGCATTCATAACACGAATGAACTATAGCATTTTACATTTATAATAACCCATACCTAAAATGTATGCGTCAATATCGAAGACATTGTGTAATTAAAAACGCAAGACATAATAGAAATATTACTACATATATTTGGCTATTAATTCAATGTATATTCAACTCTACATTTATGGTACATTATTATGATGTGATATTATTGTTTACCGCCATTCTAGTTAGAATAATTTACAATGTTTTATTAATGTTCCTATTATTTTTATTTACATGGTATTACGTAATATAAGTGAAAAGTGACGTTGATAAATTCCTGCCTATTTTAATAGCATAATATATTCTTCATCATTATTTCTAACCAACGAAAATATGTACCTACGTACCTATATTTTTTAAACACTATTATTATTTCAAAGACTGAATTTAACACAGTATACAATTAGAATCATTGTTATTATTATTGAAATTATTTGGAATCATGTATTTTTACGCTATGGAAAAAACACCCTGCCATATTAGTCAACCGTTATAGTGTAATCAGTTTAATGTAAAAGTTAGTTAATAAGTAGTTTAAAACAAATAATGGTATGTGTCTATACAGCTCCTTTATGGTGGAGTGCCTCACAACCATACCTGCGATCTATTTTTTATTTTTTTCTGTAAGATTATAGTTGTCTTTCCATTTTTTATTTTACTTACTGAAGTCCGCAGGTTTATCGCTGTCAATAGAATAAATGTATATAAAATGTATTAATGTAGGTCATTATCTATGTGCCAAATTTCATTCAAATTCGTTCAGCCGTTTGGGCGTAATTAAAAAATATCTAAACCTATTTATACTTCCACATTCATAATATTATATTAAGACAAGATTTTAGATTTCAATAGGCAGGTGATGTTATGTAATTTGGTGCTTGTATAAAGATTGAATCGTTAAAAAAATTACATACGTATGTACTTAAGTACCTATCTGTAAGTTGCATCTAATGCAGCTCTAAATAAACAATTATTTATATTTAATTACTTGTTTTTTTTTTTTTTACTATTATCATATTTACGCAATTATATTTCTCTTAGTATCATTGTAATCAAGCGATACTTACGTATCCAACTGATCCACATAGAGTAGAAAACATGTAAAAAGTTTATTGGAAAATGATAAAAACAAATTTGAGCTTACTATAATAATTATTTTATTCACATAACAAAAGAAAAGATTGCATTAACTTTTGACAATGTAGTTGGCGATTTATACATTTATTAGATATAACAGACGCTTTTACAGTTTATCTCTTTTTTAGACTTGACAAAGAATTCGTTTGTATGCCATCTGCATAAATAACTCTCGTGTTTTTGTCGCTAAAATTAGCACTGTCACGTATCTAACTTTGAATGACTGAAAAATTACAGGGTATGGAGGCATAAACGTTTTACGCCTAAAACGTGCCTTTTGTCGTGGCTCAATAAATTATAAAAGCGCTCTATATCTTAGACCTCGTTTATAGAGAAGCGGAACTACGCGACATGTAGTATCGAGCCTCGTGTTGTTGTCCGTTTATGCTCGCAATACAATAGCCTTAATTTATGAATATAAATGCGAACGAACCCACATACACAAATATGTAAAAGATTGCATCTCTCGATTCCAATGATGTTTATATTCAATATGTACCTCACAACAGATATCTCGCTAACCTCCACAAACGAGATCTTATAAATATTCTAAAGTCAAAGTGTGTTTAACCTTTCAATGGCATATACAACCAGAAATGTTATATATAAACTATTTCATTACAGCAATCTTTTGTTAAAGCAAGCCAAAACTACATCAATATCTTTTATTTTGGGTAAATAATTAAAAACTCCCGACAAAAAATAGCTAAGAACCACTCCAATTCAATGAACCTACAAATGAAAAAAACCGTATCGAAATTGGTCAATCCCTTAAGGAATTACAATGCTACAGATAAACAATCACACAAAGGATTCAAACTTATTGCAGCTCGGGAGTTATTAACATTATATTAAAAACTTAATAAATCAACAATTTGAAACAACTTCAAAAAAACTTATTTGATACGAACCCCAAATATTAAAATTCAATTTTACCACTTCTTATATATCTAATTTTTCAGCAGCAATGTATAAAAAGGCCTAAACTTTCTAAATGTTATGTAATCTTATTATATCTACATGTTGCAATATATATTTAAATCACACAAACTAAATATATAATTACACCATTTCACTGCTCAAGCATCATTTACATAACAGACCAGTGAAAAAATGCTAAGGGAACTATCAATAAGTAAACAAAAAATCTTGAAAGACAATATCTACAGAAAGTACTAGCACTGGCAAATTGTGCTTTAACCTAAACCTCTATTGTAATAAATATATTAAAACTTTGTCATCACCCTCGCATCTATATTTTCATTCACAACGCACGAATATGTGCAAATGCATGACTAACATAATGGGAAACTTCTCCACGAGCGAAAAAGTCTTTTTTTTTACCTTTACAGATTTTTCGCATAATGAGTTTTAGATTATTTTTTTATTCAACCTGAAACGGAATACATGCAGACGACACACCTGATAGAGAGTGGTAAATGTCACAGAATATTGTGAGGCCCTGATTGTCCTCCTGCATTGCCATTCTTGAGGATAACGATGTTATGCCTCCATACCCAATATTTAATTGAAATTGGAGATGCAAAATGTTTAATCTCTGCGGCGTTCGCGTGACCCTGAACGATGAGAACGACTGCGACGCGACTCCCGCTCGCGATCTCGATCACGCCCTCGGGACCGCTCTCGGGACCCTTCACGTTTACTTCTGCTCCGTGACCGGCTGCGCCTGGACATAATTTATTTAATATATTAATTGATAAATTATTAAATATTAACACCAAAGAGGACAAACAAGGAAATTTTATAAATTTGACAGAAAGGAAGTGAATGCTGAAATTACTTTAAATATAGAAAAAAAACTTATTACGCCCTAAATAATCGAGATAATGGCAGGCAGAGGATGATAAATTAATCTACTTGTAGTTTGACACAATAAATTTCTACTTTTGACATGATCATAATATAAATTAAATATATTTCCCTTAGATTTATATAGATAAAGCATCGAGTCTCAAAACCGGGTCAATTTTTTGTCAGCTAATTGTCAAATTACAGAAAATAAAAAAAAAAGAGACAGATCTCTTTATTTTTTTTATCAGTGTTCTATATATTTACGCGCACAATGTATCTTGACATATATTTAATTATTTAATAGATAAAACGTGTTTTTACACGTTAAAAAGGTGCAAAAATTATAAAACAAAATAAATATAGAAGTTATAAAGAATACTCCTCATAACTATTAATCACGCAAAATTGTATGAAAAAGACACTATCTATATAATCAAAAATATTCCCCTTACCTTCTGTCTCGATCACGCTCGCGGTCACGGTCCCGTTCCCTGTCCTTTCCTCGTTGGTCACGGTCGGTGTCCTTGGTGCGATCGCGGTCCCGCGCGGTCTCGCGGTGGCGGCGGGCGCGGCGGTCGAGTTCCCGGCCGCCCACATAGTGACGGCGCCCACCTGGGCCTCCACGCTCCCGCTCTGACGCCCCGCGCTCGTCGCGCCTTTTATCTACTGTTTTCTATAAAACATAATTTAACATATTAGTATGGCACCATAGCAATATTGGAGATACAAAAAAAAATTGTGAAATAGTGATGTGCGCTGTTAACCCTTCTTCGCCTGACTTTTTTTATTGGTAAAATCAAAGTGATATAATTCATGTTTAAAATTAAAGGAAAAATGGTTAAAACAATAAATTTGACAGCTGTTTTTTTTTCTGCAATGGACATTAAAAAGTTATCCAGACACGATCAACTTAAAGTGAACTTGGTCTTTTATATAAGTTTTAGGCATTCAATGTTATGATGGAAATTTCCACCAGTATGCAAAGAAGGGTTAAGACAAAAGATGGAAAATGAAGAAAAAATTAAATGATACGATTAAAATTTTCCTGCGAAATAAAAGTAATATAAAAATATTAAAGTAATAAAATATTATAGTAATATAAAAAATATCTTAATACAATATTTTTACGATGTATGTGTTAACTATTGCGTTATTACGCAGAACAGTATTTTTTTTAATGGATGATAATAGAATGATAACCCCACCCGCGCTAACGGTATACAATGGCGGGTCACCAGTAAGGGGTGATGGGTTAGAATGAAAAGGCAGGTCGGTTAGTCCATCGTGACGAATACACCTGGAATTTATGATAGCACGATTGTTTCCAGGGGGGACCACGGGGAGGTCAACTTGAGGATATATTTATAGCAATGAAACTTGCAGTTCGCATTACTAACAATCCCTTCCCCAACAGAGCAGTATTATATTTATATGCGTAAACGTAACGCGTATGTGTGATTAAGGAGCGGAATTCGCGGTGGAGTAGCCAATAGAAATGGTCTAAATCAGGTAAAATAAGAAATCTGTTACAGTAAAAAAAGCTTCATTGGCTTGTTCCAAAATAACAGCCCATTTCAAAATATCATAATGTTATATCGGAATCCTGTTACAACGTAAAGCAAAGAATAACTGCTATCTCTTTCTAACATAGATTAACTCACTATGCTAGATACGAGAAAAACATGTTCCGTCTAACCAATCTAACCATCTCTTTTTAACACTGGTTTTTTTTTTTTATGGATGATAATGGAATGTTAACCCCGCCTGTGCTATCGGTATACACTGGCGGGGCACCAGTGAGAGATGATAGGTGTGGATGAAAAGGCAGGTTAGTTAGCCCATCGTGACGAATTCAACGATAAATTAGTCACAATGGTTTCCGGGGGGAACCGTGTGGAGGTCGACCTAATGGGGTATATTGATAGCAATGGGGACTAACCTCCCCTTTACTAACAATCCCTCCCCCGTTTTAACACTGGTTAACTTCATACACTAGATTCAAGAGCATTTTCTGTGTCGATGTAGTTATAGAAACTGAACAGGTCAAATCAGTTTCAATGGAACAGTTCAAAATTGTGAACCTATTGTGTTTGACTATTCCAATATATATTCTTCACCCCTAGTAGACAATGCGGATTTTGTATACACGGTCATAACCCGCATTATATGTGGTTACCAAAAAAAAAGAGATTTTATTTATATTTTCCTGGTACACTTTAAAATAGCTTTCTACAAGTAGTCTACCTACCTTCAAAGCTGCTAATTTCTCTCGGATTGTAATAAATCCCAGATGAAGTTTTCCCCCAAAGTGATCAGCAAGTCGTCTATCATTGTCATGAATACCCAAATATGCCGAGCACACTTCGCATACACGCAATTTTTGTTGTTGGTATGATGAAGCCGGCATTGAATTACGATAATCCTGTTCCGCCACCATTTTCTTTTTGCGTAGTTCTTCAACCTAGAAAGTGTTATTAGTTAGACATTATTAGGATTCACATTATCATGAAACTAAGTACTTTATCTTATTAAAATATACCTCTCCCATAAGTTTAAAGCTTTCTTCAACCATACCCTCCTCACCGAGTGCTTCAGCCCGAGCCAACTTCTGACCAATTTGTTCAGCTAATTCATGCACTGCATTGGCTTTTTCAGTAACCTCAGCAGAAAGTTCTTCCTGAGTTTCTGCAAGACGTTGTTTAGCAGCAGCAGTACGTCGGTCACAGTCCGCTATAAACGCCTCTAAGTGTTCTGTAGCCTTTATAACCACACAATGAACAATTATTTTTTTATGAAAGTCAATTAATAAACTTAGTGTTATGGATATGTTGGCAATACTGCAAGATAACCAATATTTACATTCACACAACACAACACCACTCATACTCACTATACCATTTGATGTTTATAAAGGAACTATATAATTATGAAATGTTCTATATAAATCTAATCAGAAATACATTTTCTTTTTTAATGAAAATTATTAAACTATTTTAGAGAGCAGACTATAATAGTAGGTCAATTTGGTGTATAGAATTATTGGAGAGTAAAAGATGTAGGAAGCATATTTGGACTGAAGAGGCCATTACCACCCATAATGCCTGTAGACTTGCTAGGAATACCATGCATGAATTTGACAGATTACAATAAAGTAAAAATTGTATTTTATATGTTTTTGAAACTCGGAAGTTATAATCCTTGCCTAAAGATATTTAAATTTGATGTGATTCACAGCCTTTGAGTTCAATTTAAAATAATGTATATTATTTAGAGCATTTGTAAATAAATATTATTTTGATTGGTCATGCTAAGTACAAATTTCAAATAACCTATAAAGAGCTCTTTCAAATAACAAGATGGTGCGCACGCCGCCATGTTCACAGCTTGTACAACCAAATAAACCATACTTCATAAATCTTGTATTATGTGAAAGAGCCTTAACAACAAGAATTATTGAAAGTAACAATACTACACAATAAAAAATTATTAAATTAATACTCACATCAATATCATAGAAATAGTCTTTGGTTTTGGATGCTAACTCATAATCAGCACGAAGAGCCAGATCATGTATTTTTGGACACTCACCTAAATCCATTCGCTGCAATAGAAGTAAAAACCACATGAAAAGTATGTGTTTCATATTGCTGAACCCATACAACAACAAGAGGTCATATCAATACAATCATTAATTTTATTATACCTCTCAAATTAAGATTTAAGTAAAATACATAATTTCTCTCCTCAATTATATTTTACTGATTAATTCTTAAGATTACAAATAGTGCAAAAAAATAAATATATTCAATAACTATACACATAAAATAAAGTTAAAATCCCTTCAATATAATAATTCAATTTAATATTGTTATTACAAAATACATACAATAGCACCACTGCGCACGAAGTCCAGGACATCCGCCAAAAAGAAATTTATCATATATACTTACAAATTATAGAGGAAACCCCTCCTGATTACCCTAACTAGACGGATTTCTTATAAAGACAAAACAAAGCCATATTAATATATAAGTGACAAGTATATAAAATTATAACATTAAATATAATAAACTCTTTTGAATACTATAGATCAAAAATAGTATTATATTGTAATACTCTTAAAATTTTGCATGTTAGTTTCTTTCCCAATTGGGTAAAGAAAAAGAAGTCATAAGGAATATTTTTTATGTTATGTCCTGAAAGCCAGCAAATTACTATTAGGGATTTTTAGCTTTTATTTTTAATTTAATGAATGTGTAATAATAAATTTATATTTTAAGAAATTGTATGATTTTAATTATATCAACAGAAAATTTGTTATATATATTTTTAACATTTATTATACAACAAATTTTATGTGTGGTATATCAAAAAATATTTCCTAAATTATTGACATAATAGTTAAAAAATAATAATATCCCAGCCATGAATATGAGTAAATATTTTAGGTTGTAGTTTAAAAATCTATAAACTAATAGGAACACAAGTTAATTGTCAAGTATTTGTCTATTTGTTCTTTGCATTACAGTAATGGCATAAACCATATTATTTTGACACAAGTGGTTTAGTTATCATAAAAATCAACTTATCACTTTCAGAAAAAAATTTAAACTGAAGATATGCAATACATGCAAGTTCTATTTTTCTTCGTATTCTAGCCATGTAAATAGCACAGTACGTACCCAATGTAGTTACAATGAATCACCGAATTGCTCTCACCCGACAAAGTATTTTCATGTTCCTAAAATTTTTTGTACTCACCAAAGCAGCATTAGTTACCGATGGGTAATTTTATAATTTTAAGTGCCTTAATAAGTTAAATTCTGCTTAGCAGTAATAATACAATCAGCTAACTATAAATGTTTTATACGTACATCTTGGTACTTACAGAACAGCCTAACTCATACAATCTATCCCTCATCTGTTAAGTATTGTGATGAGCAATAAAGACTAGTGTTGGGCATTTTCTGAAAAGCATATTTCACCACAGTTAATGCCACTCTGACATAAGGGATTTCCATTGATTCTACAGAAGACGGCAATAGTTTTATAGAAAATTATATACCACATAGGTAGAGAAAACACATGACAATAAAAATAAAATATAAATTACTATAATTCATAGAATCAAGGTCCTACAATGGATGACAAAATTTTAATAAAAGTGTTTCTGAGATCTCATTACAGATTTAGACAATGTATTATAGTAACATTAAAATACATAAGATGTCACAATTTAAATAACCAATTTATATAATAGCATATATTATATGTAGTAGTGAAAACTCAGAAACGTTACAGCCCATTAAATCAGTATATATACATGTGTAAGTACTCACCGTAGAAGATAGAATTTCATGTGGACAACACTGTAATAAAAAGGATTTGCATACAGCGTCATCATAAAATTTTGTCCCATGTTTGTCAGTTTCACCTGGAAACATCGTAAAAAGTTATAAATTCAGATGAAGATTATCAATAAAATATAGCACTTAATTAAATCTTAATTGTATTTAGGTGTGTAAACAAAATAATTACCATTTCTCGCTGTACCCATTAGCTGATCTAACATTGCCCTCATTTGCTCGTGTGCCGACATGGTGTTTCCGCAGCAGTGCAGTAGACGTGGTTATCACAACAACAAATTAGATGTAACTTTCACAAACTTTTAATTAGTATCTAACATTGCACTGAATAAACTCAAAAGCTTAGCTCAATCAGCCCAAAGTATTCTTCCAATTTTAATTAAAACTTAAATATGAATTCAGAAAAATTTAGTGTCAAAGCAAAATGGCTGCCTCGGATCGACGTATTAATAGTGTCGCCACCTCGTAAGTAGTGATGTCTAGCTATACATATGATATGTACAAAATTTATCATTGCAAATAATAAGTACGTTTCATATTAGATTCTAAACTCACTGGTGTGCCTCATTTTTATTTTATTATTGCAAAATGTGAACGTTTACTTAATATTATTACATGTTTCGTGGGAGTGCCACCCGTATTAATTGAAGCTCATTTACAATTCTATTTTAAAGGTGATGTATATACATATGGATATTTGTTTTATTGTCCATATTTTTGGAAGATTGGAACTTCTGTATTATGAACTAGGTTTCAACTGTCGATGTCTATATATTGAATGATGGATTGTAAATAGATATTGGTACAACATTATGGCCATTCGTTTATTTTTCCATTTTTTTTTTTATAATTTTCATTGTGTTGTTACTATAAAAACATGCATTTCAATTTTTTTTCCAAGGTTCCGTTAATATCCGGTGCCAATTTTTATACTATAGTAATTACTCTGGGGTCTTACTATGAGCTTTTTAAGCAGGCCTTAAATTAAATTGACCTGCTAAAACGTACTATGACAGGGTTATAGCAGAACTGCTACATGACTCTTTAGGCTGGTATTTGTAAACCGTTCACCTTTTTTAAAATTGGTAGTGATTACTTGTTCTGTGCCTATCCGTTATCCTGCATTATACTTCTATAATCTGATATTTGTAAGTATCTATTGGATCAGATAGTATAGTATATAGTATAGATCTATAGTTTTATGTTAAGTATGATAGGTTTTTTTCTTAAGTAGCATTCATCCCGTTTTTTTAAATATTTTGCTAAAAAATAACGGGTAACCGATAATAATGAGTAATAATAAAATACTTATCTGACATGAATTTGGAAAAAATTAGGACTTATATGTGTAAAATAGAACATTTTTAGATAAGAACATACTTATAAATATTTAGGTGAAGCAATTGAAGTAACTCTAATTGTATTCCACAGACATAATATTATGTGTTGTATTCATAAGTGTAACTAAATTTTAATATTGTTGTCATATATATGTATATATGATGTTAGTATTTTATAAATAACAGAGTCATTGGAAGAAAGTAGGATTAGAAGAGAAGTTGAAAAGGAAAAACGCGTGGATCGGAATTAATTAAAAAGAGAGATGTGGTCAAATTTTGGACATAAGAAAAAAATATAATTTAAGATTGTAGTGACTAAGGGATATCTATTGTATTTAGGCACTAACCTTGCTTGCAGAAAGATTCTAATTAGTTTTGCAGTTGAAAGACAGAAGGAAATCAATAAACAGCAAACGACAATAACATTTAAACAGTATTTAATATTATATATTAGGTAGAATTCGTAAAGATAGTAAGATGGATATAACATAAACTAAAACTCAAACGTCACATTGTTTCTTAATTATGCAAACAAAAAAGAATCTTAATATTGGCGTAAAAATTGTTGGCGCGGTTAAAAGAAGATAGCTGAATGAGTCGTTACAAAGATTGCCACTTCAGCGTCGCTACACGACAAACTTTGTACAATACCAAGCTTGTACAAATAAGAAAATTGCTTAATAAACGCATACGAATTTAAATGGTAGACGGGTTCTTTCTAAAGTTTCACTTCAAAACTATGATTAAAAAATAATATCGGATCAGTTTCATTTGATAAAATGAATGATAATGCACGGAAAAAAAATTAACGTTTAGAATCAAACGTGGCAACACTTTATGTATAGTTTAATAAAAGAATGTTTTGTTTTCTTTTTCGAAGAAAAAAAAAATTATGTCATGAACTTTTAGAATCTTAATATCGGCTTGAACGCCACTAAAGAAAAAAGACTTTAGAAAATTTATATAATAATTAATTTAGAGTGAAATGGTATCTAATAAGATAATACTTCCTGTTCTTCCAAATATTACCAAAGATTTATATTTTAAAGGTTATGTTAGTACATCAAAGAACTTTACAAACATTATTTATATAACCCGATATTCAACAAATATTGAGGCTTTGTTTGAAGAAAATAGTGAAAGTAAAAATATCATATATGGAAAATGTGGTGATATTCCACAAAAAAGAAAAAAAATTAGAAAATTTCAAAACTGGTTATTACTGTACAATGTTACGACAAATCTTCAAATAAATGAATTAATCATCAATGGTAGTAAAATAAATGATACACAAAATTGTGTAGTAATAATATACGATCATGAAGTCATACTCAATTCTGAAATGATCTGTGACACAGGGGATTTTTTGAACTTACAAAATTTTGTTCGAAATGAATATAATCAGTTCCCAAGTTCTATAACATATGAACCAGCTTTTAAGATTCCATACTGGTTGTCATCGTCTATGTTCATCCAGCATATTTTAAATTATATGAATGTGGCAAAATGGCTCTTTATTTCAATTAAAGGAGATAAAAAAGTAAGCTATAAATATTAATATTTTTTTACTCTAGCTCTTAAAGGAAGACTTCCAATTAGATGAGAATCCTTTTTTTTACCAACATTCATACTATATGTTTATACTGTTAGGTTGTCCCCTTAGTTGCTACCTTATATTGCAAGTGTGGAATTGAATTTATGCATTTGTTACATCTTAGCACCTTAACAACTTGATCATTATTAAGTTTGGCATACATATAATATTTGATATAAAGAGAGAGGCTACTTTTTGTCCCTCTGAATCAATAAATAATATAGTTATTGGAGGTAAAAATTAGTAAACTTTACTAATTTTTACCTCCAACTTTACTTATCACTTTGTATGTGGGAAATGTTTAAGAAAATACTAGCGACTCGCCCCGGCTTCGCATGGGTGCAATGCTGATACTACCTACCTACTACAATGTTCTTATGAACAATGTTTACAGCTTTTTTGTCATTAGACAATACAAACATGATATAGTGCTATAGGGTGAAGTGTGGCCTTTGACAATGCTAATTAAATGTATGCAGGGCCAGTACCGCTGCACCACTATGTCCCTGCATTTTAAGTCTGTAATATCTTCAAAAATATTCATTTAAATTATATGTTGTAAAGGGCCATATTGATCTATATTACATGGTCAATGTATTTAAGGTACTTAATTGGATAAAAATTAATGCTGTATTGCTCAAATTCACTTCCTAAATAAGCAATTTTCCCTTAAAATGTAAAAGATAAAAAATGGTTATTTTGGGTTATCCTTAAGAGATATACATATACCATCGCTGACTTTTTTGTTGACCTTTTTAAGATGTACAATACTGTGGTACAGTATTTTGATTTATTTCGTGGGATTCAGCCAGCATTTGCAATGTAAGAGCAAAAAAAAATGTGTTTATTTATGACATCACATTTTGTGTTTCTCTACAATATTATGTATGTATTATAAACCTTATTATAAACCTTCCTCTTGCATCACTCTATTAAAAAAACTGATTCAAAATCTGTTGCGTAATTTTAAAGATTTAAGCATACATAGGGACAGACAGACAGCGACTTTGTTTTATACTATGTAGTGATGATGATGAAGAGTCTTAACAAAACCAACTAATAATTTTTATAAATTTTGTATGTCTGTATCTTTATTCTAGGAAAGTATAACTTAAAATCTGGTGAATCTTTTGTCTGATGTGACTTCTTTTCTTCTTCTATCTCTTTTGTATTATTCTGAAGTATTCTGAATTATTTCATTGGTGTTGCTAGTTCTGAAATCTATGTGTGTGAAGTAACACTCAAAAAGTTAGTACACTGCAAAATAAATTATTTTTTAATTGAGTTGCTGAAACCTCCATAACAGGATATTAATTGCTATCATTTTATTTTATAGATATCAATAAGGCAAGGTAATTTTATTTTGGCAATTATGACAGATCTCATTTTAGGATGGACTGCTATGAAACTAATCACACAGGATAAAAAAGAATTAAGTGTAATGCTAATGGGAATGTTGGAGGTAGGTATTAAAATTTTCATATTGTTAATTTTAATTCCCTATTATCTGGTCATATTAAACAATATAAAAAACCTAATCTGAAAAATGGTTATAAAATTGCTTACCACTAAATTAGAATCTAATATATTCTGTTAAATATTATAATGTAGTATCCATATGATAAAAAATATTCTTTATTATATGCTAAAGCAGTGATTCTCAACCTTTTTTTTTTTGTTGCGGCACATATTTAACGATTTCAAAATTTGGCGGCACACAAAGAAAAAGATAAAAATTATTTACTTGCTACAACACACTGCATAAATAGTTTATGACAAAAATTTTAAATATTTGCAAAATTTGGCGGCACACAAAAGTGCCGCGGCACAGTGGTTGAGAATCACTGTGCTAAAGGAACACTCATATGCTAATAAATGGCTATAGAAGGATCGATGGAATTCATTCCAAAGACCGGTAGTAATTTAAGCATGCCAGTGTTAAAATTTGCCCCCAACAGCTATTCATTAAAATTTATTTAACAACCCATTTATAATTGTGAGCATATTTCTTTTTTGTATGTTGGATCATATAATTTGTTTAATTATCGTCTATTTGTTTTTTCTAGAAACTAATAAACTTGCTGTATACATTACTAAAATGGCTAATGGGTGCTCCAGCTGGACTCAAACTTAATAATGCATTTAATAAAATGCTAGGAAAATATTTTTCGTATCATGTTCAACTTTGGTGGCACTTTTTAGGTAATTATATTAAAAAGTTGTTTTGTAAGTATAATAATATACTTACAATGTATTTACTACATTTGGTATATTGACAAATATGAATATGCAACATTTTTTCAATTACAAAAAGAGTCATGAAATTAACTGAAATGATAAGACATGAAGAGCAACACGGGCATTATAATGTACATGGTGTGTTGTTCTAGTCCATCAAGCATGGTGTTGATGGCCAACTTGTTATTCCATTTTATATAAAAAAATATAAAACTAAAATTTAATTGAAAATAATATTTGATTTACAGTATTGGAAAGTAATTGTAAATACTTAAATTGGTAATTATACTACTTTTTCCAGATGTATCTGGTGAAAAACTTGATACAGCATTACAGATATACCATTATTTGGGTTACTTTGGATTTACATTTCAAGCTGCTGTTATATCTGATATGATATCAATAGCCACATTCCATTCTTACTGCATATATGTATATGCTGCAAGGTAAATCACATCTAGATTCTATTTTCTCACACTTGTTCATTTAATTCTACAGCTACAAATTAATTTTTATAGTTATTATTTTTGTGTATATAATTACTTTGATCGAGTTCTAAATCTCCATTTATTATTTCATTTTATACTTATTATCTCTATTTATTATTTAAATAATAAGAGAAAAGCAAAACCTGGCCTTCCTGAGTTTCTCTTATATCTAAAGTCCCCTAAAATTTATTGTGACACATCAATGGAAATGTAGTCATCTCAGGTCCACTCTCTTTCATTGTATTGAATTTATATAGAAGACTTGCGCTTAGTATAATGCAATGATAATAACAAGAAAGTAAGTACTTAAAATATTATCACTTTGTTGTTGCAGGTTATTCAATCTACAAATATCTGGGCTAATTGCTTTATTAAGGTTTTTCGTTGGAAGAAAATACAATCCACTGAAAGGCAGTATTGATTCATGTGAATATACCAACCAGGAACTATTTGTTGGTACAGTAGCATTTACAATATTGTTGTTGCTTTTACCAACTACAACCATGTATTATATTGTATTTACTTTGGTAAGAATAATTTTTAAACTAGTCCAGTATTTGATTTTTGTTCAGTATGATCCATATGTGGCCTATTTCAGTGTAACTTATTATCTTTTTTCAGTTTAGGATATTAGTACTTATTATACAGTATCTATTGGCTAAATTGATTTACACAATACAAACTCTTCCATTATATGTGGTAACTCTGTGGCTGTTGCACTCTCCTAAAGTAGCAGGTAAATAACATAAATGTATGGTTTCTAACGTGATTTATCAAGCGAACAAGTAAATCAGGTTTTAAATGTACCTACCGATATAGAAATCATATTACTGTTTACAGGAAAAATCTCTATGGAGGTATTAAACAACAGAAAGAAATCATCATATTTAATTATAAGACTGAAGCTGTTTAGTAAGTCTATTTGGGACTTGATTACAGATTTCAGAGCTCCATTTGACGTACCGAAGCAATTTGAATGGACGAATATGCTATCGAATGTATGTGTTGGGAAACAAATTGTTTAACTGACTGAAATAAATTATTAATTGTTCTATTGAGTGTTTTTTTTTATATTTATTTGATTTATTCAGTCTTTTTGTTAAATTTGGCCAAAAAAGTATAAAAATCGAATGTAGATATTATAATTAATTGGTTGGATTTACAACTTAGTACCTGAAGTATTTTGATCGACGTTTTAGTTTAACAGTTCCTGTTGCTTGTTTTCAACCAGTAAATCCAATTTTGAATATTATATTACAACTTTATATGCATGAATCTTTACTAATATTACAAATGTGTGACTATTCGTTTATTACCTTTTAGCACCTTAACAACATAACCGATCACTATGAAATTTGATGTATATATATATATATATATATATATATATATATATATATATATATATATATATATATATATATATATATATATATATATATATATATATATATATATATATATATATATATATATATATATATGAAGAAGTATACAACCTATTTTACCGGTCACGCAGATGAAATCATACATAAAAGCTAGTAATTTATAATTAGAACTACGGATAACAGAAAGTATATATTGAAAATAAAAAAAAAGTAATATTTGAAAACCATTATCTATTATCGTGCAATTGAAAAAACCACAACCAAAACCAAACTGCTAGGACCAGAGCTCTTACTGATTGAGCTACTAATAATAATAATTATAAACAATATCTAATGGAATATTATTTTAAAATATTATTAATATTTTTAAAACAATTTGCGATTAATAAATCACCAAACGTATACGTCTTACCACAAAAAATTAAACTGGTAAAAGGCAGGTGTTCAATACATGTTGAGACATGTTACTATAATAGTGTATCTGACATCTGTGTGCCCAAACAAAAGAACGTTTGTTTTATTAAAAATAAAAAGGTATTCAAAATAATAAATTTTATAGCATATATTTTAGGTTTATAGACTTTGGCACCTAAAATTACAAATAAGTCAAAACATAAATAGATGGTGATATATCGAATTTTCGTCATTCTATACATGAATTAGGGTGTAATGTGCATACTACACATTTACAGTTAGAGTAATCAAATTACAATTAATAATCAAGTAACAGTTACAATAATCAAATTATATTAATATGCACATAATACCTCCTAATACCTTCATCCATTCACAGAACAGTGAAAATCCGAAACTGATATATCACCTTTATCCATCATGTCTTCTAAATATTATTGGACCCATTAGTTTTGTTAAATACTGTTAAGATAAGCAGTGTTTTAAATTATATTTTTTTTTGTCGTAAATTATAGTTGTAGAGACAATAAAAGACAAAATCTTATGTTGTTTATCATTTATTGCGCACAAATTAAAACAGTTTGGTCACCACACACGTGAATGTATAAATGCATAGATAATTTAGCATAAGGTATTTTTATTTATACACTATAAAAAAATCTGTTTTGCTGCAATCTGCGGAAATTGTATATAAAACAAATAATAAAACTGTCGAAGACCAACTAAACCTACTCGAATATAATTGAGTCTTCACCAAATACAATTCGCATGCTAGTAGTGGTCAATTATAGACAAAAGACCTCAAGTGTCTATTACAATGCTTTTAAAAATTAATATCATAACGATTTTAACATTATATTTGTATTATGACATTATAAACTCTGTCACCACGCACAATTAATATACTACAACATACCTATATTCATAGTATTTTTCTGAGTTTAAAATTAGAGACAATTTTTATAAGTATTCTGTATGGGTGCTACATTAAACTTTATACCTCTAGGTACAGCGACACGTAAAAAATTATGCTACTATTTTTTATTCAAACTAATCCAATAGAGATATAACCCCCTTGGCAAATGGTATAAAAAAATAACTAACATTGATACAGTGCAGTTTATTACTTAATTAGTAGGGCAAGATATATTTGTTATTGTGATCATCATCATTTCAGCTTATATCTATCTGCTACTGGATATAAAGCCTTCCCCAATGCCTTCCAACATGTGCGATTATGCTATGATGCCGCACATTATTGGTCCTTTTAATTGGAGAATTTATTGAGTTTCATTATCAAATATTCTAATTAAACTTGAAAAATCGGTCACTAGATGTGTTGCAGTGCGTATTTTAACACAATGTTAGTAATGCCATGCCAACGATCATTCACAGAACAATTTGTTAATAAATAATGGTTAGATACAAATGAAAAATAATTTAGGTAATACTTGTAACATATAGGCCTGTTTTAAAACGATGCCACTATATATTAATACGCGCACAATGGATGGAGTCATGCTCAAAGTATTTACTTGAATACTATACAAGAATATAAATTGCCATTTTAGAATATTCGCTATGATATTTTATAAGATAATGATGAACATTATATTATTGCAAATTACAAAAAATAACCATATCTAAATATATATAATCGATATCTCATAAAATTTTTGTATTATCAACGATTTATACACGTTTCTTCATCTAATTATTTACAAAAGTACCTTCCAAAATATTTATATCCACCAATAGACATGTACCAGGTGCATATCAATGTTGCATATAAATGTAATGGTATATTGATAAACTCCTGGAATGCATGAACTTATAAATCAAATAGGTAATAAGTAAAATTAAAAATAAAGGTTAGTTCATGTTGATTCCTACTCGTATACTCTACTGGCAACACAAAAATCATTGTATTGAATTTATTTGTTACATTCCAGTAATGCATTTATAAAAGATTAATCTCTCGTGTTTATATATACAAGATATTTTGGATACTGCGTTTTATATTTTTAATTACATATCCATAGGTGCTTATATGTGAAATAAGCAGCTATATATTTTTTCAACTCATAGTGGTTGCCGGTGGGTAGGCCAAAAGTTACTATTACATTAATTAACCAATCCTAAGTGTTTCATTACGATCACAGACATTCGTAAATTAGGAAAATGTGATTTTGATCACAGTACATAAGGTTCACAATCAGCGAGACTATACCACGAAGCTATTAATAAAACTGCTGACGTAGCTTTACATAAAATAAGCTAGGCTGCATTTTGCAGAGAGTGGAGACAAGGTGAGACGATATTCGGCATGCTTAGTTCTTGAGTACACACCTGTAGTCCTTATTCACGTCTGAGCTTGAATTTGGTGAATGTTCTTTAGGTCTAACTGTACCACGACACGATGCTAATTTTGATTCCAAAGCCTACAATGAAGAAAAAGTACATAGTATGAATGATGTTAATATTAGTAAGTGATAGGAAATTAATGTGCAGTTACTACCATCACCTGGATTAAAAGGCAGCCTTATGAATAAAATATTTACAAATATGTACAATACAATGAATGTGTATGAACACGACTTGCCATATATATAATTATTATTGAACGTAATGTCAAATAAGATTATTTTTTAAATGTATGGCACTACACCAATATGTGTTAACAGAAGAATTATGTAAATATAACCTAAATATTACATTTTTATTATTAAAATTATTCGTAATATAACAATAAATTGTGACAAATACTATGAAGTTTTATTCGATTAGTGCCACACTGGCACTGAGTGTATATTGAAATATGTTATTATATACTATAATAAACAATAATTTATAACATAAAAAAGTGTTACTAATAACACCATTAATTCTTAATCTTATTCTACGAAAATAATAACTGACTTCAATTTTGACAAAATTTGTATGACTATCACAAAAGTATCTTTATCATTAAAAAAAAAATTAAAAGTACAAAAAAGAAATATAGTAGAGCTAAAAACCTAATTTTGGAAGAATGTTGAAAACAAGCTAACTAAATATATATTTGATGATCTAAAAGTAACAATAAATAAACTACTTATGTAAGTTTTACAATACGTCATAGTTATGAGGTGCTATTTATGTCTAAATACTCTGCATGCAAATCAATAATGATATAATTACTGTTTCTAAATATAATTTCGTTCCACAGTTTTAAGATGGATCCAGTGAGTTAATGGTAATAATCATGTTATGTCATACAGATGATGTCATGAAATAATTACGCAGAGTCGTCCCACACCTATAGGGCGACACGAAAGATAAATAAGTAGTTTATGGAGAGTATGGAAATCCTGTTTTATATCTGAATACTGTATTAGTATTCAGAAATAAAACAGAAAATTTACATTAATATTTTATAACTGACTGAATGTGCCAGGTTTCAAATTCACGGACAATTAAATTAAAAATATGTTATTATATTGATAGATCTAAAAGAAACATTTTTGCTAATAACGTTTTTGTTTACGAGTTTTCATACTTTTATAAAAATCTATGCATGAAATTATATTAATTTTATAAGTATATAAATTTCAACTACTATAATATTTTTTTTAATTAGCACCTACCTACGTACCGGCGTGCATTGAACATTACTATAGCTTCAAATGCTTTATGAAAAAAATTTTAATGAGGAATTTGAATCAATAGAACATTAATGTACATGGTGACTGTTGGCAAGTATATATGATTCTTCTGAGAATGACCTATCTGAAGTCGCAGATAAAAATTCCTATATCGAGTTTTTTAAATTAAGGGACACTATAAAGCTAATAAATAACATTTACAAGCAGGCTGAGTAAACTGAAGCCTATGGCAACAAACTTGGAGTATCTTTTTTTATAATAAAGTTACATTTTGTATCGACAAAAACATTATAATGACTGTGAACCATTGTTCAAAACCATTGTATTGAATTGTACAGGATAATTCCGCCACAGTCTTCAAGATAGCTCTATTATTAAGATTGGGAAAAATATAAAATATACCATTGAGTGGAATAAGATACCGTAATCTCACTCCATATGTAGAGATAAGTAGTATTTTACATTAATATAGTTTTTAAAACAATGTATTTTCGTTTTAACTAACGCTAATTAAATGTACCTACTTAGTCCAAGAGGAATCGAGCTATGGATTGCAGGTCTGTGGAATGCAATGTATTGGGTGTTTCTATTTTCAGAATAGATAAAAAAATATGTTACTGAAACCAAAAATTGTCATAAAAAGGCTGCATGTTTGAATTGGAATTGAGCCGAGGTTTCGAATGGCTTCATATCAAATAAATCAAGAACTAAATCAAGGTTAGACCTTTAGCGTATTTTATAATTGACAACTTTAAAAATTAAATTGATAATTTGTCTACAAGTAAAATTAATATAATAAAATATCATTGACATTGCATTTATTGAGTTCATCAACGTCTAATATATACTAAAAATCCTAGAATAGATTTGTAGGCAAAATAAATATTAAACGAATATAAATACGGAACCGAAAACAAAAAATTCATCACTACTCGTCTGACTTTGTATTTTTGAGCTTATATTACTATCAGATTTAATGTATTATTTTGTACCTATACAATAACATTTTATTGAGAACTATTAATTAATATTGGAATAAGACTATAATCTACCATATTTTTCTTCCCTAATTTTAATTGGTTATAGAATTAAATTCTAAGCTACCAGAGATAATTTTGATATTTGACATCTTTTGCACCATTTATGTTAATGTACTTAAATACAATTATTAATATCTATTTATACTTAATTAGGTATGTACGTATTTAAGTTGTTAATTTGGAAATGTGCAGCTACTGTGCTTTTAATGATTCATACCAACGCAATTAATAACAAATAGTTTATAACGAGTTATAATAATAAGATATTAACAATATGATATTAAACAACATTTGTATAAATTGACTCATTTCAGTAAATTATCTATACAAAGTGGAAATGAATTCGGTTAGTTAATTAATATATATCATTGTCTTATGACTTGTTTTGATTTTCCTTGATCCGTTCCTTTTCTTATTGACGCAAAATTCAAAATATGTTCAATTCCTTCCCTGGACCGTACGGCAAATGATCTTCTTAATTTTCCATTTTCTCCCGACACAGACCTTGTGAACGGTTCAATTGTAGACTGTCCGTTTGTGTAAGATGATCGTTCCGATCCACTATCACCATTTTTAGTATCTATATTTTGTTTAATTTGTTTGCGGTATTCTATAGAATCATCTATAGCATTGTTATTCTTGATGCTGGATTCACCAGCTGGCGCTAAATGGTCATTTTCAGCAGCAGCAGGTGCATTGCATGAGCATTTGACTTTACCACAATCACGGCAAAGAAACCTTTCAAGCTGCAAGCAATAAATACATGCATACTACACAAAAACAACCATGCTGTATAAAAACTATGGCCTATCTACAAATGAAAAGGAAATAATAGAAATATTTATCATACGATATGTACTAGTTGACCAATTATAGTCTGACCAGATACTGGTAACAAATAGATACCTTATCAGATCACCATTACCTTCCTAGAGGTATGTACAATACTCATAACGTAATGGGGTATAAAGGTGCAAAATCCTATAAAAGTATTCATTAAACTGAACAACTTTTTCCAAGGTTTTTACATTGGCTGAAACACGATAACATGGTGTTTTTTTATTAAATCAATTACGTCACCATACTCTACATAATATTTGGATGGAATTTTTTTAACCAATTACAAATGTAAAATTAGTCTTGTGTTAAAATGGGCTCATAACATGTATTATACCAATAAAATGCTACATGTTAGTCCAATTTAATTGTTCTTGTCATAATAAAAAGAAGTTCAGAAATTAATCTAATTATATATATAAGGTTAACTTATTTGTATTCAAACCTTGAGAAAAAAGTTGTTAGTTTGCTTACAATATTTCTCTTCTCTTTATAAATAATATATTTATATTACTACATGTATATAATTATACTGAATAAACGGCAAGCAATAATTGGCTAATTAACATTCGAAATATATAGTACGGAAGTACAGTAAACAATGCAGATACAAATATTTAAAAGAATTTATAGCAATAGAAGGTTGGAAATATACAACAAGAAACAATGTGGGAAATTCTATTTAAACTGACATACCGAGGAATTTGGTAAATAAATGGTTCTAAAGACATTACAGTAATTTAATTAATCATTTAATTTTATGGCATTTTTATGAAAATATTAAACGGTTACCGCTTGGCGGTTTAACAATGACGAAATTTGGGATACATGTACTATTTGGAATAGAAATTTTTTTGGGCAATTAGTGTAATCCTGGTAACGCGGACAAAGTCGCAGATATAAGCTACTATTACATAATCTCGGTATGCAAGTTCTGCATATACAGATTATTAGCCACATATTTTTCCATGACGCCATCTTTAATCTATTGACTAGCTTTTCTACGTCACAATATCCCTCACTACACAGTGGATTAAAAGAAATTTAAGGTGCATATAAAATGTGGTGATTTCTTGCTAAAATATATATTAATACTAATAATAATATACATATATACATAAAAGCGTTACAAATATATATTGTTAAACTACAATTACCCAATTAAAGTATACTTTCACAACCAGTGTACTATATAAATACAGTGATAATTACAACACAAATTAGGCTAACTAGTCGTAATATTTTCTAATTAACTATAATTTACGTATTCTAAAGCAAGAATTACTACAATTATTAATAAAATAGATTTGAATAATGTTGAAAATGTATTGTCACTCACCCCTACTTTCCGCAGAAGATCGCCTACTATATTTATGGCTGATACTCGAGCTGAGGGAGTCATTGCATTTCCATTTATTTCTCCTATTGAAAATCACAATAATTGGTTATTTTTATAAATCTATGATTGTGTATTTTCTGTGTGTAGTCGCATAGTAAGAACAATGGAGTCTACTCTAAGACACCATTTTTGTAAACCTATCTTTAAAATTAAAATTTCAATTTGATATCACAACAAAATCTTTATTATATATATATAGTTTTCTAATAGACTTAATTCAAAATTATTATAATTTTAGTTCTGTAAAACAATAAATTCGCGAAATTATCGAATTAAATATTAGGTTAAGAGATAAGATTAGAAAAATGGCGTCTCAGAATCGGCCCAAGGCAAATCTTCATCTCCTTACCCATAAGATGTATCACCAGATTATATCAGTACAAAACAAACTTTGAACTACCATGGGAATATGTGGTAAGCCTACTATTATACTGATAGCTATACCCTATCAAGTCGACTTTTATGCGGTTCACTCTGAAAATTATCATAGTTAATTTTTGTCCAATTCTTCGTGATGGGCCGACTGACCTGCCTTTATCCTTATCTATCACTGGTGCCCCGCTAGCTCAAATCCATGTCTATCTCTTAGGGGTCCTGATGTAGATAAGGAGATTAAGAATATGAACTTATGGTGATTGTTAACCAGCTGTTTTAATAAGTTTTACAAGAGTCTTAATATATAAAATTGAATGTCTGTTTTTATTTTAAAATAAGAAATATTGTGTTCTAATTGCCCTGAACATGTGCTAGCAAAAATAGTCTGTCCTTAGCCCATGCATTAGTTTTAGTTTAATATTATTGTATTATATTGCCAGTGATTATGATACTAATAAACAAATGTGACCATTATGAAGAGTTTTTGCCCACTACTTCATATGCATAGATTTTAGAAGAAAGCTTTTAAAAAGATTTTAAAGAAATGAAAGGAATATTTTTAGATGGCATATCAAAATGAAATATACGTCAGTTTTTAATTTAAACTTTCAGAAAGACAACTGTAAAAAGTGCATTTGATTTGGTGCAGTAGTTTTTGTGTCATGCCAGAACAAACATATAGATAGACAAAATTTCTAAAAATTATTATTTTTGCTTCTTATTTCTCTTATTAAAACCCCTTATATATTTTGTTCTTAGATATCACCAATGTACAGACATTATCTAGTTACAATTTTATTATATTAGTAAGATAAGATTTCTAACTTGAATCTACTCTTTAGTTTATATAAAGGATTTTAATTCTAAATATATTAGTGATTCCAAAGACATCATGCTTCCTGAAACATCTATAAATTACAGACTGCTGACAATAAACTAACACAGGTATTTTCTTTATATTAAGATATTAAATTTATTAACAATTCTAAATTTTAAACTACTTACGTTTTTGTGGTGACGAAAGGATTTGTGTGTCTATTTCAACTTGACTTCTGTTGGAATTTGAAATGTGACCATTAACTACTTTATTCTCATTGGGACTACCATCTTCTTTCTTATGTGTTGGTATTCTTTCTACTACTTTAAGCTCTTGCTTCAGATCTGAAAAAGTTAATGCAAAGCTAGCTAAGTATAAGTTTAACAGTATTTAACTGTGTATAATTAACTAAAGTTTCGTCAAATTAAAATAATTTAAACTAAATTTAAAATTTACTTTAAACAAAATTGTAACTTTGGATTTGTAAAATTTGTCAAAATCAGGACAATAGATATAATGGGATATAAATATAGACTGACCATAAAATAGCAAGAATCTTGACAATTAATTTTCTTATTTTAATCAAAATTTCTTAATTATTATATGGAATTATAACATATATTGTATGGTTGTAAATAAATTACAATGGGATTAAATTTGAAACCCTATCTGAGACAGTTACAACAGTCATAGTTGAATAAAAATATATCAGAGCTGTTGTAGACCGTAACTACTTACTACCAACTAAATTACATAAAAATATTGTTTAATTTTAAAAGTAAATGAGAAAGTAGTAACCATACACTTCAGGGTATAGTAAAATTTAAAAATCAATTTGGCCAAAATAAAAGCATTTAAATTGGGTCTAGTTTGAATTCTAATGTATACTAATAAAAAACTATGATATTACCTCGGGCTTCATCTGTTGCTCTCTGCAATTTAACTCTTAAATTCTCTATTTCATCCACTTCACTTTCTAAAACAGCGTTCCTTTCATATGCCTGGTTTAACAAAGTTTCAATACACGAAACTGATTCTGATATTACTCTGGAACACATTAATACATTTAATATAATATTATTAAGGAGCTTGTTTTGCATATTCTTATAGAATACCACCTACAAGTTTGGCATCTGTTTCTCTCACATAAATACCTTGAATATATTAAATTATGATAAATTTTAAAATATAACATATTAGTTAATCCGTCAGGAATGAGTCAATCTAGAATACTCATGTAATTACAAGAGTAAATCAGCTGAATGCTATCACTGTTCATTCTACAATTCAAATATAAACTATAAAAATGACAATTTTAGACTTATAAATAATTATTTATTAAAAACTATTTTTTTACCTTTGACCTCTTTCCAGGTCATCATTTTTTTGCTCCAATTCTCTTACATAAACAGCTTGTTTATTTTTTTCAATTTTTAATGCCTGTAGTTCACTTTCTAATACATTTGTTTCATGTTGACTCCTCTCTAATTTGTTCTAAAACATTGTGTAAGCATTGTTTACATTAATTGCATTGTTATTAGATGAATGAAATATCAATGAAACAGCCATCTAAAATACTTACTTTTAACATTTCAATTTCAGTTTTGAGCCGCTGGTTTTGATGTTCTAGATCTCTGTTCTGTTTTTCAACTTGTACCAACGAAGCTTCCAGTTCCTTTTCGAGTTGTGCTGAGTTTTCGGTGTATTCGTCTAACTCTTGTTGAAATTCAATTGCCCTAAATTTCAGAAAAATAAATAAATAATTTCACTTGCATTATGATAAAAAACAATTAAATACCACATTGATTATACTTTACTCACTTTTGTTCATAATGTTTAGCTTGTTTTCTCCAATAATCCAATGACTCTGACTCAGATTGTCTTGGAGATTCCATGATTGAGGATTATTAAAATCACCACTTTCAATTTCAACAAACGATATCCCAAGGATGTCTACTATCCAATCATAACAAAACGTTAACACAGATCTAGAAGGAATTGATAAAATATTATCGTTTAATTATGATTGCCGTAAAATGTTTATAATGTTTTCGTTATTTTTCTATCAAATTAGCCGTTAAAACGCAAATAGTGACACAGATCGTCCACTCAAAACAAGTAAATTTTTTATATGCCAAATAAAATAAAATGGCTGCGAAACAAATGTTACCAGGATCATAAACAAATTTCCCTGTAAAATTACTTGACAGTAACAATCGAAAATACAAAAAGGCAAAGAGGCCGATTCTGACCTATTTCTAAAATTGAAATTTAGGTTTGATATTACAAATTATTATAATTTTAGTTCATTATGTTCCATAAAACTATAATTTCGTGAAATATTCCAATTAAAATAAGAGATAAGTTTCAAGAAATGGCAACTCAGAATCGGCCTCATTATCTTCAATTTATTGCAAAAGATGGGGTAATGGATAAAGATGGGGGGATGGAATAAGCATAAAATGGGGTGAATACAATTTTAAACTTCGTTTCAATTTCATTGAAATTAATAATAACATTTGATGATTCAATATATAACAATCAGGATCAATATCTTTAAAATTTGGCTATATATATATATATATATATATATATATATATATATATATATATATATATATATATATATATATATATATATATATATATATATATAGTATTATTAACTAGATTGTCATATTTGTAAAGTACCGTAAGAAAAAGGCACGAACTCGACTCTCTCTTCAGTCGTACACTCTTGACAGAGTGGTCGTAGTTTTTATAATAATAGTGGATCGTCGATGAGGTCCTCCTTCGCGACTTGACACTATTGAATATAAGCCTCCTCTTTGGAGGGTTTCGCCAGTAATTACCAGGCTTGGTAGGCGAATTAGCAATCATAGCCAGGCTTCAAAGATGTTTTAAGAAGAACGCTGCTGTCCATCCTTTGCCCTCCTTAGTCGCCTCTCACGCACCCACGGGAAAGGAAGAGATGGCCTATTCTATGCCGGGACCACACGGCCAATATAAGCACCATATCTTTTATGATACCTATTAATATATACCTATATTTTAGACAGAAGCATATTGTAAATAGTTGAACAGTAGTATGAATGTTTATTTATTTTATTATGTTGATAATTGTATGCTGTTGCATAGAATTTTTAGTTCTGTTAGAATAAGGACAGTGCCGGTAGTTACTTCCGCACTTGACAGTAACTGTCACCTAGTGACATGACAGTGATAGATCAAAAATTCGCAGATTTTTCAGCTAAAATGTTACATAGGTAAATTTTCTACGTACCTATTAACCTAAATTGCTATGAAGCATTTAAAATTTCAATAAAATAACTAGAGATTTATTATGAATTTGACTGTATGTTGTGTTTACGTTATCAGTGAACGAACATTCCCTAGTAAATCTATTTTGAAATGCCACATAACCGGTGATTGAAATATAATTTTCTATTTGTTATTGAATGACGTGTAATGTTTCCAACGGCGAACACTGAAGATATCGCACAGGTCACGTCATTTAAAACATATTCAGGTGTTTCTAGCGATGAGCGAGATCCAATTGATAATACACAAATCACAAGACAAAACAGGGAGTTAACATTCAATATGTTGATCAAAGAACTGGTCTTCTGTATAGCTTTGGCTCTGACAACTTATGGAGCTCTACACAATACGTGAGTGTTTTATTTATTTCTCTCGTCAACATATTTGGGAGTTTTTTTCTTCATGTGTTGATTATTATTTATTATTATTGTTACTTTATTACATGCATTATACATTTGTTATTTTGTGATAACTTCCAAAAGAGATATTTTTAAACCTTTTCTATAAAAGGGTTCGCTTTCTGCAATCGGTAACAATTTTTTTTTGTAGACATATTTTGTATTTCTCATTTATTTTAAAATCAAAATAGGTTCCTTGTTAGTATTAATTCTGTCACAGTAGAAACCATTATTTATTTTAAATTTTTGTAAGGTTACTGTACTTCATATGTATTTAATAACATTCCAGACCAACAAAGATATCTAAATACCCACAAGCAGTAAGATTCTTCACTACAGACTCATTAGTAAAAGACTGGTACCGAGGACAGCTGAGTAGTGCTCTTGCTAAAATAAATAGTGCAGATATTTCATTTGTTATGTACTATGCACCTTGGGATGCTGAATCCCAATATGTCCGAGGAGAGTTTGAGAAGGCTGCAATAATTTTAAGCGATTATGTATGTATTTTGAATATTTTTTAATAAAGACTCAGTCAGTGGGTACCTTTAATGAGTGGTTGATGTAGTTGAGGTGTATGGATTTTGATAAGCCTAAAAAAATAAGTAATTGTTTACAAAGAAATTAGTATAGACAAATTTTAGTGATTGTTCAATGTCATAATAACCCCAATTTTATGGGCTTATCAAATAGGATTCTTTGAGATCTACCTTTGTTATATGATATTTTTTTATGCGCTTGCATTTTCAAGTTATAGTGTTCTAAAGATTTCTAGGACTTGGAAAAATTTCTAACATTTTTAATGTTATGATAATTTCACCCCTTTTATGTATCCATCCAATAGGGTACCTTGAGAGGATCAATTTTGGTCCTGTGAAATTTTTTTTACATTTTCGAAGTACAGTGTCCTAAACATTTCTAGGACAGAAAAATTTAAAAATAGTTCTAAAATGAATTAATAACCTATAAATATACCCTAAGGGTGTACTTATTAAACCCAGGATTTAATTTTGGTGATACTCTTAAATGAATTTTAACTAAGTGTGTGGTATTTGCATTTAATAAGTGTTTATTAAAACTGATTCAGATAATTTTATTTTAATATTAACATCCAAATCCAAATAAATTTTTATGACCTTCATGCTCTAAAGTACGAATATATCGTTGAAGCATATTCTCAATATCAATTAATTACTTTTTATATTTTAGGTCCATTTTTCTGCCATAAACTGTTGGAATCCTGGTAGCGAATGCAGACTACATCATAGTAAAATACCATCATGGCCAATTTTAATGGCATATACTATCAATTCCAGAGGAGTACTATACAAAGGTTCAACAGATTTCTTATAGTAAAAAAGACATTAAGTGGCTGCCAAATAATGATCTTCAAATAGGCAAAGGGCTTTGTAAAATGTACTTAATAATTTGGTCAATTACCATGTTTTGCTACACGCATCTTGCATTACTTAAGTTATGTAATCACTCTACTAACCCTTGGGGAAAAATGGTACATACACATAATAAAGTGACTGTGGTCTTTCTACTGCCACTTTAGTGACTGAAATTATTAAATTGTGAAGATGATTTAAACATAAATACTGCCTATATTAATTTTTATATGGGATAATGGGCAAATACACTGATGGCTCACTTGACGAAAAATTATCATCGTATATACTGAATCCCATACCTAATGCATTACTATTCCTAACAATTAATTTTCTGCATGCCAAGTTTCATTTTTCAAACAATACAGCCATGCAATAATAGCTTCTTGGACTGAGAAACAAATACAGTACAGATATCTATATAAACAATCATAGCAACATTTGTCAATTTTCAAAATAATATATATTTCTTCCAAACCAGGTCCCAGAGATGCTCATAGTATGGTAAATTTTCTGCAGTTAATAATGAAGCCATTAGAGAGAGTCTCGACTACAGAACATCTTGTAAATTTATTATCTATCTGTGATGTGAGTATTAAATATACTTGTATTTTGTAATTTAACTATCATACATCCTTGAAAATTTAATCTTTTATACTAATTGATATGGTGAGTGTAAAAATATAATTATAATAGTTTGCTTCATTTACTACTATATATTACACTCATAAATGAGACAAGATTGAAATTACATCCTGTTTTGTTTGTAATTTATATAAATAAATATGTTTGTTAAGAAATTAATTTTTCATTGTTGAACTTTAGTTAGGTTATTGGATATAATTTAAAATAATAAGAAAAAACAAATGGTAGGTACTATTTATTGAATATCGCTCAGAATATCAGAAACCAGATAATAAAAACAAAAAAATTATGAATATATACTTTTAAAGATTTGCACAACAAAAATTGCCACTTAAATTACTGATATAAAAGTGCAAATGTTTATATTATTGCAGGCCGTAGCTGTTGGATATACTCCACTTACAGATACATCACGTTATTACAATATTTGGTATTATGTTGCAATGAAAGTGCGTGAATTCGATCCTGTTGGTGAGATATGCTTTGCTGTAGTTACTTCAGAGGAACTTGCAGTAGATCTTGGGGTTGATGTAATGCCAAATGCAAGACTCATGCTGTGGAATGATACAAAGGTAAGATAGTTATAAAATTTATAAAATTCTGTGTCCCACCATTGAGTTAGGAAAAAATTAACTTGTACATATTGTTATACAGGAATATGTGAATAGTGGTAATCTACAATCTTGGAATGAGACATCCCTTCTACATTGGGTTTTGGAGAACTTCTCACAGCCGGTTGCGCGGGTTATACCCATGTGGAAGAAGGCATTCAGTTTTGAAAGATATGTTGATGGAAATCCTATATTAATATTATTTACTCCATTAAATCCTTTGTATGAACAATTGCCATCTTATGCATTGGTAAGTTGAAAATCATATATTTTTTTATAGAATTTGGAATGGCAAAAGAAGTTGACAGTTCACCTGATGAAAATTCATAACCATTATTTATATAATTATAGCTTATTGACATAAAAGTACCATTAACAAATTTGGCCATTTTTAAGCATTAACTTGAATTGATTTTCTTTTTTTAATTTATGAAAAATGAAGTAATTATTTATATACCTATCATTCAAAATGTATTTATTTGATGAAAACTCAAAAACTTATGTTTATCCTTAATACTCAATATGATATATTGTATATTTATATAATAATATTGATTATTTGACAAATAATTGATACAATGTTCACAACATTGTAATTCCCTATTATTTAATAGAATCCTTTTTATTAAAACTTAATAAAAAATATAATTCTGATTCTTGTATGAAATATTATATTTTTTATTTAGTTACGTGAAGTGGCTATGGAATATTACAACTGCAATAACAATGAGAGCAGTCAATGGACATCAGAATTAATTAAATTGCAACAAGTACAAAGACTCTTATATCAACAAAAGGATTTTTTAAAATTTTGTCAAGAATACAAATTTAAAAAACCTGTAAGAAAACAAAATTTCTTCTACAAGAAGGAGATTGTTTCACAAAACAATAAATATCCCTGGAATAATGTCACTCAGAAAAATCATAAAAGTGGAGCTTTAAATTCTTTTGTGAAAAGAGGACTATCTATTCCAAAAATTACACAGGGCTCTCTTGACGAATCTCAGGTGTTGTCAACTATAGGTTTATTGCAAGAGTGTAGCTCAACAGAATTGCCAGCTGAAAAACTTTTTTATGATAACTATGAACAGTGCCAATCATTTAGCCATGATAGTTTCAATTATGAAGAAAATTCAAAAGAATATAAGTTCAAGTAAGCAAAATTATTTTAATATTATAATTAGCATTTTTTATTTTTGAAAATAATGTCTAACATTATCTGTCAAAAACATCCTGTAAAATTTAAATCATAACAACTATTCTAGTTTCATAAATAACTGCATTGACATGGAACATGATCTTCTTGTATTTAGCATATTATTTAAAAAAAGGAGTTAATTTATGTTAAAAAAAGATAGCAGGCTGATCTTTACTTGGGAACAGTTTTCTATGTTAAGAAGTGTTACGATGTAACAGTATTATTTTGGAACAGGCCAGTGAAATTTTTTATACTAGGTCTCTTCAGACCACCTCTGATAGTGTCACTGTTTTATGCCACGCATTGTCTGTCATAAAATCATTGTTAAAGTATTATACTATTATATTACAGTTTTTTTAATTAAATAGAAAAATTATATGTAGAAATAAACTATTTCAACTTGCAGTTTAGAAACAACAATGTTACCTTTAGAAGATGATCCACTATCACCGGATAATTTGGTGCAAGAGAATGTAAAACATTTTTGTAAACTGATGAAGTTTGCCAACGAGGCAGGTCCTCGTGTGATTCCCGCTAAGGTCCTTGTCAACGATGAGAAACATAATATAACACACATACATGGTTTAGCTTGTGCTAGAAACTTTAGTCTTCATATACTGGCTGTTGACAGTGTTGCCAACCATCATTTCGCTGAATTTTTAGGTATTGATATATCTAATAAAAAAGATAAAACTACTGTTGTTATATTGGATAGTAAGGTAAGAGCCATAATATTGACTTTTTTTTTAATTTGACAATATAGTTGTTACTTTAGTATTGTTATTATTTTTTATTCTAAATGACTTAAATATAAATTATTTTGCATTTACAGCATGAAAGTCAGTATGTTCTCTCTGAGGAATATAGTGCCAAATCAATACGAGATTTTATTTATAATTTTACTAATAAATCGTTGCAACGTTCTCTACGCACGCATGTAGAAGATGCTGCGCACACACATTACTATGGCTCAGAAGGAAAGACAACAAAAAAAGGGACCAATGATAGCAGTATTGAAATAATAGACTTGACAACACGCAGTTTTAAAAAACTCATAAATACACCAGGAACTGTGAGTTATTTCTTTATTACATGATTTTAAATAAAAATAAAAAAAAAACGATATTTTCCGGAAAGAATTTACACTAGTTTTCAGAATAATGGTTTGAGTTCACTGTTTCAGTTTTTGCCAACCTGTTCCTTACATTTTGTACAGAAAACGCCTAGATTATTACAAACACGCACATAAATTCAGATGTTTGTATAATATATATACACCAAAAGGTGAGTGAGTCTGTACAAATCTTAAAAATATTTACACTACCAAGACGGTTGTTCACGGTGTCCTGGAATGTGAGCTGTGGCCTCTCAACGTTTAGAAATCCTCGGAACAGTGAGGTCGGTCCGTGAGTGAGCCTGTGAAGGTCCCAAGAAGCTTCTGTACTTTTAGGTAGAGCTGAGCTGGCTGTACTAGCCATGACTCATATGCACAATGGCCCAAATGAGAGGAAAATAGAGTCTAATTTACATTATATTACATTCAAATTCAAATTCAAATTCAAAAATCATTTATTCATGTAGGACATTTTAGCCGCTTATGAACGTCAAATTTTTACATTATAATTTTATTTTTTTCCCTACCGTCCAGTTCGGTATATAGATCCAATTGAGAAGAACTGGCAAGAAACTCAATTGAATTACTTTTTTTTTTAAAGCCAGTTTATTTACAATGTATATTTATATAGGTGTCTATGTCTAACATTAAATGAAAATTCAGTGCATGAACAACTATTGCCATGCACACTCGTCATTACACTAAAGGTCGTCATAACACGTAGACATTCACAAGATACAAGTAACGACAATAATATGATGTAATAATAATATAGTCACACAATCACACTAATCGTCTGGTTCTCAAGCTTAGTTAGGTAGCATGTGTTATGAGAAATTAGGTAGTGCACACGACCCAGAATACTTAGACTGACTTGAATGGATTTCGAAAAGTTAGTTCCCTAAATTGGCATGGCCGGAAATCATACCCGGAACCTTATTTATGCAAAGTAACATCCCTTGCGCGCGTGTCACCACACAGGTCAACGGAATTATTATTCCTATTAAGAATGTTCACATTTTAGCTTACCAAAGTGAGGCAACGTCGCAAATTCCCAATTATCTGTCAACTGTATAGGAATATTTTAAAAATTTTCAATCATTATGATTCATTATTTAAAAAATGCTCTGATAGTAAACTAGAATGTTAATGATGTATTAAGAACATTTTTAAGCGCTCTCTAAATAGATTTGGATTTTTTTTTATACAACTTAGAATGGCAAACAAGCTGACGGCCCACCTGATGGAAAGTGGTAACCGTCACCTATAGACATGAGCAGTACCATGGACATAAGAGTGTATACTGTTTCGCCCATGATACCCCCCATACGTTGCCATTCCTGAGGACTCGAGTGTTATTCCTCTGTACCCAGTAAATTTACGCCATATCCCACCCTTCAAAACCGAAACACAGCCATGCAAACACAGCTGCTTCATGGTTGTATAAAGTATATAATATTTCATATTTTTAGAGGTATATTTGTATGTAATTTATTTAGTGTATTCTACAATAGCAGTAACAGGTTTGCTTATCGTCCTGTGCACCTGCAGGTGAGGCTGGTGTGCGTGTGCGGGGGCGTGTGCGGCGCGGCGGCGGCGCGGGCGTTGGCGGCGGCGGCGCGCCGGCTTCGCGCCGCTGGTGTTCCGGCGCGGGCGGCACGCCTCGACGCACTGCGCTACGACCTGCCCTGGCACTACTCCGTACACCTCTATCCTACTGTCTTCGTCTTCCCCGCCGATATGTGCGTATTTTTTTTTTCTAATGGAAAGGCAAGTCCGCTTGTGCTATAGTTTTAATAGGTGAGGATGAAGTTAAGTCAGTTGGCCCTTTGTGACATTTAGCAGGAATTAATCATGTTGGTTACTAGGGAGAACCACATGTGGAGGTTGCAATATTAATAGCGGTCCCCATTACTAGCAATTTACCTTTTCCAAGTGGACTTCTACTAATAATGAAATAATTTTAAAACCGTAATTATATTGTTGTAAAGAGATAAAATCCTTAATTTTTAAATTTAAAAATCAATGATATTATCATTTTAGTCATTCATCATCAAGTTCAAATATAGCTGTTTTTACCATATTTTTTTAATGCTAATGCCTATCTATAGTCTTGAGATTTAATGAAATATCGGAATATATTGAGTCTGGTTGTATGCGTTGCAGGGATAAGGAAGCGGAAAGCCGGTCGTACCCGGCGGGCGAGCGTATCACATCGAGCGGGCTGCTGGCGCTGGCGCTACGTTCCCTGTCGGCGCCAGTACACCTGCGCGTGCGCCTGCACATCTGTCAACGCTCTCATGTAAGGAATTCAAAAATAATTGTTATATATGAGATCGGTAATAATGGGGATTAGCGGTCCCCTTGCTAGTGATTTACCCCATTAAGTCAAACTCCACACGGGGAGGACCCCCTGGAAACCGTCATGGTTAATACTTGATGAACTCATCACAATAGTTGTTCTATTCTAATGATTTGACACCTGCTTTCATTCTCACTTGTCATTCCTTACTATTGTGCCGCCAGCGTATACCGAGGGTGCAGGTGATCTTGTTTATGATCCATTAAAAAAGACCTATTAGTCACATAGTTTTCACATTTTGAAACAATGGAAAGGATCTCAATTTCCTTGTATTTTTCTTTTCACAACCAATTTTCATAATTTTTTTGTAATCCATAGTTTACTATGTAATGTCAGAAAAGATCTTTACTTCGGCAGAATGTGTTATTGCTCGTTTCTGCGGTAATTCTAGAAATATTTTCTTAGTGGGTACACCTAAGAAATCTTAACGACATCAACGTCCCTCTGCTGAGCAGCAATTATGACCTACAAAAGGAGGATATAGCCCACAATTATCACGTTGATTAAGTAACTTTGTATAGTTTTTCTTTTTTTGAGTTTTTCTTATAATGACGATGTGGCACGTAATCCGTCATCACTTGGAAATACATAAGACATGTTTGTAAAACTTTTAAATTACTTAATATTTTACGAGCATAAAACTTATTTCAGGCTAACGAGGAAAAGAAGATTTGTTTAAAATATGCGAGGGAGCATGTTACTACGGTCATCGATAGAAACCTTAAATATTGGCGGTGGAGTGAGCAAAGGGAATTGAAAGACGCACTCTTCAAAAGATTGCAATATTTACATCAAATCTCCCTCGATCTCAGCCTTCTTCACATTACGGACCTTAATAGTAAAAATCAGAGATATGAGACTTTATTAAACACCCTTAATTTATTATCAAAAACATGGAAAATAAATATGTCTATTCTTAAAGATAAAAAGACAAGTTGATATTAGATATTGTAATTTGTAAATAGTGTACATTGCTCATTTTGTAAAGTACCTATGTTATTTATTTTTAGGACATAAACTTATTAAAGTGTTGACAAAGTCATGAATTTTATTGTTTTTAATTTATTAAATAACATTTTTCAAATACATAAGCAAAAAGGAGACAATGAGATGATTCAGATTGGTTTTTAAAACTAAAATTCGACATCCTTCCCAAAGAATGAGAGTGTATTTTGTTTAGTGCTGCTTCTCCAACCCCGAACTAAGCTCAATATTGCCGACATTGCTTTCTTTACGTACACCTCTAAAAATAAAGAAGAATGATTAATTTCTAAGGGCATGCTCAACATCATTTAATGTGATTACTTTCTTTACACATCAATATTTAATAATTTTTTTTTTTTAATGTCAAAATAAAACATGTTGACAGCGATGGTCGCGCAATTTTTATACTTCTTTTTTTTTAAGAGTACGATATAATTGTTGGAAACACGGTACAGCAGTGTTTTCAACAATATAAAATAAGGAGAGATTTGCCAGTAGTTGCTACACTTGACAGGCAGGTTGGCAACCGCGGTAAGGCTTTTAGAGATGTTTTAAGAGGGGCACTGCTGCCCATTCCTCTACCATTAGGTTCCTTTAGTTGCCTCTTACAGCACCCACAGGAAAGGAAGTGGTGGCCTATTCTACGCCGGGGCCACACGGACAGTATTTGAAACTTATATTTCCTTATAATAGGTAACGCTATTATTTTTATGAATAGTTTTGTTTTTAACTCGGCGACACCTACATTAAACGTGTAAGATAAGTACTTTATTATTATAGCTTTATTTTTTCACACTTTATAGGATAATTTTTTTCAATGTTAGTTTTTTTTGTTTTTGTCTATGGTCCCCCATATGTAAAAGCCTCCTCCGTCATATTCCAGCCATTTCGATTCCCGGTGGCATCCATCCAATTTTTTCCTGCCACTTCCATGATTTCGTTAACCCACCTTTTTTTGTCTTCCAATGCATCTTTTACCTGTAGGACCCAGCCATTTTGTAATTTGATGGATCCAGCTCGTATCTTTGTACCTAGCTACATGTCCTGCCCATCTCCATTTCTGTTTTATATAGGTACTTATAACTATTTAACTAACCAAGAATGGTATGATCTGTATAGTTAGGATACATCTGATGGTACGGTTTTACTAAGAATACTAGGTCGATGCCCGCTACACCGGTGATGTAGTCACTGAGCGAGCCAGCCACACGTTCGTCGCTGCTGCTTTGATGTACCTGCAATTGGAATCATCATGACTGTAAGCGATATTGATTTGTATTGAAATTATTATCGTATCATCCGTTAATTGTCCTCTGCTGAACGTAGCGTCCCCTTTGGTGAGGTTTTGCCAGTAGTCGCTACGCTTGGCAGGCGAGTTGGCAACCGCAGTTAGGCTTTGGTGACGTTTTAAGAGGGACGCTGCTGCTCATCACTCCACTATTAAGTTTCCTTAGTCGTCTCTTACGACTTACGAAGGAATGGCCCATTTTACGCCGGGAACTCACGACTATTTGAAGTTATTATGATTGACCACAATTTACAAAAAAAAAATACCATACAAAAGGTGGACTAATTACTATACTGTAATATTTGCTAGTCAACCCTTGGAGACGTGCAATGTAAAGCTAGGTATTAAAAAAATAAATTGCAAACACCTATCTACTGCGCAATTTCAGTTGTTGATCTTCATTTACTATGGTCGTGGTTTCGATTACCGCACAATACAAACATCTGTATTTTTATCTATTTATTAAGGAAAATAAACATTACATAATGTGATGTCTTTACTGTAAAAAATAAAAAAGTTCATTGATTCATCATTTTATTAGAGAGAATTTTTGAATATGTCCGGGTGTTTACTAAATTCTATAGTACTTATAGTAGTTCTGCTTAGCTCCCAATAAGATGACGCTGTGCGTAATATAATTTATAATTTACCTCATATAATCGTCCGTCGGGTAACCGTGATTGCCTCGCTGCATATTCGCCGATGTCTTGTAACGTTCGGTAATTGCTTGGGTGTCGAAGAGAATAACGCCATGGATATAATATAAATTCCTAAATACATACAGTGAAATCTTAATCATTAATTTGAATTCGTAGGTATCTATATACTTATCATATTCATTTTTTTTAATAGGTGATAAGTACGCCCGCCTGCTCTATCGGTATACTATGCACTGGCGGGACACCAGTGAGGGATGATAGGTGAGGATGACATCAGGTTAGTTGGTCAATCGTGACAAATTCATAAACAATAAACTACGATGCTTTCCCGGAGGAGCCGGGGGAGGAGGAGGGGAGGTCGACCTGATAGGATGTTGCCCGCAATGGGACCGCTAGTCCTTGTTACTGACAATCCCTTTCTCCCATAAGGGGGGGTCTTGTCAGTAGTACTTTATTATTTTGCTACCTACAGTCACCGGGTTTATTTTTTTATTATGAGAATAAAAACTATCCTATATTTCTGGAGAAAATAATACATATTACAAAAGTTCGTTAAAATCGGTTGAACAATTTCGAAGACTAGCGTGGAACGAAGACGGCATTTTTATATTAAGAATCCAAAAAAAATATTATTAAAGAATAATTATATAATAATAATCATAAGCTTTTTTTATTATATGATCATAATTGTTTAGAATCTTATCTATGATCAATCAGATTTATAGAACTAGTGACGCACTTTCAATATCAGTGACGTTTTGTAATATCTTATATAGTTTATAGGACAATGTAATAACATCAGTTATCGTTTTTTCTTTAGGTAAATATACTTTCATTACATTTATAGGATCATATTATAAGTAAAAAAATATATGTGTGATCCTATAAAGTAAGTAATATTATATTTAAAACAACTAACTCTGACGAAGACTACCGGATGAAGTCGCAACAATAGTCGGAAACGAAAAACACAGTAAGTAAAGGCATTAAATTTCCGTTATCCAGTATCGTATATTTATTATTTAAGAGAATCCTATTATAATATAACAAATGTGAAAGTTTGTAACGATGGATGAATGAATGTTTGTTATTCTTTCGTGTAAAAGCTACGGAACAGATTTGAATTAAATTTGGTACAGAGTAGATTAAATTCAATTTAGCACATAGGTTACTCTATGTATTGATTCACGCGAGTGAAGCTGCGGTATATAGCTAGTATACAATAAATTAACCACTTGCCTTTTTAGGAACAAAGCTAGCATGTAGATGAATCGCTAAATGTATTACATCTCCTAGACGGTGGATATAGTTACGTATTGCTTGCGCTTCAACCGAAGAAAATGGTTTAACACCTGGATAATACTGCGAGCATTGATCTGGAGTTTTGCTGACATCGTCTATAAAAAAATATAACGAATAACTTTAAATACAATAAAATTCTTACTGACATGTGGTATACACATTTCTTTTTATGGGTGAAAATGGAATGTAGCCTCCCCTGCGCTATCGGTATAGAAATTTATGAATTAATCACTATGGTTTCCATGGGGAACCGCGTGGAAACCATAGTGGAAACCATATTTTTTCTGGATGATACAGGAATGGTAACCCCGCCTGCGCTATAGATATACACTGGCGGGGCACCAGTGAGGGATTAAGTTAGCCCATCGTGATGAATACACCTGGAATTAAGCACGATGGTTTCCAAAGTGACCACGTGGAGGTCGACCCGACAAGGTATATTGCTAGCAATGGAACTCCCCTTTTAATATATACATTAGGTATGATTAAACTATCCTTACCAATATTATAAATGTGAAAGTGAGTTTGTTTGTTAACTTATAATGCCTTAACGGCAAATGAATATTTATAAAATTTGATATACACGTACTATATGGGAATGAGAAGGATATAGGCTACTTTTTATCCCCGTAAGCATATCCTGGTTACGCAAACGAAGTCGCGAGTAAAAGTAACTAGTATAGTATAAAGAATACAAGCTTTTTTTATGAATTTACTGGGTACAGGGGAATAACATCTGAGTCCTCAGGAATGGCAACGCATGGGGGTATCATGGGCTTTAATATATTTATTGATATACAAACATACCTGTATCTGTAACACATGTGTGAAAGTGCCATATAACATTTAAATATAATTTCAAATCTTGCAATTTTTTTGTGCTAAAATTTAACTTGATAAATTAAAACCTAGTGACAATGAATAAAGTTTTTTCAGTTGACTTTGCATGAGCTCCCATGTCCACAGGTCGCCTATTAATTATTGTAACCACAGACTAAAATTAGGTATGAAAATAGGTAACACCTGTTACTGATAATAGATAACTACTGCGCTTTTAAATTATAATCTGAATGTATGACGTTAATTTAGAGATTAATGATTACTTATACATATATAATTTGATCAATTCTAATTCTATTCCGATAATTTCATAAATCTATCTATTAATTTTATAGGGTTTATATGTCCATATAATTTACCTTGCCAATGGTATGCAAAATTGCGGTTGATGTTGGTACCGAAACATGTTCCGGGACCATTGTTCTTGTCTACATTCTTGTGCCAAACAGTTGGGCGTGTTTGGTTTCTGACTGTAATATTTCTAGACCATTCGTCAGCACCAAATGAAGGACGGGAGCGTAGTTTTTGAGTGAAATGTATGCCGTCTGGATTACCCATCGGGATTAAGTACCTAATAAAAGTAGTAAGTTTTAATTTTACACTACAGGTAGAGTTATGTCACAGATGATATAGGTAATAGTTGACAGGTATTATTTAATTCCGTAACTAGATAATAATTCCCACTGTAACTTGAAAACACCACCGTTTGTTACAGGTGTGAGTGTGGCGTACACTGATGTCAAGAGCTTCTACGCCGATTTTCTTGTACCTACACGAGTTTTTGATAATCATCAAAGACTTATTGTGAATAGTGACAACTATTTTATGTCCTTCAAAATACGAAGCAAGTAAAATATAAATTATATATCCATGCACCTAGCGGATTCTCGATTTTATTTTTTTATTGATTTGTCACGCTTGATAAGTACGTAGGCGTAGCCATGACAAATTACCGGTTCTATCTATATAATCTTTTATTCTAATAGAGGTGGTAATATAATAAAATTTTTCGTTTGAGTTGAACCGTGGACAGCGAAGAAATATTTATATGTGAAGTCACGAAGTTTATGATTTGTTCTCTTCTCTACCGTCCTTTCATTACCACTTTGTTCTACTTAGTTAATTCTTTCCCTTTCCTTTAACTAGGAACACCACACCAAACATTTCTCACGAGTCGTAAGTATCCGTAGGTACCTATTGATAAATTTCTAATGCGCGTGACCCTGTATTACTTTCAACGGTACCCATAGGTTTCACAGAATAGGAATTACTAATATAATTGATGTAATTGCAATACATACCAATCATAATCATTGAAGAATGGAGTTTGATAGTTGGAGTCATAAAGTAACTTTTCAGCCAGTTCTATCACTGCATTCGAAGCTCCCCATACCATGCCATTAAGTGCTGAAAAGATTTGTCACTATTATATCTTATATAATAGTAACTTGCTCTACTTGATACCGGTATAGATTTGAAAGTATTTATTCTGTACATATAAACTTTTGGTAAATAATATATAAAGATATCAGTAAAACCCGTTTATCAAAATTCGTAATGTGAATTAGAAGAAGTAACTATATCCGGAGATATAGACAGACGCAACAGCGATTTTGTTTCATGTTATGTAAGAAGATGCATCATGGTGTCAATTTTGATCACCATTTTCATTAAATTAATAAGTTTTTATGCACTTTTTTACATTATTTTATCTTAGCGGCCTTATCATTTAAAACACTAATATTTTAATAACTTTTAATTTTATGTTTCTTGTTTGACTAAATTAATTAATTATACAAATCCAATTACATTTAATTATAGCGATACGAACGTTTGAAGCTATATTATATCTAGGTAAGTATTTCATGTACTACAATACAACGAGTAAAGAAGTAGGTACGTAGTGTAATATCTGATATGAACCTTTTATTCCAAGAATTATTGAATCGCTAATTTGTTTTTTGTAATTTTATTTAGGCGAGTATTTATTGTTACATTTCACTTTCTCTAAAGAGTACTCAAGACTATTTGATGACAAATATACTATATGTAGGTATATGATTTGTGGTGGCCCATGAACCATGGTATTCATAATGCTTGAGAATGGGAAAGGATTGTTAATAATGGGGAAGATAATCCTTATTGCGAGCAATATACCATCTCAGATCGACCTTCACGCGGTTCCACCTGGAAATCATCATGGTCAACTGACCTTTAATTTTTACTTACTATTTCTCAATAGTACCTACTCTGCCAGCGTATACTGATAGTGCAGGCGCGATTAATATTCATCATCGTCCAATAAAAAAAAGAACCCCTTTCATCGTTGCCATTTGCAGATATTGACTAGTAATATTGATGTCCCCTTACTTGCACTTCACCCCTAAATATATATACTCAATATTTCTAATAGAGCAGGCATCCCGCTACCCGTGTTAAATAGCAAAGACGAAATGCCTGAACAAATGCACCTCCAATTATAAAAAAAAAGTATGCACGTATACGCAGCCATTCAAACATAGTTACTTCGCGGCTTATATTATTTGTAGATTACATTTAAAATTATACAGGTACCTCCAATAACGAGTATTCCAGGTTTTTTGCTTTGCAAATCACTGTGCAGTTCTAAAGACACAATACTTCTATTTTCTGCAGTGATAGGCTTTAAATACACCAAACGAGCTACTTCCGAGTCATTACGTGTTATGCGTTGAATTATAGTTAATAGAGCCTCGTTGTCGATATACTCTTTATAATTTATTTCATCCCCAAATCTTCGCATTATTCGTATACTCGCTCCGGAGGACCTAAATACATAAATAAATAAATAAATAAATAAATATATATATATATATATATATATATATATATATATATATATATATATATATATATATATATATATATATATATATATATATATATATATATATATATGTGTGTATCATGAAATAAATTTATATTACTTTAATGTGTTTTACCCAAAACATGATATTTATTTATCAATGAACACTCACTGTTCAAAATTTCTTGGTGGAAATAATACCATGAATAAAGAGCCAAAAAAGTATAATATTGTTATTATATAAACTTTAATCTGTAAAAGCATTCTTTATACAATAAAATATATTTGTGAGTTAAATAAATTTAGTCTATCTGACATACGTAGTGATTGTTATTTACTCGACATGTAATAATGACTCAGATAAATTACTATACAGCCAAAATCTTTGGATAACAAAGAAAAACCTTCTTACTATATAGTGTAGGTCATCTATTTATTTTTCTGATTAGAAAATATTATAGAGGTCAGTGTTCGGAATGCATGGATACTAATTGCTCATTTGTTTTGAAACTACTTCTGTTTGTTACGTTATAGCTTCGTATTGTATTCATGAAGCTTGGTAGTTACGACTACTTTGAAGATTAATAAAAAATACGTATGAAATAATTTTCTCCCCATTTATGAAGAACTGATAATGACTCATGACTATACTGTACGGGCCATGCTCTTTGTCTGTCCATTTTGGATGAATTTTAAAACAAGAACAATTAAAAAATCTATGGATATTCTATTCCGAAATATTTGGTCAATTCCTGGAAAAAAAAAATACGACATCGTCATCTTCCTACCCTTACCCCAATCATTTGAGGTCGGCGTAATATGATTTTATCCATATTACAAAAAGATTTGGTTTTTAGTTTTACGACCAGCCACCTGCCTGACGTCAACCCTCTTTTTATAAAATAATGAAAATACTAGTATAGATCTTATGGGGCTTATTTATATATAAATATTAAAGTCCCGATTTAAAACAACATAAACCGTCAAGTCTTGCTCCATAACATTCGACTTTCTATAAACATATCTATTTTATTACAATATTTCTAAAATTTTATTTATCTAGGAAAAATAAAATACGTAAATAATGAATAAATATAGAAAAATGTATGTATGTATTCCAAGGTACAAGTATATATGACGTAGAACATGTATAAAACATATTAGAATAAAAGATATAAGTCACACATCAAATAAAATTATACGTAGGTGGGTAAATGCCCTAATTATAATAATATTGATATCACATGTTGAGTATCATACTTATGTATCATGTACTTAAATATCATTATCTAATTTAATCTTAATAAGGGAAATATTAAATTATAGTTTATCTTTATTCATTTATTGAAAATGATAACATATTTTGAACAAATTATTATATTGCATTATGTAGGTATATTAGTAATATAATAATACGGAGGTTAATAAAAATAAGTATGGTAATGAAATAATAAACTAGTTCATACCAGATACCTTGAAATTAGAATTGCTTGTTTAATTCCGTGGTAGTTAAGAATGTTCATAACAAAGTATGGTAACGTCGCAATTATCCATTTTCAAAAACAATTGAAAATTTTTCAATGTTCTGATAATTATTTAAAAATTGCTCTACGTAAGAATTGCATAAAAATCTACTACTGAAAAGTGACTTTATATATTTTGTTTTCAAATCTTTTTAATAGTTTTTACCATCGAAATCCAAATTTTTAGTAACAGCTTAAGTATATTATTACTAGATTATTATTTTAATTCAGTCAGAAATAGTGAAACTTCTTTAATTGATTTCAACTTCGTTAACTTAAAGTTAGAAATATTCTTTACAGGGTCCGCCGTTGGGAATTCACATAACATATAAACATTTTTACTTATTCATAAGTTATAAATTTGTTTGAAAGAAAGGTATATAAGCTACGCAGTATAAGGTAATCCATTACTAGAGAAAAAATGGATTGTTAATAAGGGGGACTAGCGACTAACATTATAACCAAGCAGGTTGATTACTCTGGAAAGACCATGATAATGGTTGGTAAATTTGTCACAACAGGCCTACTGGTATGACTTCATTCTCGCTTACTACACATCACTTCCTCATCCACCCCCCCCCCCCCCACCCTGAACACCGTCGGTGTAATTATAGTAATAAGTTTTATTAAAAAAACTCATCACCAGTTGATAGCTTCAAATATGAATTAATGCAATTTATAATGCTATCGTAGTGAACAATAATTAACGGCAAAATTATAAAATGTTCCCCAAATAACGTCACAATATTTAGACAAGACGTTCCCGGTCTAAGGGAGGAGTCAAGAGAGTGGAAAAACTGATGTGTATCATGTATGGAACATCTTGTATTGTTTGTATATTGCTTGTACTTATTTCTCAGTAAATATAAAATGGGAAATATTTGAAACCAATTCGTAAAACTTGACACAGTTCGGTAAACATAAAAAGCAAAAAAAAAAATTATAGAAAGAAATATGTATTATTAAGTATCTTTATACATATATTACTACTACTTTGACGATGTTATTATATTAGTGTGACTAATCAAACAGACTACGACGTATAAAATTCATTGTTAAACTTCTTTCTTCTTTCAAAAAGACTAGCTACTAATACTTAAAAACATATATAGAAATATTTTACTGTCAATGTCCTTATATTCTGTGATCAAAAAATGTGAAGAAGTTTAACGCTTTTTTAACATGAATAGTTATATAATTTTCATAGTGTTATTTTTTGTGGAAATAGTTATTTGTATACAACCGATAAATTTTACTGAATATGATTCGTATCCTGTATGCCCTGTTTCATGTAAGTAATGATGCCCATTCTTGTGACATTTGTATTCTAATTTTGAGCTTATTAATATTATTAATTTAATTATTTCATTTTATACTGTTCCAATAGTATCACTAACTGCATATAAGTTATACTATATACATTATGTAAATACTACCATATGTTTTTTATTTCAGTTTTTCGCAGAAAAAGAACACCTGTAGATTATACACGATGGCAAGTAAATGAAGAAAGTACTCAAGAATTTCTTGTGAAAGTTTTGGACGATGAATTAACTACACCAAGTAAACAGCGAATTATAGCAATTAACATTCAACCAATAACAAAAAGTAGAGAAAAGATTATTATTGGTGGGGCCATGGTACCACCGCCAATGACATCAAATCCTTCAGAAATTGAAAACTCTCGAGAATATACTAGATTTGTACCACCAACGACAGTACCTGTGTCACATGTGAATAAAGAATTGCTCCTTCCACCTGCTTCTCCTTTTGTCTTAGAAAATCATTCAATATTACCAAAAAGTAAAGCATGCTAACACATTTTGAGCATTTAGTATAATTTTATTTTTATATGAAAGTTTGATGTATATGTTTTAGTACAATATCACGGAGGGCGGCATTCACATCGTGATGAAAGTCCTCCTGCTAGCCCTCAGTTCTTAACTCGGACTGAAACAATTGTTGCTCGACAATATGCTCCAATAACACCAGTTGCATTTACGCGACGAGTTACAGTTATGCCTGTAACTCCCCCATTTTTCAATACAAATGTAAGTATATTTTTTATTTGTCGATGATGGTAAGCGGTTACCATAGCCTATGGACGCCTGCAATACCAGAGGTGTTACGTATTGCCTATCCTGAAAAACATTCAATATTACTAAAAAGTAAGTAACCCGACATTACAGTTATACTTATATATTGAAACGTTAACACAGTATCGTTCAATTTCAACAGAATCTTCATAAAACAGCCTTTAAACCGACACGTACACCACTTCTCCCAGACATGATATTACCAACTAGAAGCAAGCACCCCAAGGAATTCATTGGATTTCGTGAACAGGAAGTTGATGATAACATTGATCTTTTCCCAATTCGAAGCACATTCGTACAAGAATATGCACCTCGTCGAACATCTATCGATGCAACTATTGCAGAGGAAATGAAAATATCAACAAGACTAAATGCAGATTATGAAGACAGGAGGAGAAATTATTTCAAAAACAATATAAAATTTGACGAAATAGCAGAAAAAGATTTTGAAGCGTCATATAACATGATGTTCTACAATGAGGATAACACAGGGAGTGATAATAAAAAAACCGAGCAGGATTCTGTAGATAATTATGATATGACAAATAGAGGAGAAAATTCTATAACTGAAAAAGATTCTACATCAACAGAAGTAGGTGTAGTTGATAATGAATCTGATTCAGGAAATATTACAAATGCCTATATTGAAGTACATTCAGATGTGGATGAAGAATCAGAAATGGATAATTCAACTATTACCAGTGAAAAACATAGCATAGGAAGTATAGAAATTGTAACAGCAAAGGCATTAAAAGATAAATTAAAGGATAAACGGCGACTAATTTGTAATATGATTAAATTAAGACAATTAAATTTTAATTCCCCCTGCACATTACATGAGGTAATTGATTTTAAAATCATCGAGTCGGTCTAAATATCCCACGAGTATACAGGAAAGATATATTATACAATATGCAGTAAAACAAATATATTTTAATATTATTCCCGTGCCTTCATAAAATTTTACTTAGCCATTAGATAAGTTTGCCATTGTAACAATACTAGGTATTTATTTATTATTATAGATTGTGTCACAATTGAAGCAATGGACTGAGAACAGTCCTATAGCTAAATGGGTGGACATAACAGATGGAAATTTTACTGTTATGGAAAATCCTATTTATATGATGATAGTGGATGATCCCAGCAGTGGTCAGATTGTTTCAGCTAAACAAATTGTTATGATAGTGGCAGGTATGTACCATTTAGTGTACATATTTGTATGTAATTATATTTAATATAATTTTATAGATACTATATTTAATAAATTTCTTTCAATACTTATAAAATTATTGTCAATCAGCTATTAACTGTCCACTGTTGAACATAGGCCTCTCCTTTGGGAGGTTTTGCCTGTAATTGCTACCCTAGGTAGGCGGATTAGCAAGCGCAGGTAGGCTTTGATGGATGTTAAGAGGGACGCTGCTGCCCATTCCTCGACCGTTAAGTTCCCTTAGTCGCCTCTTACGACACCCACGAGAAAGGAAGGTTTGGTCTATTCTAAGCTGAGACTACATTGTGAAATTTCTTTTACTTTCTACTATTTCTTTCATTCTGTTTAGCGCCTACCCATAATGATATGGCTGGAACGTACATTTGGTTCTCCGTGAAACTATTGACTCACTTTTTTCTTTAAAAATTTTTTTATGTCCTTCTTTAGCGACGTCCAAACATCTAATAATTCTAATACTATCAAATTCTCACCGTATCATTTTTAATTTGAATGTATTTTAAATAGGGACTCTTGATTTAATTGGTATATTTTGATATTTGTTATACTTACTTCATTATTTGTTTGCAAGTGAATAATCGGGAATGATATTTAGGTTAAGGTGATATTACAGGTATCCAGGGTCGGGACCACCACGCTGTAGCAGCTGCTATGTATGTGTTATACCAACTTATAGAACACAGTGAAGCACATACCGATTTGCTTACTTTATATCGGTTTTGGATCATACCAGTATTTAATCCTGATGGTTACGATTATTCTATGACTTTTCCACATGTGTGTATTTTAAATCCAATAATTTTATTCGCCATTACAGTTTACGTCTGCTTCTGTTAAACAGACATGCAAAGTTCGTCATCTTTCTGACTTCATCCTTAAGGTTAAGATTCGTAATTTTATAACCGGCCGCCTTGCTTGATATTCATTAGTGGATAATTATGGGGGTATTTTTTTTAATCGATGTAGATGGAATTATGTATCCATTTATGCTAATGATAGACACGATAGATTATCCACGATGGTTTCCAAGTAGAGATCAATATATATATATATATATATATATATATATCAGCCAGCTTGTTTGCCATTCTAAGTTGCATAAAAAAAGCCACATTATTTTTTTTCTTACTAGGAATTAGATGGATGTTAACCTGACATGATATATTACTAATAATGGCCACAAATTTTTTTTTTTTATTTGCAATTATTTTGTCTCCAACTATTGGTAGGCATTGCAGTAACAGCTGTAATTGTATAAATATCCTTTTTTTTTATACCACCAAGGTGACAAACAAGTATACAGTTCGTTTAATGGTCTCTGTAGACTATACCAAGACGACTGTAACATCAAGGCATATGTGTGCATTTGCCAACCCTGAAGAAATCTTTATACGCAAAGGCGTATAGAAGAACCCCATACTGTAGTCTCTAGAGAAAGCCTTGGCAGGGAGCTTATTCAAACAATCTGAGCGTTCGTGGAAGGTTACTCCTCTGAAACTGCACTGTACGCGACTATTTAAATTTTAGTATGGGAGGATTAATTCCCTGTCGATAGCGAGCAATGCGATGATAAAAGGTGGCTATTACAACTAAAGGAGAACTCTGTGATTGTAAAATATTTATTTTATTTATAATGTATAAATTCACCTATACTTTGGTTCATCAGAGACGAGAATGGTCAAAGAATTTGCGTCAATCATGGGAGACGTGCACAGGTCGCGAATCGTGTAGGGCTTGTGAGACATATGGCTTAAGATGTACTACACAGCCATGTTATGGAGTCAACCTCGACAGGAACTTTGAGTATCAGTGGATACCTAGTAAGTGGCTGATAAATATTTTTACCTTTTTGAATAAAGTAGATAGATAGATACTCTTTATTGTTTCCTCCAAAAGATTACAATAGTAAACTTATTATAAATATAAAGTATTTTTAAGTAAAGTAACTTATTATAAATATATAAATATAAAGTAGTTTTTCTAAATGAATAATGGCAGACTTAGACGATTACCAATTTCCATTAAGTGGGCAAACATTTTTCATTCTAAGTTCAGCAATGGATGAATGAATGGCTGAGATGATAATGATGATACTTATAGTCTGTCTAAAAATATCTTCCGTTCAAAGACAGTATAAGTAATACTACTTTCAGTATTACTAAAAGTAGGTCAAGTAAGAATTTGAAAAATATCATATCACTTACACGTAATAAAATTAAAGTTGTATTAAATGCACTCGATTTGAAATATCAAGTGAAAAAAAGTATAAAAAAATGTGATTAAAGATATATTTTTTTAATAAAGTAAATAATTCATTTAATCAGGAATGAAAATTCCAGTTTATATTCTTTGAATTTGGCTGGATACGTAACCGCGCATGAGATATAATGATTTTTAATTATTTGTAAGTGCGAAAAGCGAAGGATGGCACATGTTGGAAAACATTGGGGAAGGTGTATATTCAGCAATGGATAGATACAAGCTGAAATCATGAAATGACGATGATTAGAATTATCACGGAATTAAATACTGGTATAAGGTGATAAATAATAAAAAGTAATACAGTGATATATGATGAAAATAGAAATTTATTTTAATACCTAAATACTTGTAGATTTAATGCATTACTCTTATACTTATTATGCACGCTGCATTATTTATAAACAACAATTTTTATTGTCAAAAAAATATGCGTTGTACTTATTTTGTACATACTGTGTAATTGCATTATCATATTTTTAATATTTTGTAAAATCTAGGATTCTTTATGATTAGATAGGGACCTGATTTTGCAATAATAAATTCCTATAAATTCAACAAGTAAAAAAAATATATTCATTCGAAATTTTCTGTTTATGAAGTTAGAAAGATGAAAACAAAGTAGAAAGATGAATGCAGACTTCGATTGTTTTTATCAAACGACTTCAAAAAGAAAGGGATTCTCAATTCGATAATTTTTTTATGTTTGTTACCTCATAACTCCGACAATTTTAAACCGATTTAGAATTTTTGTTTGATATACATACTCACAGATTGGTCTCATAGGAATCTTATTAAAATCGGTTCAGTAATTTAATTTATAGATGAAAATAGGAACACAATCTTTAATTCTTAGAAGATCCTGTCCAAAGACAGCCAATCTAATTATTTTGTTATCCAAATTATTGGTATTATACTAATTGAGTTGAATTAGGTACAAATATAATTTTAAGCTTATGTAGACTATGTCTATATATGTAAAATATGCGTATGTGATTGTACATAATAAATCCGGCTCAGAGTGAGGACTAGAAAATATGAGTACTGATTAACGGTTATTCATAGGAACACATGTTTATGATATCTATAGTGTCATGGACGTCACTTCACTGTAACGTACTGCGTATACATTTTTTAAGTACTATTTATTATTTTCTTAATAGGAGTATGTTTATAATTATCTATTTTATTTCTACATTATGTGTTAATAGGGGGAATGTTGACCTCCCTCCTCAAATAGCTCTTTTAATATGATCATATACCAGCTATAAGTATTAATTATTTATTATCTGAAATTAATAGAAACTTAAGCACAAAAGAATTGCCTGCCGTAATAGAGAAGGTATTAAAAACTAATAGGTTTTATTGAACATTTAAGCAACATTACAATTCAGTGCTGTTATTATCTGATGAATAAGGATTATTAAAAAATGTGGTACTTATAATAATTATTAAAACAAAGCAATATTATATTAGCTATTAAGATGAGAAATGAATCTATTTTAAGCTGATGTACTAAATAAATAGCCGAAACAATAAATATGTTAAATTTAACATAACTATAATATAACTAAAACTTTCTTTAAAATATTAAATCATAGTTTTTAAATCAGAATATTTCGTATTTAAGCTTACGGAAGTGTGTCAACATTGTTATTATCCATCGGTTTTAAAAAACAATTAATCTATTTAAAAAAAAAAAAACAAAAGATACTCTGCTAGCGAATTAAAACATTAATAATGCAATAATATAATATGTATTTTTATTAGGCTGTCATTGAGAATTTGAATATTGATGATAGAAAAGTAAAATTTAGAAGTAAAATATGAAGTAACTACAATTAATGGTATATTGCCTTCGTCTTTGTTTTTAATAGACAATCTTGTGTTTATATCATCATCATCATATCAGCCTTTAACTGTCCTCTGCTGAACATAAGCCTCTCCTCTGGGGGGTTTTGCCAGTAGTTGCCACGCTTGCCAGGCGGATTAGCAATCACAGTCAGGCTTTAGAGATGTTTTAAGAGGGACGCTGCTGCCCATCCCTCGCCCTCCCTTAGTCGCCTCTTACGACACCCACGGGAAAGGAAGGGGTGGCGTATTCTATGCCGGGATCACACGACTATGGTTATATAGTTATATAAATTTCAGCGGAGGAACTACGGGCGGAGCATCCCTGCGGCGCACTGTATGCCGGCGCACGTCAGCTAAGCGAGGCTGAAACGCGTGCGCTGACGCATTTTCTACACTCGCAACAGACACCGCTTTTCACGTTTATTGCATTTAAGGAGGGCGATGTTCTTGTAAGCATTCTGTTATCGATATCTCCGTAAAAACTACTTACCTAATATCATGGTTAGGGGGCAATATAATGACATCTAACAGCCCCATTGTTAGCAATATACCCTATTAAAGCGAGCTCCACTCGATTCCGTCTGGAAACTATTGTAGTTTGCTTTAATCATTCACCTATCATCTCTCATTGGAGCTCGCCAGCGTATTTTATTTATTTATTTATATAGCGCAGGTAGGGATACCATTCCATTTCCACATATTATACAATAATTATCATATCATATTTGTAAGATAAATAAAAATGTTATTTAATGTCAGATAAAAAAGAAATAATTATCATGAGTTATAGTTTTGATTATAGATTTAACAATGGATTAATGTACACGGTATTCGTAATAATCCTGCTAATTAGTGTCGTATTTTTTAACTTAATTAAGAAATATAAACCTAAGTAGACATGTAGTGCCTAAATGCACTTTTATTTTAAGTTGTTAATGTAATGTTTATATTGACAGTAATATTCGGTCTTCCTACCATCTTTATGCAGACGACCTCCAAATTTACTGCCGGGCTCCTCTTATAAATATTTCTGTTGCAGTAAATACAATAAACGAAGACCTTGAACGTATATCTGTCTGGAGCAAATCCTATGGTCTTGCTGTAAATCCGACCAAGACCCAGGTTATAATCATAGGTAGCCCTAGTTACATTTCCAGAATGGCTTTGAATGACCTTCCTTCTGTAGTTTTTAATGGAATGAAGTTAAACTACAGCGACCGCGTCAAAAATCTCGGCATTTGTTTTGACAGTACTTTATCCTGGTCACCTCAGATTGCTGAGATTAGCAGGAAGATGTTTGCGGCAACTGGATCCCTTTACAGGTTGCGTAAGGTTCTTCCTATGGATACCAAAATTGCGCTTGCTCATACATTGCTCCTCCCCATCCTTGACTACGCCGATTCCTGTTATTCAAAAGTCACTGAAGAGCAGTTAAATAAACTTGAGCGTCTTCAAAATTTATGTATACGGTTTATATTTGGACTTCGCAAATATGACCATGTATCCCAATATCGTACACGGCTCAAGTGGCTCTCTATCCGTCTTCGTCGTAACTGGCACATCCTTTCCCTTCTTTACTCAATTCTCTTTAATTCAGTTACAGCTCATTATTTAAAAGAACGTTTTATGTTTCTTGGAGAGAGCAATTCTAATTCTTATTCTTTACGTAGTACTGACAACCTCCAACTCATAATTCCTACCCATTCTTCCTCTTTCTACTCCAAATCCTTTTCCGTGCAAGCAGTTCGTTTGTGGAACTCACTCCCTACCTCTATATGGTGCGCTCAATCGTTGCCTATTTTTAAAAACTTAGTTAAAGCCCACTACCTATCCTTATAATCACTTAGTCCTACGTATTTCCAGTTTTATGTGTGTTATATATATGTGTATTAATATGGTATATTTGTATGTATTTATGCGTATATATGTATATGTATGTATATATATTTATATGTGTATGTGTATGTATATATATGTATATGTTTGGTTGGATGTGTTTATTTATGTATGTATATGTATATGACTATGCTGTCTCAGATATTATTTTTTACAAATCTATCTTTTTTAACGCGCCACCTACATACTTATGCTCTTTCTACCCAAAGGTTGTCTGGAAGAGATTGCTTAGCAATAAGACCGCCTTTTGTACTACACTATACGTATTGAAAATTGTTTTAACAAATCATGTTATGTTGGTGCAATAAAGTGTTAAATAAATAAAAAAATAAATAAATAAATATTTTTGTCACACACAGGGCATAATGTATCCATACTCCCATACGAGAAAAAAACGGGCTTTTGATCATGTATATGTAAGTATTCTATTCTTAATTAATTTATAAATTTCAATTTCATTTTAAGTTCGTACCTACTTAGGTAGGTAATAATATTTTTTTTATTTATAATAACATGGGACAGTATGGTATGATTTTACAATTGCAATACGAGTATAGTGGAAGAGTAAAAATACATTTTTTTTTTGTGTGGCAATAGTTAAATACCTAATAAAAAAGGATTACCAATAATTTTACTCTTATAATAAACCCTTCTTTGCTTTGATGGAAATTTTCACCAGTGAAAATTTCCATCATAACATTGAATGCCCAAAAATTATATAAAAGACCAAGTTCACTTTAAGTTGATCGTGTCTGGACACCTTTTTAATGTCCATCGCAGAAAAAAAAACATAGCTGTCAAATTTATTTTTTTAACCATTTTTCCTTTAATTTTGAACATGAATTATATCACTTTGATTTATTTGACCAATAAAAAAACACGCAAAGAACGGTTAAGACCTTATCTTGCAACAAGCTTTCTCTGTTTAGACAGATTTTAAAAGTTTTAATTTTTAAAATAATCGATATGAAGTCTTACAATTTCTGTATTATCAATATACAATGATTAATATGAAATATATATATTTAAAAAATACAATAATTTGAAATATTTCTGAATGATTATTTAAAAAACTACAACATTAGTAGGTAGTTAATTATTTCGGAGTTGTCGAGATAGTAACTGACGATACGGTGGTATAGCAGTTTAACGTAGAGCCACACCTTTCGAAAGTTACGGGTTAGATTCCTGTACAAACATTTATATTCATGAATGGATATTTTTTTGGTCTAAAAGTTTTCTATATAATTAAGTACTATTATTATGTGTAAATAAAGATAATAATATTTATTAGCTTTCTATTATTCTTAGCTTTGCATAGTTTAGGACCAGTCAGCGCCATTTGATATTTGTAGGTATATCTACAGAAATTAAATATGTACTTTCTACGTTATAACACAATTTATTATTACAATGAATTATTATATTGATTTATTTGTTTATGCTAGAGAAATCTAAGCAATTCGTATTGATAAAACTGATTCGGAAAACAAGTTTTCTTTCTGGTAATAGAGACAACGAGCATCCCGTGCAGCCTCAGCCGCATACAGCATTAGTGGCCGACCATATGTTGCTGGTCAAACTTCAGAATTTTTACGTGAGTTTTTTGAGCACAGCGATTTTTAATTGAAATAAAAAAAAAATGAGGTTACATGTTGTTTAGAGAGGTATAAAATGTATATGTATAACTAATTACTCGATATATCTGGGCTAGTTAGAACTGAAACCGATTGTTTTGTGACAAATATATAAGTGTAATCTTATATCAATACTTACTTATTCTATCGACGATAGCGTAGCAACAATTAGAATCCGGTTGATGGTAAGCGATTACAATACTTTAAGGACGTCTATAGCATCAAAGTTAATAATAATAAATAGATTTATTTTATCTTCACAATTCATCACAGTGAGATACAATGAGACATACTTATATTAAAGTAATCAAATTATAAATATAATTGTGAGAGACTGGTGCCTGAGATAGGTATAAAAATACCTGTATTACAGGTCACCAGGGCCTCACTCCGCAGGGTTACTTACTAAGTACTTGTATTATAATAGAATAAGTGAATTCAATGTAATAAATATAATTTATAGGAAGAGATAATTTATTATAATTCAATCACAATAAAGTTGTGTGTGTGTACGTGTGTGTGTGCGTGCATGTTACTTACACATTGGTAATTTTAAACGTTTCCTCTTAAAAAATTGAGCTTACTGAAACTATAATTATTAATGTTAAATTGTACGATGCGATGTCATTAATACAAAAGTCAAAGATCATGTACTTGTTACGAAGCTAGACATTTATTGTTTTTGATGGGTGAAAATGGAATGGTAACTCCGCCTGCGCTAACTGTTCAAAGCTAGACGTTTGTACTTCTATCGCATATTCACGTAAGCGATAACGTATCTATTGATAGATTCGTTTATCACTTATCTAGGCTTTTAGAAAGATCAGAAAATATATCCCAAAAGGACAATTGGTTACTAAACAATATTATTTAGCTACTTTTCTATACAACAAATATACTTCGCCAATCTTTACCAGAGAACTTGTTCAAACTATTATAAACGTCCTATTTATTATTATCATTTTGTAAATTATACAAAATTTAATGAAGAAGTATTAAATATTAAAATTAAGTATTATATTAGTTAGCAATTTTATATTTAACTTTTAGCATTATATGCTGGCGGGATAGAAGATTGGGTCGATGGACATTTAGGCATTGATAATACATACACAATTAGGATGTTCCGACCGACGGATTCATATAACTCCAAACTTATTACGGAGGTCAGTAACAAATTAGTTTTATTTCATTCTTTTGCCAGGATTGAAATTCTTCTCCTATGAGGGTGTTAAATAGTCTATCTTTGAGTATGTGCTGATTCATTGCTGTCTTTTCAGCTGATCACAAATTAAAAATCTGTACAATTTTTTTTAATATCAAATATTATCATAGACTTACAAATAGGTGAAATACGATGTTGTTCTATTAAATATCTATCTTCTATTTACAGACGTATATGTGCACTAGGATATATTGTACCCTTTACTTTCCATAACCATATTTTAAATTAAGTATCTAATCGTATGAATGTATGTCAACCTTTTTTATTTTAAATAAACTTTTTCTATAATTTTATTCCCTTTTATGCGAAGAAAATATGATTTCACATTATTTTTCTATATATAAGTGAAATAAGGTTTTAATTTTATAGCGCGTCGTTCATGAGGCTTACGCTGCAATGGATACGCTGCTTCTCCAGAGTGTAGAAACACTTAGTCCATCTCCAGTCGCTATCAAGAGGTCAGGCTCAGGGACAACAACGGTTCCTTCAGTCATCCTTCTTATATTTTTCACAGCAATTAAATATATTTGTAGCTAGTATCTTAAAGTTTTGTATACGAGTATAGACAATGCAATTGTAAAGGAATATCTAAGAATATTCTTCCTACAGGCGTTGAATCTAAGCCTAAAATATAAAGAAGCATTTTATGTCATTGCGTACCAAATCTCATTTTGGTACCTTCAGATCTTTATTATATAGATTGTGTCTCTATACAAATGCTTCGCAAAAACTATGCCAATTTTTTATCCATGTATGCGTGAATGGGATTACCACTATGTTCTTTCACTACTTATTAACCGGAAGAAATTATATTGTAAGGTTATATTGAAAAATAAAAATGATACAAAATTCTTACGAATATTTTTCTTACAAAAAAGAATAAAATAAAGAGACGATAATGATTCGTACTGATCTTACTTGCCTATATTTATTGATTACTTTTATTTATTTTCAAGCGTAAATTTATATGGTTTCATTCAAAAATAATTTAATATAGCCGCCTTTTTAATTAATACATATATTAACTTGTAACCAGTACGAAAATATGTACATATATTTATATAATAACAGAATAAATAGTTCCCAATTTAAATTATAAAACTCGACGTGATCTGGGATTTTTTTAATCTAATTGCTTGAATAAATGAACTAACCGTAAGACAGTTTTCTAATGTGCAATGATAGTACAAATAAAAAACGAATAAATGATAGGATGTTTCGATTTGATACTAATTTCATTTAGTGTGTAAACTTGGTTGCTGCAACAAAAAATGGCTAAGCTTCAGAGATATTTGACATACATCCTTAGATGTAAATATTGTTTTTGACTATTGTTACTCAACTCCGTTTTCCTGTTTTAAAAATTATAAAAACTTTATTTTTAATAGATTTACCATATTCATATTTTATCTATTACTTTTATAGTTGTTAGAGTTTTTGTATTACGATCCCTACGAATCGATGTGGGGATCTTAAAGATCATAATATATTTTTTTATACGATTTTTTATTTTTATTGATCTAACCTATTGGTACAATGTTAACGGACATAGAAAAGGAACATACGATAAGATAGGGACCCTTTATTTATCTTTAACAAGCTATTTACATGATTGAATACATGGAAAAACCTCATTATTTGAAACCTTTTCAATAGATACTATTATATCTCAACATTTTGAAACTACAGGTTAATCCTGTAGAGTCATGATATAAATATAATACAACAAAATATAACGCACTTGTAAATTTAAATGGATAGTTTTAATATTCATTATATTTAACTTATTGTTTATGTCTCTACTTTCTAATACCTTAGTAACTGATATATATACCTATAATTATGGCAATATACTTTATTATTAAGATTACACGCATTATTGTAATTTTAATAATAATATCAAAGTATCAATATGTCGGCACTTAGATTTTAATCTAATTATAAAAATATGCTTCGAATATTTTATCTTTTCTAATTCTCGAAGGCCGAACCGAAAGTAGCATATCTACTTATTTATATTAGTCTATTACATGTCGTTAACTCTAAGCTGCGATATATATATATATTGGAAATAGGAGTTTTTGAAAATTTTAGAGATGAAGTATCTATTATCTTAGCTTTCTTTATAAAATTATCCACTTATGAGTAACATTATGTAAAACCACACAGATAGTGTAGCTATTTTCATAAAGCTAAAATATCAATATATTCGCCTATTACAAACAATTTATAACAAAATAAATAAAAAGATGAACATATTACTACAAATGTTTTATAATTGCAAACACGTCCTTTTTAAATAGCTTTTGACATTTATTTATAGAATCACCAATATAAGATACAGCGAAACATTTCAATACAATATACTGGTAGATTAGATCTAACAGTTCTTACATTTATGGCAACCATATCATGCTTTGTGTTTGATAAACATTAAAATGGAATTAAATAATTAAAGGACATTAAATGAATAAAGATATTAACAGTATAAATAAACAATGAAAATTATGATTTAATTATTTTGAATTATAAATAAATATAATGTAATGGCGAGGTACATCAACTTTTTAATTTAGCCATAAACACAGTGACTCGTGAATATCAAGTTCAGGCTTGGTTTTTACAATATCGTTATACAGACGCATTATGCGGACGATAGGTGACTCGCAGCCCAAGTTTGTTCTGCAAGCTCCATTTTTAAATAGATTGCAAGGATGCCGCAGCACTCTAGTAGGTACATGATGTTCAATGATGTTATTAAACTATGAAAGTACAGAAGATTTGTTACAAATCATATGATACAATAATAATGCATTCATATCCATCATGTATCCTTTTCCTCTTTATTACACATGTTCTTTACACACAGATGTATACGCATTTGCACACATTGGATTTGAATACCAAATTTCAAATCTATACCTGTAGTAGTCCGGTATAGTACAGTGATAGTTGAAGTAAATTGCAGATGAATGATTCCTTTTTATTTTATTTTTTTAGAATACTAAAAAAGAAAACAAGCTGACGATCCACCTGAGAAAGTGGTAAAAGTCGACTATAGATATGGACAGCGCCATGGATATCACAGAACGCTCCGTGCTGCATGGTAGATACCCCTTATGCATCATTCATTGTATCTAATTTGTCATGTTACATATTAGATACAATGAAATATATAATTAGCTATGAGCTTATCACAATAACAGATTTTTTAAATTATTACTTGTTTTTAAAAAAAAATATAAAATATTTATGAAATTACTGACATTACATACCTATAGCCATTATTTTAAATGTAGTACTGTCCTTAATCTTTGTCTATAAGTAACTAAAGCGATAATAGTACAATGTGATTGTTACTGATAAAATAGTTAACGAATTTTCCAATATGAAACAATTTACAAGGCAGATAAGAGTGCTTCTATTTTATCAAAAGTCACCCTAAGTTGTATAAACACATAAATTAAAGATAGTATCTGCGGTCTTCGTCTGAATTTTTTGATACGTTTGTAGATTCATATGTAAGTTTATACATTTGACTGCCAACTGCAACTAAAAAACATGGAAATACAAACTTTCTACTGAAGATCGCGCTGTATGGTAAGACATAGATACCATGTCTTTGCTCAATGTGGATAAAAAAAACACTGCTTCTACTTATTAGTTGCTTCGTATGTTCAAGACCACGAAAAGTCACCTAGCAATAGTTCAGTAAGTAATTGTTAGACACCTTGAATAAAAATAAATCGCCATCCACATTGCTTCAAGTTAGGGATGCCGAGCTACGAGTCGTTAGAGTTCGGTACAATCTACAAAAATCTGCATTTATCGTGACAACATTTATATGGGATAATGGGACCAATTTTATTGGATGCAATATTAATTGTTAACATCCGTTCTGAATTGAGTCAAATGTTGAGTACCTACTTAAAATGTGTTCACCCACAAAAAATACAAATTAAGAATCTCTCCATCCTCTTTAATCATAGCCCCGTTTACGTAGTACCTTTCATATCACGAATGATTAGACATAACGATATATACATATTTTAGATATTAAAAAACTTCCTTGAAAGCGCGTTATAGTTGACGCGATAGATATTTTATATAAAACAAGTGAAGACAACGCGCATTTGCTCACTCGCGTCTTGCAAGCGTGGCTTGCTTCGTATCAACTAACTTTGATTGTTAAGTGACATCTAATTTGACTTATTAGATATTTATTTATACAAGAAGTGCATGAATAGTGAATAAAATGGTGAGGAAGCTTTTAATTTTCTGTGTTTATAGTTTGATTTTCTATACAGTGACTTATACAGGAACAATACTTCTTATACTTACTTACTATTATGATGCATTATTTATAAATAATAAATAATAGAAGAAAATAGAACTCCTTTTAAATTACGTCGATTGTCTATGGTTCCTAGAGAGATTCGTATTAGAATGTAATCTACAAGTTGCCATGTAAGTAAGTAGGTACCCATCGATCTACATAAAAATACTTAAAGGTATCACAATAAAGCTCCAATAATAAATAAGTAGTTTAGCTATTTGCTTTTCAGTTTTATTTGAATATTTTAAGTGGTACATATTTAATTATACTATAATAATCAATATAATAATAATCGCGCCAACGAATAGACGGAGTTCGATAAACATTTTATACGCAATCTGACTTGCAAAATTTTTATATCAGTAACATACCAGTAACAGTAGAGTGCATAATTTACAACGGAAATCTGCGCAGATGAAATGGTAGACTAAAGTTTATTACTGTAAAAGTAAAAAACTAAATATTAAATAATAATTATTGATAAAAAAAAAACATAAAACTTATCTGTAGATTCCTCCATGTGTCTCATCTCATCATAACAAGTAAATTACACGGTCATTTAGATCTGAGTATCACAGCGCTTAAGTTTTTTTGACATAATGCACGGACAATCAATGGTAATAATAATGATATTATAATAAAGCAAAAAATGTTTGGCTAATAGTTGTTATTTATGGTTAGTGACAGTAATTAAAAAGGTATTAAACCTATGGCATATGATATCTTTATAAAGTGGTTAAATTATTTTTGTATGTATAATACATAATAAATAAAAAATAATAAAAAAATAGGTTTTTAACCTATTTTTCATACCAACTTAGAATTTCAAACAAGTGGAAGTTCACTTAATGAAAAGTTGTAATCGTCGTTTATAGAAAGCATTATGGACATTATAGAATATACTGTGACGCCTATAGTACCCCTCATGCGTCGTCATTTATGAGGACTAATCAACTTTTTTACCATTCCCAGTCAGAAAAAATTTACTCGGCCAGTGAAGTAATATTTTTTCCCTCCCCTTATCTCCGGAATTTCTAAAGTGAAAAATCTAAAATAATTACAGTTTATAAAAGGATATGTATGTCTTACAAGAAAAATAAAATGATGTTTTAACTAGTTCAGTTTTGAGAAATTGTTCAAAAACCTCGTAAAACACATATAGTTATGGGGTCAAGTTTTTAACCCCAATTATGGCCCAAAATAAGAAATACGAATCATAATATCAATTATCGTCTCTATTTCGTATAATTAATGCAAAATTACCGTAATTTTATATCATATTTATTTATATACGGAACCTTCGGCATGTTAGTTCAACTTGCATCTGACCGTTTCTATTTATACTGGTATAGAATAAATACATAATATGACTACACGACAGATATAATTTCTTATAGAAAATGTAAAAAATAAATAATTATTTGCTCCGTAGATACCAGTCTCTTTGACCATATGTCTATATATCGTGAAATTTTACCAGAAATTCATTACCGTGAATGGCAACATTCACACAATGTACCTAGTTACTAAAAAAACTTTTTTGTCAGTCTTTCTTTGACTCATATTCCATAACAGAGTATGAGTCAACTAGTCTGGAAACTGTATTCAGATAGTGTAGGTACATATAATAATGAGACTATCACACAATGTAAACACATAACGTAAGGTATGGAATCCGATCACTTAGTGATTGATGTATCTTAACCATGTTACCTCTAAGATAAAGATATGTACTTGACACGGTCATGTGCAACAACACTTTAGTTAACTAGCGTCACTAACAATTACGGTTTAACCATATATAGATTAAATGTGTTTCGTATTATACATACATACCAGAAAATATATGACTTAGTCATAGAGCGTGCTACTGGTGATTATGATCAATAGTAAATGCATAGATATTAAAGAGAGGGCCGGGCTGGGCCTTGCCCATCCCAGAATTGTTTGGGGTCCACTGCAGGAGCCAAGAGAAGCAACATAAACCCATGTTCGAGAGTACATATATACCTTTTTTTATGAGGTCAATTCAGGGGGTTCAATCCAGGAACGACATCCTGAAAAACAATCTTTAATACACGAATGACCAGCAGTCGATACTAAATGTCGGTAGTCATATGCAGATTAATGGTAGCGGGATTAAATAACATACTATTTATATTTAATAAGGTAACAATAACGTACTCACGATCATAGTTATAACTCTGCAAAAAACAAGCTATGTCGTCTCTAGGTCTTTTATACACATAGACAAATGACGAAATAATAATAATAATAAGTGCCATATGCTTACACCGATCGCCTGGTCCTCAAGCTGGCCAGTTCCATTTGTCCCTATAAATATCTCGTGTTATGAGAATACACCCAGACTAGACACAATTCAGAAAAGTTCGATTCCTTAATTGCCCTGACCAGAACTGAACACTGGGACTTTATTTACGCAAAGCAACACACCCACTGCTGCACCACAAAGGTCGTCGGTAATGTTTTGTAAATAATACTTTGATCATTATCATTATATCAATGTCACTACTAAATATAGGTCTCCTCATAGACTGCCACAAGGAACGGTCTCGAGCAACCTGTATACGTTACATCGTAAATATTGCCCGTTTTAACATAAAAAAATAAAACTTGCGATAGACAGGCGACCAATATATGTTTAGACGTCTTATTACAAAAGCGTTTAACATCTGTTTATGTCTAAACAAAAGAAAGTCTGTTTTATCAAAAATAAAAGGTTTTTAAAGTAATAAATTTTATTAAAGTAGTTTATACATTTTGGCATACAAAATTATAAATAAACAGTACATCGACTGAACACGACACGATATATTCGATTAGTTTTATTAAACTCTATTTAGATTGACAGTGTTTAAAATTATTTTTGTTGTAAGACTGTATATAATTTACAAATAGATTTTATATTAAAAAAGCACGTTTTTGCTTTATAAAGTAAAACGGCAGATTCAAATATCATAACTTAAAAATGGAACTACCATTCTGTATATATATTTAGAATTGGCGATATAATTGCGTAACATATCTAGATACAAAAAAAATCTGAGGAATTCAAAATTGTAAGTTATTTTGAGTTTTACCTCAATACAAATGAAAATGTTAGGTGCGTGTCATTTAATGTAGTCATTTTAAAATAATTTTTAAGCAATTTAGTATGACAAGTTGATCGGTCATCTGATGAACAACTTTTGTACACAGTTTCCTTACTAATATAAGTATATACAGATAAAAAATAATAATAAAAAAGTATTTATTGGTTTTTTGTTTTATTGTATAGATGAGGCCCTTCGCATATTATTTTTATTTAAACGTAGACACCAAACAGTCAGTTATTGTTATGACTTATAGATAAGATTATTAAAGAAAGTAACAATGATAGATAATCATGATTCAATTAATGACATACTACCTACATTTAAATGGAACAATAAATGACATATAATTTTTCTATATCTATAAATCCTACATTATAAATTAAATAAATTTAGGTGCAATGTATATAATATGTAGATATTCATATTTACATTATATTTTATTGTTCTGGAATTTTTTTATGAAATAACCAATAACAATAACAGCCCCTTAAACTCATAGCACATGAATCTATCGAAAGATAGGTACGTTTCCACATATTATATATACATAGTAATATATTGTATGTTTTGTACCTATCTATGTTTTCAGTGTGATATCAAATTCAATAATATGTAATTTTTTTTGTGAATTATGACAGTTATGCTAATACAATGAAACGAATTCGGCCTGATAGCTTGTTCCGTTGCAAAAAGGAACTTTTTAGTATCTTTGTCAACAATCTCAATGTAGAAATTCTATAAGTACATACTTATGTTTATAAATAATAATTTATGGTTTAAGACATGTATTAGTCAACGCTTATTGTAGTCGAGACTATTGTAAGTCAGAACTATTGTCCAATGAGAAATGCAGATGATGTGAACATATTATCCTTATTAATATTATATATGTGAATACGAGTTTGTTTTTTATCTCGCAGCGTCTTAATCAATCACTATAAAATTTCATATACATATACGAGATGGAAAAGAACATAATGCTATTTTTATTCCGATTAGTGAACATATCCTGGTCATGCAAACATAGTCGCGGGTAAAAGCAGTAAAGTTATAATTCCATATGCAAAAACTGCAAATGATTGAAAGCAATGATAAATCAGATCAACAAATATCAATACATTATGATTTATGTTTTCCAGAGTCAAAATAATAATGAGGGTATTGAAGTCGTAGCTCCGGATGAGCCAGCATCTGAAGCTAGTCCAATTCCGGAATCTCCAAAACCACAACAAACAACACAACTTGAATCATCATCGTCAAATCGAAAAATTTCTCTACAATCCACTTCGAATACAAAGAAGGTATGTATGATATTTAATAATTTAAAATAACTTTTTCAATTTAGAAATTTTTATAATAAAAGACTGTTACTTACTACACAATATGAGCATAAGGAAAATAAATTTTGATAAATGATTTTAAAGTTTGAAAGTAAAAAATCGGCCCAATACGAGTCGGACATATGTAGCCTAGGTTCCGTAAAAACTATATTCGTAATTGAAGTTCTTGTAACTACAAATTTACGGTTTTCGGATTTTTCTTTACTTAAGTTTTAAAAAATTGCTTCTTACCAAATTTCATCAATCTAGGTTGACGAAAAACGATGATATAACTATAACTGGACAACGGGAAAATATATATAACTATATATAGTTATAAAATAACATAAATTTCTAAAATAATATTGGTATATTTGATGCTCTTTTAGGAATATGATAAGTATGGGTATGTAATAGAAATATATAACTTACAAGTTTAGGTAACGCTATAACAAAATAAATTAATATGCCATAAATTAAACACCTATGCCTCCTACCTATTTTTAAATACTAAATTCAACTAAGACGTGCTAGATAAATTAATCAATAAAATTATTCACACAATTAACATTTTTCCACTTCGAATAAATAGATAAGGTGGATGATAAATAGTCAAAAAGCATTATAGATAAGTAAAAATATGATACCTATGGATTATTATTGTAGTATCTATGATAAAAATATTGAATTCCATCCATTTATTTTATTGTTGTTTTATCTAAAGGTTAAAGAGATTGAATATAATTACATGTTATAGCTTTACGAGCCATCATAATGTATTTAATTTACCCTAATAAACACTTTAGTATAGCAAATGTATTTGAGTTCATTGTTGGAATAAACTAGATCACCAGACCTCTTATGGGTGCAATGGATGAAATATAACGTACCCGAAAGTAGTTTTTCACTATCTATTTTCATGCTTACATATATGTACAAGAATGTACGGATAGAGAAAACGGTATGTCAAAATCCTCTATTCTTCTATACATCTTTTGCTTGATCTACTTCCATAACATAACATAAAGTCCCATCTCATACATAAGCCAGTTGAAGGACTTTGATGTCTTCTTTAAACATAACGCTATCTGAATTTATTTTTAGGTCAGTATAGACCAGACCTCTCCTAATACCTATATCCTTACTTTTTCCCTATATTTTTTTATGCAACAACAGGCTGATAGCCCATGGAAAGTGGTAACCGTCATCTGTAGACATGAAAAATACTATGGATATAATAGATTGTACTCCTTCGCCAATGATACCCCCCATGCGTTGCTATTCCTGAGGTATAGTCCCTGTAAATTTACTGCCATATTCCACCCTTCAAACCGAAATACAGTCATGCAAACACAATTGCTTTACGGTTGAAACACGAATGGGATAGAGGTACACAAGCAAACGACTTTTGTACGAAGTCTCCCCCTGATGAAATCATAATTGTATGTAATAAAAAATGTAGTTTTTTATTCATATTTATTTTATCGTCTACCGTCTAAATAAACAAAATCTGTAATAATAAAATAAATTATATTCGATAATTAATTGATCAATATTGATATCGCTATACATTTACAATACATAGTATTACATTATCTGTGACAATACTGAATATCTACCTTGTTCAGTTTATTAAAAATTAAATTTTGTCGTTTCCAGGAAAATAATGCCGACGATCAACAAGACCGGATGATGTGGGACAATCAAGTCGAGTTTCTTATGTCGTGCATCGCCACATCCGTGGGTCTCGGCAACGTGTGGCGGTTTCCGTTCGTTGCTTACCAGAATGGCGGCGGTGCTTTCCTTATACCCTACCTTATCGTACTCTTTCTTATTGGAAAACCCATGTACTACCTGGAATGTGTACTAGGACAATTCAGTTCAAGAAATTCTATTAAAGTCTGGTCATTATCTCCTGCAATGAAAGGTACTCAGTATTTGATACTGTATTCTTATATTAAGCACTGTAATAAAATTTTAATACATATTATGTATATAACAATTAATCATTTAAAACAAAGAAAAGTAGTTCTGAGCGAATTCAGTGTTTATCTTTATAATGTACAAATACTAATACTTTTCCACAGCTCTATTTTATCATATTTTATTTTATGATCTGATCGATTCCATGTAGATACTAGGATGATACAAGTATAATCTAAGGATACAAGGTACTTAAAAGCAAGTAGAGTAATACTTTACATATTTACACTTTATTGTTTCTATTTCTATAGGTATAGGAACAATCATAATCATCAGCATCGAAAACTATTTTTTGTTTTGGATTTCTCGATAATTCATTACAATCGATATTATTATTATAAAGAGAATAGATTTGATTGTTTGTTTGTAATGGATATACTCAAAAATTATTTAACGGATTATAAAAATTCTTTCAGCTACATTATTAGCGAATAATATAGGCTATATATTTTTTTCAAAAGTTCTATCTAAGCGGAGCCGGATCAGCTCACTAGTCTTGTATATACGCGGTCAGAATTGTATGATTGCCAGTGGAATATGTAATAAAAAAAAATACCACTTTCGACCTCAAGGCTTGTAAAGCGTGATCCCATATGGGCAGATACCAAAGTAGGCGTATTTTATGAAGTCCATGTTTACACTGTTTATATCTATAGGCGATGATTATCATTTTTCGTTAGCTGAGGAGTTCCAGCTTATACTATTCCTAAAAGTGGGTCACTATTGCAGGTACCGGCTATGCACAGGCTCTGAGCTGCGGTTACATATTGTCCTACTATGTGTCAATCATCGCATTGTGTCTATTTTATCTATCGATGAGTTTCCAATCAGTACTGCCATGGTCTGTCTGTGATGAAGCATGGGGAAATGTATCATGTGTGCCATCTAAACCAGACGGCTCAGTACCACCCCCTAATGCTACTAGTAGCGCCGAATTGTATTTCATGTAAGTATCTTTAACTAAATTGCAAAAAAGAAAATTAAATTACTGCGTATGTGTGCTGTAATGTGCTGCATAAACTTTAGTCGTCTTCTATGTTACATAAGGATTACCCTGTTGTGAATCTGCAGGGTTGTTAAATATTCATCCTATGACAATGAAATGTCATATATCCGTTATGTATTGATTCTTTATTCGTCCCATATTATATTTCTAACTGAATCTAGTATATAGTTTTTTTTTTCGTCATTTTGGAATGGTAAACATGCTGACAGTTCACCAGATGGAAATTGGTAACCGTCGCCAATAGACATAAACAACACTTCAAACCAAAATATTACAATGTAAGTTTAGCTAGCTTAGTCTATGTTCAGCAGTGGACAGTTAACGGCTGGTACGACGACGACGACGATAGGTATTTGGCAGCAGAATGAGTAGAAATTATCAATGCAGAAGACTTCTGTACAAAGTCTCCTGCTATAATAGGCATTATTTTACGTCAAGTGGAACCTTCTTTAATATTTCAAGTAATTTAAAAAATATATTATATAATACTAAAATATAATAATAGATAAAAACTTGTCAATTAACACAATTCTCTACTAAATTAAAATTTTGTATTTACAGAAAAACAGTGCTTCAGCAGAGTGATGGCATAGAAGGTGGATTAGGTTAGTACTTTAATACTTATTTACATGACTCAAAAAGAATGTAATATATTAAAGTATCGTGGATGATACATATATTTTTTATGGCTTTGTTCAATTGAAATAATATAACTTCCGTCACTGTTTGATAATTCAACTTAAATAAATTAACAAAGATATGGTAATACTCCCATAACTTTTAATTTTGTTACTGAAAGTTCAAATGTAAGAATACTTAGCCTTTATTAACACTTTTTGTTTCATACTCGGTTTGGAATAGGTTTGTATTCTCAGGAGGGTACAAGAGTGATATTCAGATAACAGTTATTCATATCTGCATGTAGAGTCCGTGAACCAGAATGACGTTAGAAGAAAAAGAATTATACAATGGTGTTATATGTACTTTACGGTTTTGATTTTCTCAATTCATTGACAGGCGCTCCGGTGTGGTATCTGTCTCTGTGCCTCCTGGCGTCGTGGCTGATAATTTTCTTTATCGTGGCACGAGGAGTGAAGAGTTCCGGCAAAGCTTCGTATTTCCTTGCTTTGTTTCCTTATGTCGTCATGATCATCTTGCTAATTAGGTATTTACTTTTTTTGAGATACGTAACATAATAATTTGAAATGTTCTCTAAGTAACATTCTCTATCAGAGAATAATATGAAGAATGAAAACAATTGTATTTGTTCCTTATTAACTCGTAACCGTGAAATTTCTGTAAAAGATTTATTACTTTTAATCGAGTTCAAAAACGAAGATGGTTTTAATTCGATTGTATTTCTTATACTATAACTATGTTTTTGCCTATTTTGAACTAACTTTGGCTGGCGTTTAGTTAATATGATAAAAGGTAAATAATTTATTTAGGTAATCTATTAAATAATGTACATGTATAAAGATAATTAACCAGATTTCTAATAAATTTGTAACAGATTAAAAATTAACATTATTAATTTTCAGTACTTGCCTTCTGGATGGCGCTGGAAATGGCATTTTGTTCTTCTTGACACCACAATGGGAGAAACTTATCGAGCTGGATGTAAGTAACACCAGGTATTTTAATTTGAATTATTTAATGACTATGTTTATAATATCTTACTTATTATCATATTAATTATAACATCACTATAAACTGATTAATTAAATTTAAAAAAAAGATTAAATAAATTACCGACTGATAGCTTCTCTACTATCGTGTAATTGGAAAATAGATGTGGGTGTGATTCCTGCTGGAAATTTTCATATAGCTGAGGATTACTCGCAGTATATGTAAGGTAAATTTGAAAGAGGATAGGTACTATTGGAGACTTAGTCTGCTTTATTAAATGTATAATCAAATAAAACGGTGTATTATCTGAAGGAAGACAGATTAATGTAATCTAAATATTTAATAATAAAACAATACGTCTCACACCTACATACGGATATACCACCTATACGGACATATATTTTAAATGAATTTATATAATTCCAGGTGTGGTACGCAGCTGTGACACAAGTATTTTTCTCTCTCTCAGTATGCACCGGAGCCATTATTATGTTCTCTTCGTACAATAAATTCGATCAGAATATCTACAGGTACCATTGCACGATTTTTTAAAAGTTTTCTATCGTACTGCAGATATACATGCTAATAACAAATAACGTTTGATATTATTTTTAATGACATATAATATTTTGTTATGACTATCACCTTATACATTTCACATAAATGTATGCTTACAGTAATAGTGCTTTGTTATCCACTGGTGGCATTTCCGTGGTTCGTTAAGAAACATTTGCTATTCAAAGGCTAGAATGTAGTCGTGGGATCTCTAAGGACATTGCTGAGTTTGCGGGGACTCGACGGATTTTAAACGCCAAATGCAAAAGTCTAAATCTAAACATACGACGATATCGATCAGCTTCAATGGAACTACTGTGATTTAATTTAAAACCAAATGTGGTTTTGCAAGCTTTAATCCATACAATGATTACAACACATTGTCGTATACATATATCATGTGACTATATATCTACTTTATTGTCCTAAAACGATAAACAATTATAATTTCAGAGATTCTATGATTGTAACTACATTGGATACATTTACAAGTTTATTATCTGGCATTACTATATTTGGTATCCTTGGCAATTTGGCACACGAGTTGGGCCAAGAAGTGTCAGAAGTAATTGGATCTGGCGGTACTGGTTTAGCTTTCATTTCATATCCAGACGCAATTGCTAAAACATTTCAGCCCCAAGTAAGTATAAGTAATAATAAATAGATAGCATTATAAGTAGATACAGAGTAACACAATGTTAGAATTTTTGTCATAATTTGTTATCACTGTCTTTGTATTACGATGAATGGACTGTAAAATTATGCAAAACATTGTCATAGATAGATGTCTTATAGATCTAAGTATGTCATACCTATTACAATATAATTTGACTATTACATTATATAGGAGCTATTTTTGCCTGGAAGAGATCGCTTTTAGTGATAAGGTCGCCCATTGTTTTCTCATTGTGATTATTTCTTGTAATTGTTTATATTTATAATAAGTTTACTATTGTAATCTTTTGGAGGAAACAATAAAGAGTATCTATCTATCTATTTTATTTTTTTTATGGATGATAATGGAATGGTAACCCTGCCTCTGCTATTGACATACACTGGCGGGGCACCAGTGATAGATGACAGATGAGAATGAAAGCAGCTCAGTTAGCCTATCGTGACATTATGTATTCCACAAGAATTAACCACGATGGTTTCCAGAGAGAACCATGTGGAGGTCGACCTGAGAGGGTATATTGTTAGCAGTGACCTGACGACTGCTGGACCAATTGGGCTAAGTTTTTTTTTAAATTCCATCAAGGAACAATAATAAATGTAATTTTGACAACATTAATAAATGAATGTTCATTTGTTTCAGTTATTCTCAATATTGTTCTTTTTGATGATGTCGGTGCTCGGCGTGGGATCAGGAGTTGCGCTGCTCTCCACCATCAATACTGTTATGATGGACGCCCTGCCTAAAATTCCTGTTTTATACATGTCAGCCATGTGTTGTACTGCTGGATTTGCTATTGGTCTCGTCTACGTCACTCCGGTAAATATACAGAATACTTAGTATTTTTATAATAATATAATCTTATTTTTGCGTATGCTTCGTACGATCTTTTTTGTAAATAAAATATAGCTCATATTATTCCCTGCCAATATAACATTCTTAGGTGAAAGAATTTTAAAATCGATTAAATATTTATTTCATTTATCCATTACAAAACAAAATCTTTAAATTGAATTTTTCTTCTTTTTAATATCATTTAAATTAATTAAAAGTACTTGTCTTTATCGGCGACTTCGTCCGCGTGACCGAAAAATATCGAATGAAAATAAACTGGTAGGCCAGGTAGGCCCATGGTGCTCTTGGACATCACAATATATTATATATAACTATATGATACTCTTCATGTTAGTTGGTTACGATTACAATTTTCCATCAGGCAAGTTTATTTTTATGTAATTTTGCACCAGTAATTAAATAGGTACAAATTAGAAACTCGAATTTAAACACATTATTTCTTATCTTATAGGGTGGTCAATATATACTGGAACTAGTGGATTATTATGGTGGTACATTCCTTGTACTTTTCTCCGCCATTTCCGAAATTGTCGGCGTATTCTGGATTTACGGTATGTCATCATTTAATTAATGAATAAAGTCTATTATATCTATCTCTATATATAACATGTAGGATAGTACGCGTATACCAAATTTCATAGTAATTGATCAAGACGTTAAAACGCTAAAACGTAATAAACAAATTATCAATGTGAACGATTTTTTACTTTCTTGTTCCGACATTATTAAATACTGCGCTCGAGAATCTACATATACCTAATCTGTGACTATGCTACGAATTCTATTCTTAAAAAAACACTTTGAAATCAAAATAGTTAAAATATTATTGTGCTTTTTCATAATACAATCATGTTTTAACGTCCTTTCCAGGTTTAGAGAACTTCTGCCTTGATATCCAGTTCATGTTGGGAGTAGATACGTCAGTGTATTGGCGTTTCTGCTGGGGTATTATCACTCCAGCTATGATGTTAGTGGTGTTTATATATGCCCTAACTTCATTTGAAGCTATCAAATTCGGTGGTACTTACACGTACCCTACTCTTGGATATGGTAATTTCATTTATTAATCTTTTAAACATTAGTGTTGCATCCAAATAGCTTAATAACTTTGTTGCGGTGACGTGGCAGTGCTTATTTGTGGGTAACGTTTGTTTTTCATATGTTCTTAAGAAGTGTAACGACATTAATTTTAGGGTTCCATGCCAAATTAGGTGCTATTTCGTCTATTCGTCTATCTGTATTTCAGCAAATACCAGTGCTTTCCATTTAATATTTGGAATAGTTTTAAGTATTATTCGTTATATTTTCCTTGTGGTTAGTCATACTTATTGCATAATTGAAACGTAATTTTCTTTTTTAAAAAATCTAATTTCGATTTTTAAAATAGACTTACTAGTCTAAATGGAGTATCAAATTAAAGAGATTTATTTCATTATTTTAAATTCAAATTTGTAATTTCTTTTTTTTTTGCATAATTTTCAACTTATTACAGAAAATATAATTTTTTTTTGCGGGAAATTAGCCATCAAAAACAAATTCAATTACGTGATTCGATTTTTAATTATAGCTATGGTTTAAAATAAGAAAATGCTATTGGCAATTCAAATTATAATAATAATTAGGTTTGTAGGAATTTTAAATCTAATTTCGATTTTTAAAAGCAAAGAGAGCACTCGTAATTAGGAATTCATTGTGTAATTATCTATTTTTTTAAGCTTTCTTTTTATTGGATTGATACCTATTTAGACCATAGATAATATGATGTAGTAATAAATACATAAATATTTTATTTGCATTACAGTGTCTGGATACTTGATGTTGTTTGTTGGTATCGCCTTCGTGCCTATCTTCATACTCTTGACAATATTGAAAAACAGATCATCAAAAGAGGTAAATATTATTTTTGCATTAATAAAAATGAAAGTTCCTATTCTAGTTGCAATAATACTACTTTTTGTTTCTTGTACTATTAGAAATTAAATACAATAATATAAATCGGAGACAAATTAGAATTTTGACAAAATTAGTGAGTAAAGTTCATATGATTTTAATAAAAGAATCACCTCTGTCCCACTCGTATTTTTACTGCCATGTAGTTGTTATTTGCATGACTGGATTTTAGTTTGAAGGGTGGGGCAACATATGAGGGGTACAGTGTAATCTGTGATGTTCGTGGTTCACATCTATATATGATATATAGTATTAAATTCGCCTTTTGGACGTGACATTTTTTGTAATGTGGCCAATAAATAATAATTAAAAATAAATAAATAAATAAAATAAACACCTCAGTCCTCAGGAATGGCAACGCATGATACCCTCATGAGTAAAACAGTATACTCAGTTATGTCCATGGTACTCAGTTATGATCATGTCTATAGGCGACGGTTACCATTTTCCATTAGGTGGGCCGTCAGCTTGTTTGCCATTCTAAGTTGCATAAAAAAAAATCTATAGGTGACGATCGCACTTTCCGTCTAGGGGAACATTAAAAATTTAACATGGATATCATTATTATAGGTAGGTACCTGCATATACATATATAAAACGAAAAGTCAACTAAATAATTTTTTTCACAATCTTCACTGCAGAAATTTAACATTTTTATAAACTAGATTTAGTATTGTATTTTAAATATGTATAAATATTTTATCTTCAGCCTGTAAAGGAATCTTTTCAATCAAAAAAGTCGTGGGGTCCACGATTATCCAACCTACATACTGAGTGGGAAGCATTCAAACAAAAATGGAAAAACGCACGCAAGGATCTACATGTTTCCCGAGTCACGCACATATGGTACAGTCTCACTGGTGGATATCAGAAAAGAACTAGTATTAACAACACTGTAAATATTGTATATAACTAGATTAATTAATAGGTAGTAATTAATTGTTGTTAGAATGATCTATAATTTATTGCCACCACTAACTTAGTCATAGAAAAAAATAAAAAAGTACAGAGCAATATCACATAACTACTTACATATCTATGAATAAAAATACAAAAAAATATATACATAATAACATAAGAAGTGCCTCACCTACACGTTATGCCCTGTATTATAAAAAAACAGTCAACGAAAATCTTGAAAATCACAATTAAAAATACAACTTAGAACACTTCTAACCACCTAAGTTAATTAAAAAAAAAGGCCAGACATATTTTATAGACATACAGAATTTGTACAGACGAGTATTAATCTATGACAAAAAGAGTATTCTTCACAAATATTTTTGTAATTTTTATATAATTAGTTAAATAAAGCATTGTATTTTTTTATGATAATAATTTGACGACGTAGCTGGTATTTGCGATTACTACAATATTAAATATTGTTATAACTAACTAACCATACTATGTACATCAGTAAAAAAATTTGAAAAGCCTAAGACAACTTATGTTTGCATCCTACATTTTGTCACTATAGGACTTATTGAACTATCTGAGGTAGTAATAAAAATCATTAACATAATTTTTAAAGAGCGCTTTATTAGTAAAACTGGATATGAACATTGTTAAAGAAAAAAATTAAACTTCTATGATAAAACAGCTGTCAAGTTAAAATAAAAAGATTATTTTTTTTAGTTTTTCTACTTATATTGTTTTAAGTATGATACTCAAGATTCAGTAACAGAACACTCCCTTAGAAGGATATTAATTATTATTATTTCACTACATATGTGTATGATCATATTACCGTATTTTATATGTAAAGTCACTAATACTTACCTTTTTAGGTAAGTAATAAAAATGAAAAATGATTTAATATATTTTTAAGATATATCAAAACTTTTATTTTAAAGTGTCAGCATTATAAATTATCACAATAATAAAATAATAATATTAATGCAATAACTCCCAACAAATAAATAATATAGCCAATAAAACTATTATGTATAGTATCAACAAATTTTTGTACTAGCTGAAAACAATGCATAAAATTATTGTGATACTTTAATTAGGTACTGTCTATCTATGCCTTTTACAATGCAATCAGTGTGAAGTTATTTATTTTCGCATTCCTTATCGTAGTGTTGATTTAAATTTTCAAAAACATTATGTATTTTCATTAGCAACATCACTAAATTTAAGTATGATACATGAAATGTGCTTTAGCGACTACTTTTTGTGTAATATTAAAAGGATAATAAATAATTTTAATGCTAAGAACAATGTATTAAATACAGTGAATAAGAAAATGAATTATTTATTTTACTGTAATTCAGGCAAAAGCTATTTTTGCTCAGTTCCTAATAAAGACTACGTAATTTAGGTAAGTAGTTAGAGTAATAATTTATTTATTATTTAATTAATAATCGTACACCTTTTTTTATTATATATTAATATTAAAAATGATGAATAAATATTTTTTTTATTTTACTACTAAAGATCTTATCATTTTATTATCAACGCTTGTAACAAAATATGCTATCAACTCTTAGCTTTTACTAATATCATATATATGAATATTTGCAAAGATGTTTTGATGTAAAATATTCGGATGTTTGTTAAATTCAAAATTAACGTCACATTAAGATCGATCTTTCATGGACGATACACGATACAATGCCAACATATATACATATATTAAATTTCTAGTTATTACAAAAAATATAAAACTTGATTTAAATGAAAGGTGAATTAAAATATAACACAATGCATCCGGATTGCCAAGTAGCAACCCTTACTTGCGGCTTAGTGTAGAAGTGTAGATAGATTAATATAAATGATTCATTATAACTACAGCGCCTTCATCTAAAACAAAAAAATTATGATACTGGCAACAATAGTTGTTAGTTGTTGGTTACTTTTAAAAAGTAGTCACAAGTAAGCTCATTTTGGTACGTAGCATCTTCTCATATCAGTAGATTTTTACAACAAGAAAACGTAAAAGACATGGAGATTTCCATAAGGAGACTTGAGAATCTGCTCATTTTTGAAATCGTTTTTTATAACTAAAATGATTCGTTTGATATTTAGCACTCATTATTAAATATCTCTAGATTACCACATATAGTATATTCTCAACAAATATATTCAAACCGATATTTATAATTCTCTTTACACTCGAAGGATTTATTCCAGTAGTAGTTTTTATCGACAACTTCGTTTGTTGGATTTTGGAAGTGGGTATCTAATACTAACTGGTGTATTAAAATAAATTATATTACATTATTACATATATTACATTTCAAATTTGACCTTAAGACACTCAACTGTGAAATCCACATTTAACAGTAACAGTGTACAGCAGTTTTTGCGTGATACTGGAACATAAATACTGACACCATTACCTTTGGATTTTTTTTTTATTAAGAGCCGTTATAACATTTTTTTTAAATATCTTTAATGTACAGATACCGTTTAGTTAAAATTTTATTATATTACTAAGATTATCCAGAATATTAGTTTTGCGATATTCGTAGTAAATATTTTTTTTCTGTGGAGTAAAATCTGCTTTTTATATTCATGTGAGCTTACGTACAAATAATTGCAGGATTACTATCCTGTTAATTTTTTTACTAATAAGGTAGTTTATTTTCTTCACAATACCAGTAGTACATCTATTACATGGGGTTTATTTTTGAAGGCTACATAAGTTAATGTATTGTGAAAAACTGGTGTCTGAAGTAAGATTAACTTGTGTTACAGATCACCAGGTCCTCACCCACCGGTGTTGGATCTATTATACAATTTGCTCTGGTTATAAATATAATAACAACATTAATATATTAGGAAAAAGTAGGAGAGACGCCATACTTTTTGGAAAAGCGTTATAAAAAATAAAATAAAACCTATAGTGAAGTTGTTTATTTTAATTCTCAAGGCAAATATATTTAGCTTATTATCATAGCAATACTTTTTGGTTTGGACTATATTTGAAAACAATAATTAATGAAAAATGATCCATCTCTTCCACACAGTGTGGGTGAGATACCGCATAGTGTGAGAGAGATGCTATTAGAGTCCTTGTACATGAATTACAATTTATTCTGGTTTTTATGGCGCACCATTTCTTTTCCACAATTATTACAATGCGGAGAGTACATTGTACATGAATCATGAAGCCATTTTTAACAAGAAGAACATTGAATCCAATCAACTTTTTTTCATTAGAAAATAATTTTAATTAATTAAGTTAGTTCGAATTCAAAATAATTAAGTAATATGGTAATTTACATAATTCGGATTATCATACTCGTACTTTTTCCGTATATCTTGTATATCCTTATGATATTGTATAATAAATTATTTTTAAATTAAAATATCATCACCATATGTGTCCCGTGTGGTCCCGGCATAGAAAAGGCCACCCCTTCCTTTCCTGTGGGTGTCGAAAGAGGCGACTAAAAGAGGGCGAGGAATGAACAGCAGCGTCCCTCTTAAAACATCTCCAAAGTCTAACTGCGGTTGCCAATCCGCTCGGCCAAGCCTGGCAACTACTGGCAAAACCCCCCTAGGGGGAAGCTTATGTTCATCAGTGGACGGTTAAAAGCTGATATGATGATGATCACCATCATCATTATCACCATCATCACCATAATTCTAAGCACATTTCATCAAAGCTTATAGACAACTGCATAATGTTATTAAATGACTTGTGTAGCAGAAATAACGTTATCTTGTGATGGATATCACTCAAATATTCATGGAAATGAAATAGCCGACCAGAACCGTATTGTGGCATACCAGAATTAGCAGAGAACACAGGCTTTTCTGCCTGAAAATGCCCGTCTTTCAATAATAATAAAAATTTTAAGACATTTTAATACAAATACCGACATTCACCGGGTTTCTTAAGGATCGGCATAAAGATCTATAATATTAATAATAATGAGGTATTATTTATCGTTTTAATAGAACAGGAAACATAACTCAGCACGTAACCGTTGCAGTACCTAATCGCATCTATGAGATAAAAATCCATATCAAATTATTTATCGTTACATTGAAATTATACAATGGCAATACAATTAATGTAATAAATAAATAGATACAAATGTTTTAAAGTAACCTTTATTTGTGATACATAATACGAAGTGGTTGGCTGCATAAAATAAAGTGAATGTAAGCGTAGATACTTTAAAATCATAAACAGAAAAAAATGGTAAGTACTTAAATAAAAATTAAAGATCCAAAAATAAATAATTGGAATTTTGATGACCGAAAAAATATCTTAGCCTACACTGGGATACGACGTTTTTTCCATTTTATATTTATTTTTTATTTAATAACTTTATTGATTAAAATAAAATAAGATACAAAAGGCGGAATTAATGCTAGTGGCATTCTCTACTAGTCAACCTTTGGGATGAACAATGTACATATATAACATACATATATAAAATATAAATAAATAAAATCTATCTATTTATCTCAGACGTTATTTCATTTAGCTCATACTAGCCTTTTGTAATTTGGTAATATTTTCCGTATACTAAATATTACACTTTTACTTTTTAGCAATACTTGAGGCATCTAAAGTCTACAGCCAGAGGGCAGGCTCATATATAATAATAATATGATTTAATAACAACAATTTGAAAACTTTAGGAAATGAAACAAAGTACAAATGAATTTAGATACGCTCATAAAAGACGAAGTACCTAAAAGTAAATAAATCAATTATTGCTAGAACAACTTAATATTCATATTTTAAACGTTACAAAATCTACCTAAATATTCTTCTCCTTTATTTTCTAGACTTCTATTATGTGAAATGGGCATTAATGTGAAATTAATGCTGGTGATGTTTTAACAATATATTATTACTATATTTAAAAAATTATCTCTACAATAAACTATTGTAATATATAGTATATAATAATATAATATTGTCCAAATCAATTATAATAAATTTTAATTACTATAATTATGACCTAAAAATAATTACTTTCCTTCTATATATTTCAATAGTCCAAATAATATATCGGAAAATAGTTTGTCACTTAAGCAGTGTAATTAGGTTTCACTTCTTCTATACTTGTATAATACATATAAATCCTCCTCTTGAATCACTCTATCTATTAAAAAAAAATGTATCGAAATCCGTTGCGTAGTTTTAAAGATCTAAGTATACATAGGAATAGACAGAGGGGAAGTGACTTTGTTTTATACTATGTACATATGTAGTATAGTGATGATACATTATTTTAAAAACTATCTACAAAACTTCTGTCCTTATGTGCTAAATATTTCTATAATACTAACTTAATATATTTAAACGATAAAAGTACTTTTTTAACGCCAGGTCGACTTGACGGGGTATATTACTAGCAACGAGAGTCTTAGTAACTATTCAAACAACAACAACAATTCTTTATATACTTAAACCTAACCATGAAACTACAAAATAGTATTCAATAGAAAGGATAATTTACATATTTATCGAAAGTCATTTGGTATTCACGCGTTATCACGAAAACACCGACATCGATTAAACCTTATCAAAGAATCTTATTGAGGTTATCATTTAGGGATAAACGTTATTATTGATTTAAAATTACGACATCATCACCTACATAAGGTCATTCGTTCTCTATCGATCGTAAATTACAATAAGACTAATATGTATCTATTTAATTAAAAAATTACGTAATTAAATAATTAGTACGTATCTACACGCAATAACAAGAGCCCTCATTGGAACTGCTAACTAAACAAGCATATGGACCAACTAGGTTTATACCCAAAAAGTGTTTGCAGATTTGGTCACAATGAGACAGAAACGCCGCAGAACTTAATGTGTGGCTGTAGCAGATTTATACATAAATGATATCTCCTTTGGAATACAAACTCTGTATACTAAGAAGATAAAAATATCGCTGCAAAAACATCTTAAAATTTCTATCATTAATAGGTATTAGCAGCGACGACAGCGACCTTTAAAAAAAGAGCCGGCACAAAATATCATGGAAAGATCGCAGTGTCACAGGTTTCTCTGCCTGAAAATGCCCGTCTTTCAATAATAATAATAACACAATCTACACGCAATATCTGATTACAGTTTTATAGATATCTTCCTTTAGATCATATGATTATTACAGACTTTCATTGCTTTAGATAATCCATATTTTACATTTGTAGATAAAAACACCTATAAAAATTCCGCATACTATAAAGTAAGTATGGTATATGTATATCGATCATTTTACTCGTTATTTTAGTGTCTTATAAATTATATTGTTTTTTATAATAAGTAAAAATGAAATGATAATCCCGTCTGCGCTATCGGTATAAGCTGGCGAGGTACCAATGAGAGAGATGATAGTTGAGAATGAAAGCCAGTCAGTTAGCCCATGGTGGCTAATTCCATAAGAATTAACCACAGTGGTTCCCAAGACGACCTGCACGGAGGCCGACCTAACAGGGTGTAACTATATATATACATACAGGGTATATTGCTAGCTATGGGGCTATTAATAACAATCCCTTTCCCCCGAGTCATATTGGTTAATACAAATCTTGTTTGATTACTAGTTTTATCCCACTGTTTTACTCGCATGAATCATCATATAACTATGTGCTAAATTAAAATATAACCTATCCGTATACTAAATTTTATTAAAATCCGTTAAATGATTTTACGTAAAAGAGTAACAAACATCCATCCATTATTTCATCCTTACAATTTTTTTTATTAGGATTAATATTTGTGTGTAGTTTATTGGTAGTTTACTGTTGTATTTGAAACTATGTAACAAGAATGTTACTAATAATAAAAGAAATGAGATAAAATAAAATAATTTAATTATCCATGACTTTTAGCAGTATTGCTCTACGATATATTACATGACTCATTTTATTAGTATGTTTATATGTAATTGCTTATCTTTATTTTTGTGAAATTCTGCTTTATTGTTGTTTTTTTACTTTATTCAAAAACACATTCAAGACGTCAGTTACTGCAGTATTTTTAACATGTAAATTTTTTACAACATAAAAGATTTTTAGATTCATTATCGAGCATAAAAAATATTTTTTGGCTACATGCCTTTTATTGCGCCAAAAATCTAGTTTCTATGATGATGCAGGTCAACCTGTCAGATTATATTACTTACTCCATTACTAACACTCCCTTCCCTCCCACTGTATAAAGTTTTTAATGGGTGATAATGGCATAGTAACCCCACCTGCGCTATTGGTATACACAGGCAGGGCACCAGTGAGAGATAACAGATGAGGATGAAAGCAGGTCAGTTAGCCCATCTTGACGAATTCAATTGGAATTAACCACGATGGTTTCCAGGGGGACCACGTGGAGGTCGACCTGACAGGGTACAATGGTGGCAATGGGGTTATTTAATCCCATTCCTAACAATCCCTTTCCCCCAATGTCTATAGTTACTAGTCAGTGAGTCTATCAAAACACTGATCAGATTTTTTATTATTAGGAAAAGGACAAAACGCAAGGACGTCCAAAATGGGACAACCAAATCGAGTTCCTTATGTCCTGCATCGCTACATCTGTAGGCCTCGGCAACGTGTGGCGGTTTCCGTTCGTCGCTTACCAGAACGGCGGCGGCGCTTTCCTTATACCCTACGTTATTGTCCTATTACTTATTGGCAAACCCATGTATTACTTGGAGACAGTGCTGGGTCAATTTAGTAGTAGTAATTGTGTGAAGATTTGGGCTCTATCACCAGCTATGAAAGGTAAATGTTTACTGGTGTATATTTTTATTTTGTATCTAAATATGGAACAAAAACAGTACCTAACTATAGATTCAGAATTATCTGCGCAAATATTTCCTAACTATAGACAACATAACCTTATCTGCGCAGCATCTAACATCACGTGAGCCGCATTAAAAAAGAAAAAAAAATCTAAAATTAGAGTTTAGACTTTATATCCCAGAATGACAAAAAACAGTAACTTTTTTATATTTTTACGCAACTCATCCCTTTCCAAACGTAAAAATGTAAAAAAAAAACAAACAGATAAATAAATTATATTATGATAACGCACAAACAGATTAGATTAAGTATTTATTTTTCAAGTTCATCACCTTCATAATAAAGTAGTAATAAAAGGTACATTACTTTATAAAAATGTAATTCCAGGTTTCGAATCGGCCTAAATAAAAAATTAACTCTTTAAAATTAACTGGATCTGGGTGTTGTCCTAAATGTCCTTAAATAATGATCTGGTTTCTCATAACATAAAAAATATGTATATACGAGTAGAAACCTAACAACTTAGTAAATAGTAAAGTCTTTTCTTCGTTAATTTGTTTATCCCTATTAACGACAGGATTGATTTACACATTTACCCATATGTTACCATAGTATTTCTGTTATTTATATAATATAACTCGCCTATTCTCTTCATTTTATTGGATCTTAACTGGCCTAATAACTGATTCGCCATTTTTTCTTTCTAAGAGCAATTTTATTTAAATTATTTACATTTGTAACAAAAATAATTTCAAATATTTTTAGGTACGGGATACGCTCAGGCCCTAGGAGCTGGTTATGTATTGTCATACTACGTTTCTATCATTGCTCTATGTTTATACTACCTGGCTGTGAGCTTTCAATCCACGCTGCCATGGGCTGTATGTTTAGATGAGTGGATAATTGAATACAATTGCATTGATGCAAACAGTAATGTAAATCCTGAATTACTTGGGAATGCAACCAGCAGTACCGAATTATATTTTAAGTAAGTTGAAACAGAGTAAATAATATTTAATGCCTAATATTTAATTACGCTATCATAAAAACATCCGCAAAGATACCTATGGCAAGTTATTTAAAATCGTTAAAAAAATTTTAACGGGTCATGATGGAATTGTAACCCCGCCTGCGCTAACACTGGCGGGCCATTATTAAAGGATTATAGGTGAGGATAAAAAGACAGGTCAGTTAGCCTGAATTCTACAAAACTGAATTACAAGTGCATTCATCTCGATGATTTCCAGGGAGGTCGACCTGGTTGGATATATTGTTAGCAATGGGGCTCTTAGTCTCCATTATTAACAATTCGATTCCCTCCCCTCCTTGTTAACACATTAGGTAAGTACTTACTGTATGTATATAAGATTCAGCATCACATGCAATGGTTACTTTAGAATATAGGTCGCAGTAAATCTGTCTTAAGTCTATGGTAATACTATTCTTAATGTATGCACTCATATATTTTACAGCGCCCTCTAGTCCCATACTAAGTAGAGCTTGTACTAGAACTAATATTAATGCCACGCCAACATACAATACCTATTACTTTGTAAAATTATTTGTTACAATGATTCTCAATCTAGTACATAGATAACAATAAATATTATGTGCTACAAATTATGACGACAAGAATGACCTTTACATTATACAATTATTACAATTTATTTCACCATCATTTTTATATTTGTCTATTTGTTTAAAATAAATATATATATTATATAATACACTATAAATGAATATATACCAACTAAGTGATAAATATTAATAGACTACAGACATGATTGCTAATATATATTTTGTACCAAAACTAATATCAATTAAAAAATTGAATATTTGAAATCTAAAGGTCGACGTCTATGGTCTTCTAATGTTGCAGGTGCAAAAAATATTAATTTCTATTATAATTTTAACTTTAATTAGTTATTTCCATTCATAACATTTCATGCATTCCTTGCATCCTTTCCAAATATGTAAAAAATATAATCTATGCAGCAAGTCTCGTAGGTACCAGTTGGCAGTGATCTCAAAGAATTTTTTATTTTTAAATATTTTTTAAGGACTTGTTTTTGATATTTATAGCACGTAAATGTAAGGTGTGTATATAATAGATATATCTACCAATAAGTAGGTATATATAGTTATAATCTATACTCTAATAAAATAGTAAGGTTCGAAAATTTCTTATATTTAGTTTCTTTTTCCACAAAATAGCTAGACATGCGTATGTCTAGCTTATTTTATTCTAATTAATTTAATAGGTAAAGGATCTTTAAACAGGTCATCTTCATAATCATATCAGACGTTATCTGACCACTGCTGAACATAGGCCTCCCCCATAGACTGCCATAATAAATGGCCCTGAACTATCAGTATCCACTGACTATCTGCAATGCATATGAGGTCGTTACTCAATCTAGTGAGGGGTCGTCTTAAACTGCGTTGGCCGTACAGGGTCGCCATTCAAGAAACTTTCATCCCTATTTGTTTTTATTGGGTCATTTTAGTTCTTCTGCGGGTATCCTCATGTCGAATTATACTACACAAAGAAACTCCGAGCCTTAAATTATACATAGGTATTTGATATTTTATATACTAATTCACGCAGGCAAGACCGAGAGGTATAGCTAGTCTTCTGAAATTCATGTACATTATTTTTTATAACGTAAATACTTTATATTTGCTTAGGTTGATAGCATAATATTATTTAGATACTTTCTAAATATTTTCTAATTACTTATTGTTACAGACATACAGTACTTCGGCAATTAGAGAGCATTCACGATGGTATTGGTACGTATTTTGAAATTCATTTATATTTTAAATGTTAATGGATTATCGCAATATCGTATAATTACTGAGGCTTTTAACAATAAGACTTTATTATAGAATAAAAGAGAAAATTACCATCGAATATTTTTAGAATGTATAAATCTTATCGATAGAGTCATTATTAAATACTTAGTAAATGGAAAAACGGCTAAAACACGGTCATGTTTAAATAAATGGAAAAAAGAGCGGAAAGCAGACAAAAAGAAGTACTAAGATACATTATTTAAAAAGCTTATTTGAACCAGGAATCGAACTATTGTTATTAATAATCGATATCATTAATAATAGAAAAATATGTAGACCATGAAGCCATAAAGTTTTTATGAGCATCATAGTCTATTCTGTAATATCCATAGCAACACCATGAACATTTGTGTTAATCAAGACAGTTACGACTCCCCGTCATGTGGGCCATTAACTTATTTGCCATTTTAAGCTACATTAAAAATCTAACAATCCATACAAATACAAGAATATCCACATAATATGTTACATAATAATTAATAACACACCTATTTTGCTATGAATATTATAAGATTATTTTTAATTATGATTAAAGTTAAATTTATAATTTTTCAGGAGCTCCGTTATGGGACTTATCGCTTTGTTTACTGGCTTCCTGGCTCATAATATTTTTCATCGTAGCTCGCGGCGTGAAAAGCTCTGGAAAAGCCGCCTATTTCCTTGCTATATTTCCTTATATTGTACTCTTCATATTATTAATCAGGTTAACCAAATATTTTTATTTGAATATCTATAATATTATTATACGAGTATGTACCCCTATAATTAAATTATGAAGATAGAAAAGTAATAAAATCCAAATAAGCCACTTTTAGTATTGATAACGGTCAGTTTGTATGTTCCTTATGAGATAATAGCAACATTATAGATAGGTTTCAGTTACAATTAATAATTACTTCGCTCAGCTGATTCTGATATACCTAATGTTTTATCAGAATCAGCTGATTGAAGAGTATTAGTATATATCCATCCCTGTATGAAGTGATCATACTTGATTCTTATATGAAGTAGCACAGAATTTTGTTAATTGAGTGAACGGATCTAAAAAATATTTCTTTGAAAACGTCAAACAGGCGCGTTGAAATAGAGCAATATATCCCAAATAATCACTAATCATTCGGAACATGCCAGAAGTGTTCCTTACAATTATTCTATCCTCATTATTATAATGCTGGAAGAATAAATGTTTGACTATTTTTAATTAGGGTTTTGTTTTGTTTTCGCAGAGCTGTTACACTAGAAGGAGCAGGAAAAGGCATTATGTTTTTTATAACACCTGACTGGAACCAAATTTTAAAAATCAAGGTTTGTGGGCAATTTTTTTATACATTATTAGTGGGTTGGATGCAATAAGTTTATTTATTTTCGGTCTTAAAGTTCTTTATTGGAATAGATAAAAATAATTAGCAAAAATTGACACGGATCATGTGTGATACTGTCATATCTATTGCTGCTGTGTTTTTTACATCAATCATCATGAGAATGATCGCTTAAAAGATGCTGGAGAGTAATTTGTGAATAGTAAATTAGTCTAACCAAGATTATAGCCGATTTTTCATTTGGCGGTTTGCTACTTGCTATAAAAAATAAATAACTTACTAAATATATATAAATATAGGCAGGTATTAATTGTTCAATTTCAGGTATGGTACGCAGCAGTGACACAGGTATTTTTCTCCCTTTCTGTGTGTTCAGGCGCCCTCATCATGTTTGCTTCCTACAATGGATTTAAACAAAATGTATATAGGTAATAACTTACAAATTATTCAACGTTATTGGGTAAATAGACACAAATTATCGTTGTTTTCATACAAAATTAAAAATTACGTGTTCAAATTCAATTTAAATGATTATAAACTACTACTACTGGACATAAAAGATATGAGTAAGTTTGGTTTTGACTGTAAAAAAGGTTTCCCGAAATTCCAACTCAAAAGATAACTAAGTCAGGTGATAAATTTGTAGAAATAACTAGTAGGTATAATATGTTATATATAAATACTTAAACATTAACGTTATAGTATTAAATAGGTAGGTACTTTAAATTTATTTAAAGAATTTTGAGAATCGGTTCACAATCGGTTCAAACAACAAACAACAAAAAGTTCGTCTAGAATTGATACATAAAAATAATAATAAATTATTTTCAAATAGTTTAAGAATATATATTTATGTATGTAATAGTTTTTTAGTTTACTTTTAACGAACATTTAATATATTTTACAGGGATTCTATGATTGTCACCATTCTGGATACTTTTACTAGTTTAATCTCTGGTATTACAATATTCGCCGTACTGGGTAACTTGGCTCATCAGCTTGGATACGATGATATTAGTGAAGTAATCGGTTCAGGCGGAACTAGTCTGGCCTTTATTTCTTACCCAGATGCTATAGCCAAATCTCCATTTGCGCCGCAGGTGAGAAAAAGAAATTGCACCTAGGCGTAGTAATTTTTATATTTCTCTTTCACTAAAAAACTAAATTAAATATTAATAATAGCAGACCAACACTGTAGTAGGTAAATTCTTTTAACAAAAATCAATCAATATCGGTTTCGATTTGCCGATAATATCACAAAATATACTTACACGAAATTATTTAGTATATATGTACCAAAATCACGATCTAAGGTATACACGAAAAAAGTATAACGATGTTGAAAACCTTCTTATTTAAAATCGTTTAAACTGAGCAGAAACCGGGATTTTCATTTATATCTATTTTTTTTTTTTAATTAAACCACTATTTAATTTCTTATTCCTTTTATTTAAAATTTTCAATCACTAAATAATTTTTAGAATATGATTTTTATATTTAAAATATTAGGTAGTTTAAATATTTGCAATTAGAAAAATTACAAGTGTCCAATTATAATTTAATATCTTGTTCGTACTTTTATTACATAAATTGTTAGCATGGTTGTATCAATAGGAACAAATAATATTAAGGTATAGCGTTAGGAGGCAAGGCACAAAAAAGCCAAATGCGAAAAACAATTTCCAGAACAAAATAAAATTTTGATGTAGCCTATTCAAAGGCGGGAGCAATGTTGATATTTCTAATAAAAATTTATGTTTGAAAATTTGGGAATTATTATTCAAACAGAAGTAAAATTTACATGAAGTGAAATCATCGACCAAAGTGTGCCAAAAAGCAATCCCGTTCTACTCTGATCAAGGGCTAAGACCTTGACAAAGGCTGGAAATTACTTAGAATTTAATCAATGATTCTTTTTTCAGCTTTTTTCCGTTCTATTCTTCTTGATGATGGGCGTATTGGGTATCGGGTCGGGAGTAGCGTTGCTCTCCACTATAAATACCATACTATCGGATGCTTTTCCAAAGATTCCTACCATTTACATGGCGACTGTGACCTGTGCTGTTGGTTTCTTTGTAGGACTCGTTTACGTGACGCCGGTAAAGTTTACCAATAACTTTTTTTTTATATAATAACTCCATCATATTTAGTCTGTTTAATTGGTATAGGTTCAATTATTTACTCTGCCTCTACCGCCAAGAGACGAAAGAAACGATAAATACGTTTTCGGTGTCCTATGCAATAAGACAGAATGAGACAGAAGAATTTAACGTTTTGTTCTTGATTATACATACTGTAACGAAAACGTATTTGACGTTAAGTTTGCAACCAGTCAAAAGTAAAAAGTAATAATTTTGGGTGTCCTTAATTAGATAGATATAAGATAAACACGACCATAATTCTAAATTAAATCAATTAAAAAAATTATAATTAAATTAATTTGGCTATCTATACAGCACCACAAAAACTTTAAACTTACCTTCAAATATTTCAGGGCGGACAGTATATATTAGAGTTGGTGGATTATTATGGAGGAACGTTTATGCGTCTGTTCGCAGCTATAGCAGAAACTATTGGAGTATTCTGGATTTATGGTTAGTAAAATTATAGAATAGTTTTTTCTTTTAATACTAAATAAGTATGTTTTATTTATTAATATTAGTAATAATAATGTACTTAACTCTTTATATATAGTATAAAAGTATTTCCATAAGTAATAGGTATCTAAACTGAGTAACAGATTTTTTTATTCAACTTAGAATGGCAAACAAGCTGACGGCCCACCTGATGGAAAGCGATAATTGTCGCCTATAGACATGAGGAGTACCATGGACATAACAGAGTACATTGTTTCGCCCATGATACCCCTCATGCGTTGCCATTCCTGAGGACTCAGGTGTTATTCCTCTGTACCCTGCATATTCACTGTCATATCCTACTCTTCAAACCTGGGGGGAAGAGTTTGTTAGTAATGACGTCAAATAGTCCTATTACTAGCAATAGGGTATATTGCTAGTAATAGGACTATTTGACCTTGTCAGGTCGACCTCCACTTGGCTCCCCCTGGAAACCATCGTGGCTAATTTTAGTTAAATTTGTCAAAATGGGCTAACTAACCTGCTTTCATACTCATCAATCATCTATCACTGGTTCCCTGCCTGTGTATACTGATAGCGCAGACGGGGTTACCATACTATTATCATCCATTAAAAAAAATCCTTCAAACCTAAACACAGCTATGGAAACACAACTGCTTCACGGTAGAAACACGAATGGGACAGAGGTGCCCAAGCAAACGACTCTTGTACAGTCTCTTTTATAAAATATATTTACCTATATTACAAAAATGCAGGTTTAGACCATTTCTTACATCAGAAGTGTACTCGTACATAGCACACTATATAGTCATTCATTTTTGCAGGTTTGGAGAATTTGTGCATAGACATAGAATTCATGCTTGGAATTAAAACCTCTTTTTATTGGCGAATCTGTTGGGCCATCGTGACACCTCTGATGATGATCGCTGTGTTTATGTACGCCATGGTCACTTCAGAAGCTTTGGTGTTTGGTGATGATTATACATATACAAAGTCAGCATACAGTAAGTATTACGGTTCGGTGAATATATTTTTAATGCCTCCAATATCGTATAATATAATTAGTCTGGCCATAAATACTATTACATAAAAACTTTTCTTCTTTTTCAACTTTTTAATTATTTTGAATTTGGAACACGTATATTATTTTAAAAACTTCATTCGATTTCGCGCCATTTTACATATTTTTTCGTGTTCATTATAAAATTACAATATGGAATGGAGTGTTATTTGTAAATTGGAGTGTGTGAAGAAAATAGGATTGCAGTGATCGCCTTGCACAAAGTGGGTATGGAGCCGTCGGTCATATCCAGACACTTCAAAAGCTTGGTATCAGTCGTATGTTCGTATATCGTACTATCAACAGATACAACAACACTTCCTCTGTCGAAGATCAGAAAAGATCGGGGCGGCCATGTGCTATTAGAACTACAAAGGCTGTTAATGCTGTTAAAACCAGAATTCGTCGAAGCCCGCTTAGGATTCAAAAAATTTTATCGCGAGAAATGAAGATTCCCGCTACGACTTTGTCACGTATTATCAAACAAGACCTGAAACTCGGTGCTTATCGTCGATATACAAGTCGATATACAAGATATACAAGATTGATTTAGAGCATCTAAATCAATCTTTACAATTAAAGAGAGTAGATCGATCAAAACGTCTTCTGTCGCGATACGCAGGTGAAAAGCACAGGAATACCGATGAAACTTTACCGATGAAAAAATTTTCACGATTAAAGAACACTACAATAAGCAAAATGATAAAGTTCTAAATAAGCTACTTAAGTGGTTACAAAGGTACAACGCGATCATCATCCTGCGTCAGTGATGGTTTGGTGGGGCGTGTCTTATCAAAGAGTCACAAAACTACATCTTTGTGAAAAAAGAGTAAAAATTTCAGCCAAAGTATATCAAGATACAGTCTTGGATCGTGTCGTGAAACCTCTCAGCTACTCACTTTTTCAAAATATACCGTGAACTTTCCAGCAGGTCTCTGGTCACAAGGCACGAACTATCCAAGCCTGGCTTGAAACCAAGGTTCCGGACTTTATAAGAGCTGAAGACTGGCCCTCATCTGGGCCAGACCTCAACCCTTTAGACTTCAAACTATGATCAGTTTTAGAGGATATGGGTTGCTCTAAACGACATGGCGACATTGAGTCTCTTAAAAAAACTTTGGAGCAAGTAGTGACGAAATTTCCTTTGGAAACAACGCGTAAATCCATAGATTCGTAGCCAAATAGATTAAAGGCCAAAGCCAAAGGTGGCCATTTCGAATAGAATATTTCATTTTATTTTTTGCTGTAACTTTAATAAATATATAGGTATAAAATTTAGTAATATTACATTATCACTACATAGTATAAAACAAAGTTGCTGTCGCTGTCTGTCCGTCCCTATTAATGCTAAAATCTTTAAAACTACACAACGGATTTCGATGCGGTTTTTTAATAGATAGAGTGATTTAAGAGGAAGGTTTATATATATAATACATGCATAATATTGTAGAGAAACACTAATACATTCTAATGATGGTTTCTAATGATGTCGCAAATAAACACATTTTTTTGCGCTTACATTGCAAACGCAATGGCTGAACCCCAAGAGATAAATCAAAATAATGTACTACAGTATTGTATATCTTAAAAATCTCTTAAGGATAACCCACAATAATCATTTTTTATCTTTTACATTTTATGGGAAAAAGTGGCTTATTTACGAAGTGTTTTTAGCAATACAGCATTAAATTTTATCCAATTAAGTACCTTTAATACACTATTCATTTAATATAGATCAATATGACTCTTTACAGCATGTAATTTAAATGAATATTTCCGAAGATATTACAGATTTAAAATGCAGGAACATAGCGGTGCGGCGGTACCGCACCGGCCGGCGGTGTGTGCCTGTAAATAGCGCGTCGAATAGCACTTTATCATGTTTGTGTTGTGTTGTTGTTGACAAAAAAGCTGTAAACGTTCTTTATGCTGAGTTTGTTTTCTGTCTCCAGCCTCCACAATTATTATTTTATTAATAGAGCAACATTAGACATAGATAATAAAAAGTAGTTACTTTATGTAAAAGTAGTTACTAATATGTTGTCTTTTGTGGGTTAAAAAATGTAGTGTGATATGGCTGAGGAAATTGTTCTAATTTATAAAGAAATAAATAGAAGTGGATTCAAATACGTTGTTTTCGTTACTTGGCGCAAGTGCTCATGCTTCATTACTAACAATAATAATATAAATATCAATAATTTATAAGGACATTCTCTAGTAGGTAGATATATTTAGTATCAGCATTGCACCCGAACGAAGCCAGGGCGGGTCGCTAGTTACTTTATTAAAAAAACGCATTTTCATTTGTAACAGAACTTATGGCTGGACTAGGTATATATATTTTAGAATTTAAAAAAAACTGAATATATATACATATACATACATACATACATAGATAAAAATCAGTCTGATCTGGGAAATAATCAAATTACTTGCAACACTGAAAAAAAAACGCGTTTTGTTTCAAATTAAAAAATATAAGTCAGAAGTTAGTTAACCAAACGACAAATTACCTAAATTTTAACCTGTTTTTGTCACCATTCCCTATCTTATAATCTAACCCCCTTCATAAAAAGTAAAGCCTTCTACAAACCTATTTTAACTATTACACTTCCTTTCAAATTAATAATTTAGCACAAAAGAAGGAGAGAAAACAATTCAATAGCTAAAATAGATTAATAAGACATTTATTGTTTTAATGTATAAGGGGTAACACATGAGTAACAACTATAAGTTACAGTAATCAATTGTAAGCATAAGTTATGTTAGTATACACTAAAATATTCATACACATAGCCCAAAGTAACATCTCTATCCGTTCATAGAATAATAAAAATCCAAAAATGATACATTCATGAATACATTTATTTTTTGCAGTTGCTGGTAATTGTATGCAATATGTGGGGATGGCCTTGATTCCTCTATTTATTTTTATAGCATTTTGGAAATATAGATCTATTAACTGTGTCGAGGTAAGGTTTACATTTAAATATTTTATCTAACAAATATTACACAATAATATCTTACTTAATATACTTAGTAATAAAACTAAGTACATTATGAACTCTCCCTGTCGCTCATTACGATCTGACCTCATCCCCTCTCAAATATGCGTCAATACTATAAATACACACATATTATCACATGTACAGACAGATTGTTTGTGTAGTTGTGACAAGAACGGATCGCAGTTTTTGTATAAAATGTTCGGAGTGTATACAGTACGTTCCTTTTTTGTACGGGCATTTTTCAAACCATTCATCTAAACAAATGACAAACGAATATATAATAGAATCATTATCGCTAGAAAGTCCATGAGATTGATTGAAATATGATGACAACCAATGTTTATTTTCTTTCTTGTACGAGCGCTATTCGAAACGATTCTATTGATACATTCGTTCATCACTTGTCTAAGATTATGTTTGGATGATCTGTAACAAAGCATAATAACGTAAAGATTCCTGCATTACGCTAGAAGGTAAGAGGTCCAGGTGAATGACTCAAGACCAATATGACAATATTAACTGACTAGACAAACGATGTTTTACCCCCTAACGGCACCATTTTTTCCTTATGATAATAAAAACTATTCTATCCTTCAACTCGGCGCTAACAATACACATTTACAAAATTTTATTAAACTCGGTTGAGCGGTTTCGGCAATCAGCGATCTGTCACTTAGTTATTCCAATTGTTTGTCATTCCAAGTTTCAACAAAAGTATTATAATTATTTCACATTGCAATATATATCATAAAAAAACCTACGCTCTATAGAAGATACCTTAGTATTAGAATTGACACAATTTGTTTTGTTGACTTTCAGACTGTGATAAAATCATTTAGAAAGAAAAGTACATACGGTCCACAAGAAACTGACCTCCGATATAAATGGAACGAATTTTGCCAGGAAGCGAAATATGACCGCATATTAAAACGTAAAAACTGGCCGCATCACATTGGATTAAGTTTAACTGGCAGTTATCGAAGAAAATCTTAAAAATCTAATTTAAATAGAATTATGCATCTCAACATAATAAACCAATATAACTTTTATTTTATATACTTTAAAAGTTTAAGTGATATTCGTAATTTTACAAATATATATATATATATATATATATATATATATATATATATATATATATATATATATATATATATATATATATATATATGTGTGTGTGTTTTATGTTTCAGTTCACAATGAATTTATAAAGTGTTATATTTCTTGTTAAAGTTAATTTATTTTTAACTTTTTAGTTCATTTTATTAACTATTTGTTATAAATATTTATAATAAAATCTTGTTTTTTTTTAAAAATGTTTTTTTTCTTAAATTTTATTTTCAACTTTTTAGTATTTTTAATTCGAGATTTACTACAACGTAGTTCGCAGCGCGTAGCAGCGTTTTTTCGTTATGTAGTCCGTACGTTCACATGTATGCTGCTTTGAGCACTTAAAGTTAACGAACCCAAACTTGATGGGCTTTCGTCGTTTAATTACGGAGTTCCTATAGCCACCTTCCAGCTCCATCATCAGACCTAGGTTACCATCTAGTATCAAAGTACTCGTCAAGACGAACTTAACAAGCCCAAACTTGATGGGGTTGCGTCGTTTAATTATGGAGTTCCTATGGCCGCCTTTCAGCTCCATTATCAGACCTTGGTTACCATCTAGTGTCAAAGTACTCGTCAAGACGAATCAAATGGACCCAAACTTGATGGGGTTGCGTCGTTCAATTACGGAGTTCCTATGGCCACCTTCTAGCTTCATCATCAAATCAGCTCTATATCATAATAATATTGCATTGTCATCCGATTTACACATACATGCAAAATTTCAGCTCAATCGGAAACCGAAAGGTGGATCAATTTTAATTTGCAAGATTTGATTACAGACAGAAAACAGGACAGGTGAAACTAAATAAAAGCTTGTAATAATGACTCGGCACGTCACTAATGCTTGATCACTGTCCAAAAAAGTAATGTTTTCAGGGTTCATGAGCATAATTTGTTCGCCTGTCTATTGTATAACTTAGTAGTTAGGTATATAATTAATTAATCATATTTTATGACCAGTGATGCCCTTATTATAGATGTATTTAGGCCAGAAGTCATTTGATGGTTTTTACTAAATCCTGCTGTGATCTCATAATCTGACTGAAAGTTCCGTTAATGTAAACAGACATATAAAGAAAAATACCACTTTTCTACCAAACGGACACTGTACAAAATTTGACTGCTTGGGTATTTTTGTTCTACTCATGTTTCTGCCGCTAAGAAGCAACAGTGGGTTACTATATTTAGTAAAATTATAACGTTTGAGGTGAAATCATAATATCTTAGTTCTCAAGAATGGTAACGAATGCCATAGATATCAAATTTTATGTTTTATAGGTAACGTTTACCATTTCCTATCAGGCGGGCTATCAGCTTAGTTTGCGTTTCATGATGCATAAATATAGAAAAAGGATGCCATAAAACTGCTATGAACATATGCATTGCTTAGATTATGTAGAGCCTCGAGCCTCAAAAACGGGTCAACTTTTTATCAGCTAATTATCAAATTAGCCGACTCTTTTATTCGTGCTCTATACAAAGATTCCAGAACAGAATTTGTTCTTAGGTTCTATATACCTACCTACTTATATTTCAACATATCTTGACGTTTAAGATTTTGCGCACTAAAAGCAAAAATTATAAGATGTCAGAATTAGTCAAAATGGCAGTCATTGTTATTGTGTTTCCAATTGCTTTCTAAATCGTTATCTGAAGATTTGTACACATTTTAAATACACTTTTATTTTATTTGTTATCCGATTAATTGCTGACAAAATCAAAATTTCAAGACCCGTGTATATTTCAAATAAAGGTTCGCTTTCACAATTAATAAAAATACCCAAATTTTTTTTTTGTTATTTGACTGATTGCTTTCAAAAGCGATGTCTGAGGATCCATATACACTTCAAACGTGGATTCGACGTCAGAATTACCCGCTATTTTTATTTAAAGTGTTAAAAATATTTATTTGAATAAGGATTAACAAAATAGCATAAACAATTAAACTTTATATAAAATACAATAATTTTTTTTTTTTTTAATTTAGTCAACTTAATTACAATTAATAGACTCATATTTTCCATTACCATACGTAGGTATGTCCAAAAACTCGCATAAAATTATAATGGACCCCACTTCGATTGTTTCTAACATCAATACACGTTTTAAATCTACAAAGATTCTGAGATAATTGAACTAAAAAAAATGTATTTGAAATGGCCGTTGCTTTTAGTGACATTAACCGTCCGTAGTATACACACAAATGCCGATTTTCAAAATATTTGACCTTTATTTTAAAATTTTACTTAAAGCAATATGAAAGAATTATAAAATTCTATCTACCGCATTCTTATTCTTTATCTATGCATTATTCTTAATAAATAAATAATTAAACATATTATATCAATAAAGTTAAATATTTTAAAGGATTATTTAATCCTAATAATAGGGGTAGGGATTATTAGTAATGGGGAGGTTAATCCCCATTGCTATCAATATACCATATCAGGTCGCCCTCCACACGATTTCTCCTGGAAACCATCGCGACTAATTTATTGTTGAATTCGTCACGATAGACTGACTTAGCTGACTTGCTTTATTATCATCACTTATCACCCTTCACTGGTGTCCTGCCAGTGTATACCTTTGGCGTAGGCGGGATTACCATTCCATAATCATTCATTAAAAAAAATCCTAATAATATTTTAAGTTACAACCTTGACCTATTTACCTTAATCTAAAGAAATAATTTCTAATATAGTACATAACTGTATGAAAAAGTTGACCCGCTTTTTTCGAAGGATTTCTTTAACTATATTGACGCTGACAGCCTGACAGCCCACATAAAAAAATTGGACCATGTTCTTGTTCTTAGACCCACGTGGGTAAATAAATTGGGCGGCGGTAGTCACTTACCATCAGGTGAGCCGCATGCTCGTTTACCCCGTGTTGTAAATATATATATATATATATATATATATATATATATATATATATATATATATATATATATATATATATATATATATATATATATATATATATATATATATATATATATATATATATATATATATATATATATATATATATATATATATATATATATATATATATATATATATATATATATATATATATATATATATATATATATATACGCTATCCCTTCACCAATTCCGATGCTTTTTTCACTCGACTGGGATTACTCCCGTATTGATTCCACATTTTGCTTCTTCTTGTATGTAATAAATTGGAACGTTTTTTCTTTTAAATTAATATGTGTATATATTTATATAGTTATAATCATTAATTTTAATTACTTTTAAAAAACAATCTATTAATATTTATATAAATACACTAACATATCCTAACAATGTTTAAGACGTCCCATTACATTAGATAGGAGTATTATAGCTTATAACCAAAGTTTAAAAAAAAACCTATGTAGGTGAACTAATAAATTTTCCTCACTTCACATCATCTTAAGTTTTTTACCTTGAATAAATTAAATAAGCAATTTAATTGTATTTATTTGGGGGGAACAAGTAGAATTATAAATAATAAACGGAATCACCAGCTTTGGACTTTATTGTTTAAAAATTTATTACACGATAAATTTAGTATGTTTACTTATATTACCAGACCAGCATTTGGTATTTCCTAAGTCCTTATTGTATATAACTAAATATAATAACATCAAAAACATTCTTTGCCATGTTTTCCTATAGCTAACAGATTAAAAAAAGTGTTAAATAATATATACTATAGTACTAAAACCATTAAGCATTATTACTTATGCTTAGATTTTTTCTTCTTTTTATTAGATTTTTTCTTATGCTTACGTTTCTTTTTCTTTTTCTTATGATCATCTGAACTGGAGTCAGAGTCGCTATCGCTATCGCTTGCTGCTCGCCTCTTTTTCTTTTTGCTGCGTTTTTTCTTCTTCTTCCGTTTACGAGTATCTGATGATGAAGACGATGATGAATATTCGGAATCACTAGAAGATTCACTGTCTGAATCTGGTTTCTTTTTGATATTAGTCAAGTCTAGTTTGATTGTTTCATTTTCAATTTTTGCTTTTTTATTTTCTATGTTACTATTAGGTGAAACTGATCTCTCTCGCTTTTTAAGAGCTTCATTTTTGACATCATTATCAGATTCCAAGTTCTCATCATAATCAGGTTCAAAGTGAGCTTCATCCAAAGTAGATTTTTTTCTATCCCGCTCAATATTATCATATTTTTTGTCTGCTGTCATATTCTTCTCGTGTGTTCGATTGCGTGAATCGATTGTACTTAAATGTCTTTTCTCTTCTTTAAGATTGTTGAAATCTTTCTTTTTTGTGTCACTATCAGGACTACGATTTCGATATTTTTCCCCTATTTTCATATTTTCAGATATTATACGTCTTTCAATTTTCGAATGATCGAATCTATTAGTATCGGCTTTTCGTCCTCTATCTCTTTCTACTGTAACCTTCCGATAATTTTGCTCTTTTTTAGGTGTTTTAGAACGAGATTTTACCCGTTCAACAGTACTCTGCACAACCCGAGTATCTCGAGGTCTACGTATATCCTCTACTTTTCCACCAAGCCGTTCTTTAACCGACAACCGTGGTGGTGGTGTTTTAGAAGATCGTTTTTTCTTATCATTTATTTCGATAGACCTGAGATCAGAGGAATCGGCCACTGGGACTGTTATCTGTATATTATTCATTGAATTTTTTGTTTCTTCATCACCATATAATTTTAGTCTATCACTACTTATTTTCTTTATTTCAATTGGTCTTAAAGAATTAATAGCCTTAGCAAATATCGCATTTTCAGCTCGTTTTATTACATCAGAGGTGACGATTTTACCTCCATCGTCTTCTTCTTCAGGAGATGATATTTCTCCAGGCTCTTTTAATTTTTCAATATTATCTTCATCTACTTCCCATTTTGAAAGCTCAGGCATAGGTGCTAACATTTCTTTGTTTTGACCAGTAATTTCACTACCTGTTTTTATTTCCAACTCATCAACATTGGTTTGAAGCTCAATTCCATCAAAAGGTTCCTCCTTATTAATGACACCGACATTTTTAATTTCATTAGATAAATTATTATCCTCTTGTTTTACATAATTTTCAATTATTTCTTTGTCTATAGCCTCGGCAGCTTCATCTCCATATAATTCATCAGAAACATTTATTTTAGATTCTATTTTCGGAGAGTCAGTTTTATTATTATTTACAGATTCTTTATTTGGTTGTACTTGAACCTTTTCTTCATTATTTGCTTCTGTATTGATTTTAATGTCTTTGTTTTGTTCGTTTACTCCCATTTCCTCAGCATTATCTTTAAGATCACTTTTCTCAATATTGTCTTCTTTTTTAGTAGAAGCCTCCTTCTCCTTCTTGTCTCTCTTGTCTCGTTTTTTCTTCTTCTCGATATCTTTTTCTTTTTCTCTTTTCTTCTTTTTCCTGTCTTTGACTTTTTTGTCTTTCTCTTTATGATCCCTACTCCTGTCAGCCGAAGTTTTTTCAGATATTTTTTCTTCTTTCTTTTCTCGTTTATTATCTCTATCGCGAGAACGACCTCTAGATTCACTGCGTTTTTTATCTCGTAATTCTCGATTCCTTTTAGGTGATAATCGGGATTTTTTATCTGGCGAATTTCTGTCGTGATCACGATCTCTTTCTTTTTCATACTCTCGCCCTTTTTCATATTCTTTCATTCTATCTTCACGACCGTCCCGTATCTCTCGCCCTTTATCGTAACCAGATCTTTTATCGATATCACGAGGTCTATCTGAACGTTCAGATGGGTCACGAGGTTCATTATATCGTTCCCTATCTCGGCCTTCTCTATCTCTATGCCTCTCATGTTCCAGATTTGGATTCCGCCGGGATCCACCTCTATTTCGCATATTAGGTCGATAACCAGATCGTATGTGCTCGCGATTAGAACTATTTTCTTCTCTGTACCCATCTCTAAAATTAGGATCGTGATAATTTGTTGGCAGAGGCGGCTCTCTAGGATCGACACTGGGAGGTCTAAATGGAACGTCATTATTACGGAAATTATGAGGCGCATTCTCTCTGTAACCGCCGTCTCTATACGGAACGTTCCTATATGAAGTATCTCTGAATGAAGGAGGCCCGCCTCTAAAATTACCATCTCGATAAGGTCCCTGAGGTCCGGCATCGCGATATGGTTGCCCATCTCTGAATGGTATGGGACCCTGATCACGGAATGAATGTGTCGCTCTGTAATTATCACGATATCGTGATTGATCACCAACATGGACAGGTATCTCGTTTGGTACATTTTGTATTGGCATATCTCTAAATCCAACGGGTCCGTCAACATATGGCGGAGGCCTATATGGTTCCCTGTAATTTGGTGGCGGTCCTCTCTCACGATCTATTACACTTGGTGGACCAAATGGTGGTTTTTCAAAAGGTGAAGGCTCAAAACCAGGTACAGGTGGCTCGACTCCAGGAGGAATATCTTCAAATGGTGGTCCATCGTAACGACCTCTGTAACCAGGTGGTGGTTCCGTTGGTACTGATACATTACTCATCTGCATAGGCTTTACACCCATAGGAGGGAATCCTGGCGGAGGGACACTGTTTCTGGGGCCATATCTGAAAATATAAATACATGGTTATATTTAAATGAAAAACTTAATTTTATATTTTGATAACGTGTAAAAATATAAGAAAAGGATTTTTTAGTACAGGACTATAATATTCATAGTGATAACTATGAGATGTGTGTGTACATGCGTGTGCATGTGCATGTGCTTGTGCGTGTGCGAGTGCGCGTACGCGTGCGTGTGCGTGTGCGTGTGCGTGTGCGTGTGTGTGTGTGTGTGTGTGTGTGCAGAGTTTTAATCATTTAATATTAGGGACTGTTGAAAATTGCAATATTTTTTTTATTTTAATAGCCATATATTTATAGTTCATCTGACTGATATTTTTTTGTTTCTTTTGTTTGCATAATTTTTTATTAAATATACAGAAGCAATTTATTATTAAAAGACAATTATTTATATATTTAATCATCATAAAACTGGGAAATCCGTCATACTCCCCAACAGGGACGACCTATTGAAGAGAATACAAAGTGTATTATTAAATAATTGTAAAATGTATAACTCGTAACTCGAATTAAAAATCCGACTAAGTTTTGTATGATTGCCTTGCGTATTGAACCATCTAAAACAAATTATTTTCAATATTGCTCAAATATATAGTCTAATGGCCAACGGGGTTACCATAGCTCTTGGACATCTATAACGCCAGGGACAACATGCGCGCATTACCCACTCTCAGGAAACTTTATTGCGCGTTTTTTTTTTCTTTTTTTTTATACAGCTTAGAATGGCAAACAAGTTGACAGCCCACCTGATGGAAAGTGGTAACCGTCGCCTATAGACATGAGCAGTACTATGGATATAGCAGTTCTTAGATGAACTCCATGCTGTAGTCTTATTATTGATAACTAGCTGTAGTTCTATCCTCGCCCCCTATCTTATCATTTCTCCTACGGTTAAGATTGTTTTTTTTTTTATGAAAGTTAGTATACCAACGAATTGACGGCCTACCAGATGAAAAAAGGTTTCAATTCGGTTATGTTATACACACTTTAAAAACATCGCTACACCGAAAATTCTATGAAGAAGTGTTGTAGACTGATTACTTAGTTCAATTAACGTAATCATTACTCGTTCTTTATACACCAGCGGAAAAAAATTGAGGGATCAAAAAAACCTAAACTTTTAGCGATTTTTCAAATGGCTGTATCTTTAATAAAAATCGTATTGGAGTAAAAAAAAAGCAATTTAAAGCTCAAACTTTCAAATTTTTGGGTCTTGCAATAGTATAGTTACTCTAAAATAATACACGATGTAGAAAAATGGATAAAATTATTATTTTTTTATGTCAAATTTTATGAAGTCTGAAGTTATAATAGACAAAAAATAAAATTCTTACATATTGATATTTTATACTCGATTCTACCTGTTTCAGAGTACTAAAATAACAAGAAGCAATATACAAATATGCTAAATATAGATTTCTTATTATATACATAGCTGAGTATTATTGTAATTGAGTGACAGAAAGTAAATTAACTACATTTTGCAGAAAATTTAATTCAAATCGAATAGGGCAAGTCATTATCGCTGTCTCTAGAAATAATTCGGTATCATCTATTTCCTTCTTTCCGCTGTTGTAATCTTCGAAATAAGGAATATCTTTTAATCTATAATGTCCACATACACCTTTGTTTCTATAATAAATTAAGATTTTTCGAAAATCTTAAAATTTCTACAGTTCGAAACAATTTCTCTATGATAATGAATTATTCCATTACATATAACCATTACAATTTATTTACGTCGCGTTTGTCTGGTTATCTGGCCTATATATTTAAGGTTTATCTTTTAAAAAGATGCTGTGCAGGTATCACCTTCGAGCTTGCAAAAAGATATAAATTTAGAAAACATTTCCTCTAAACGCGAACTGACAGTTAAACTAATAACTTTTTAATAGCTATTTGAAGCCTCCTTAATATACTGCTAATAATTTTATAAAGTAAGACATAAGGCGAAGGGATTGTAAGTAATGTGGACTATCAGTCCCAATACTAGCAATATACCCTGTCAGGTCGACCTCCACGTGGTTACCTCTGGAAACTCATGCTAAATTCCAGGAGTATTCATCACGATGGGTTAATTGGCCTGCCTTTTTATTAACACCTATCATTCCTCACTAGTGCCCCGCCAGAGTACACCGTTAGCGTAGGCGGGATTACCATATCCAATATCATTCAATAAAAACACATATATATATATATATATATATATATATCATAGTTTTCATTTTATGATGATTTGAATTAGTTGGGAAGGGAAAAAAGTTAGAACACTTGATACGACACGACGAACTTATGAACATTATGATAAAAGGTAAGATAGAAGGAAGAAGAGAAAGGAGACCAAGACATAGTTACATCAGGCAGATCAAGGAAAAAGGTGGTGTTGTGTCCTATCCGGAGGTGAAGAGACTCGCTGAAAGTCGTAGTAAGTGATAACAGCTCCACTGACAAGAGCGCAGCTCTTAAATAAAATAATTTGAATTAAACAATACAGAACAGTACTGTATGTGTGACAAACTTTATGTATTTTGCTATAATGACCGTCGTTAAATCCATAGTATTTTCTAGTTTGGAAGTTTAAAAACTTGCGGGACTGTAGCACTTCCCGTCTCAACTAAATTAAAAACTTTCACAAATGCCAGAGTTAGTACCGTATTTTACATTGCCTGAATGTAAGAATATATCCTATGATAATTTTCAGGAATCGGTTTGTTTAAGCTCGTATGACTCTCGTGACAGGAGTAAATTTTTAGCGTGTAATATTTGGTACAGATTTCAGTAGTCTTCTAAGTATATCGGGATTTGTAAAATGATTTCCAATACTGTATGATCCCTCTGCATTATTTCGTACTTCTAACAATATTACCGCCTATCTTTAGTTAAAATATGATAAAAACTTTTAAAAATTAGAAAATTATGTGTGATCTTACAATAAATAACGTTTTGAACATTTCTATCTTTAAACCTTCAAAAATGTCTTACGGGATATGCAGAGGAAAAAGTGCTAACTAAAGGCTTCTTTTATTTTACCGGAATACAAAATGAAATGGTAACCTCATATGCGACATAGGTCTATGCTGACGGGATACCAGTGAATGATGATAGATGAGAATGAAGTCAGATCATTGGTCCATCGTGGTAAATTTATTAAGAATTAACTAACTGGTTTCCAGAAAGGACCGTATTAAGGTATCCAAATACAATATATTGAACCCCTATTATTAATAATCCCTTATCCTCAAATGACTTCTGTTAGTATGCATGTTTTGTTTCATCCATTTCTGTAACTTCTCCCTCAGACATTAAGATACATAATCTATCTTATAATGATACATTAGTCTAGGTTTCATCCTAGGTGCAGCCTTCCAAATTCATATTGTATATTTGTTTTATCATGTTTTCATTAAATAATCTTTCCACGCGTCCGAACCAATGTATCAATATCCTTTTCCGTTTTTACACCGATCCCCAATTAACTCTCTTTGAAGCTAGCATTTCAACAGGATTTATGATATTGTCACTATCTTTATTATATTTGAATCATAACAGAATTTAAAGGTATATACCCTACGACATAAATATTGGTTTACGGTGCGACATGCCTATTGAACTCGGCGAGTTATACAAAACAATCATGTTCAACAACAAACAAAGTCATGATTCGTGTAAAATGGGTGTGAAGTAATTTCTGCGTTTATGCGTAAGGCGATAGTTTGTTAATTAAGAGGTTTAACAGTTGTTAATTTAGTACTACATGTACAAAGTTAATACATCCCTCCACCATTTCTATCTTAATTTTCATTTATTTGTATTTAGTATATAAGATCATATTTATCTGCTAATATTGTATGTTACAGGTCAGTTGCAATATACGTCACCCTCGTCATCTCAATTCAACTCGCAACAGTGGTAACCCTAACATAATCCGATACTGACCGATGATGATTAGGGATCAGAAGAGACTTGTAGCGAGTCACACATATCCACCGGCTTCCCAAAAGTGGGTCTCACCGGGTTGAAAAATAAAGAGGCACCTTGATCGTTTGTTATATAACAAGGAAACGCTAGGTCTGTAAATTTTAACTGGCCAATGGCTCATCTCGCCAATAACTTTATAAATTCAGCCAGACACTCGCAATCGCCGGAAATGTCAATATCATCAACGCATCTAACGTCACAACTTGCGTCAATGCAGTTAGAAATAGCTGCAATAAAACGATCGCTCTCGCCTATTCAGCATATAGCAGTTACGGACAACGTCGCTACTGCCGATCTAGGTCAAGATCGCACAATCAGTCCAATATCAATCAATCATTAGAACAAATTCTGCCATTATTATCATAATTTTGAAGACAAGGCGTACAGGCATACACCCTTGTTTATGAAAAAAAAGGATAACAGTCGAAAAGCTAGACTTGGCATAGATGAAGGCGGAACTCTCTGCTATTTACCCATCATACAACTTATTATTATAGCTTATTATTATTATTATAGATTTTTGGTGGACTCATGGGCAAACATTATTCGTTACCAACGGAACTATCATTGATACCTACAGGGAAAATACCCTTTCATTGAATTCGGCTTTGCGACGTTTTTTTACTTGAACTTTCATTATTGTTTATGTTTTCAATTTTAGGAGCCAATTCTTGGGTCACTAGCATTTATTGATAGATATAGTTAGAGTTCAAAACACCTGCAACTTTAATCAAAACAAATATTATATGTATATTCTTTATTGCACTAAAACACAGTAACAACAAGTTAATAACAATGTTACTCGTAGCAAAGGCGAACTTATCTCTAAAAGAGATTTCTTCCAGTCAACCTAACACAGTGGCATAGGTAGTAATGAGTAGGCAGTAGTAGTGCAAAACAGAAATTAAAATAAATATTTACATATTTGAAAAATACAATATTAATACATACATATGAATATAAACCTACATAAATAAGAATATAATAGACATATATACATGTTAAA